TAGCACCGCTTTCTTCTTCCATTCATACTCTGAATCTTCTGAATCTTCCGAGCTTTGATCACTCTCTTCCTTATTGATCAAGACCTCGTGACTCTGATTCTTTGTACTTTCTAAATCTTGCTTTCGAACAACGGGGCTGTGGGACAGACCTTCCCTAACTGCCACCGACTCATCCGTCAACGGTTCTCTCACTCTCAATTGCTCTGAAAGCCAAATACAAGGACCTTTCGGACTATGATCTGGGGACACAAGTCAATTACCGGAAACAAACAAAACGGAAGAAGAATTTTATTTCAGGACACATTCTCCTTCTCTCATCTCATGTCTACTACTTCTCTTGAGACAAAAAACATTTGAGTATAGTCTAAATCCAAACATACAAGAGTGCATAGGACAGAACAAAGGATACGGTCAAGGAGGCGAGCAAAACACGAGAAGAATCGGATTCATCGAATAGGGCCAAGTTACATTGCCACCGATTTCCAGTCAACAAGCGTGAGTCACAGGTCAAGAATGGACGAAAGTTAAAGGGGAGAATTAACCAATCAGCATGATTTCTCTTTGCCTTCACCAATCAGACAACAGCTCACCAAGAACCACTGTTGTTCGCTTTTTGCTTTCCCTTCTGATTACCCGCATGTTTATTAGCATGATGCTGTCCGTGAGCGACCCAGTCTTGCCCGCTTGGCCCTGCATACGCGTTGTTCTGCGGGTACTGCTGAGTAAACTGGGAATAATAAGGTACAAATTGATGACCTCCCTGAAACCCATTCTGCCCGAAGTTCCTTTGCTGAAATTGACCTCCTCCATTTCCATGACCACAATTCCCCCCCCTTTTTTTCTTGAATGGTTTTTCATACGAACCAGTTCCTCCTCCGCCTCCACCCCTTCCTTTATCCCCGAATTGATAATCTGAGACAGGTCTAGAGGAACTCGCTACCGGTTGATGCGAGACTACCTGTTGGCCCGTATAAAAATCAAACCCATACTTCGGTTGGCCCGGAGCGTAAGGGTTTCCTTCATACTTCAAATCTCCAGCAGTATCTGTGTCCCAACGAGCCTGCCGAACCGCCTCTTCTTGCACTCCTTCAGGTAAGACAACTTTCTCTACCTTCTTCCCCTTCTTACCATTCTTCTTCTTCCTATACACACATTTCGAGCGTTTTCTGAAGATAAGAGATCTGATGGCCAAATGGTACCGTAAACCAACCATCCAGCATTTGTAACGGACCAGCAAGTTGTTCACTACCTCCTTATGTTGGCGAATGTACTCCGCATACACCTCATGTCCATACAACTCACTCGCGTACCGGGCCTCCAGGTCACAAGTTAGGACGAATTCACCGAACCCCATCTGGCGCTCCAAGTCACGCTCATTTGTCGCCAAAGAAGGTCTTTTCCTCTTCTTCGAGCCGTCTTCGATCGCGGAATTGTGTGCCTCTATGTAGGATTGATTGAATACGGACAAGGGAACATATCGTTTTAGTTTCTTGAACCCTTTGTCCCAATCGAAACAGAAGGTGAGTGGGATCTCTTCTTCTTATTCTTTCCTTTCAATCTTTTCGCTTCTTCCTCCCTCTTCTTCAACTCCTCTTCCTTCTTTTTCAACTCTTCTTCTTTCTTCTTAAACTTCTTAAACAGCTTATCTCTCTTTCTTTCTCCTTTCACCTCCAACTTTTCCTTTTCCGATATCTCCTCCTGACTTTGATTCAATCTACTCTCCTCCGCCATCTCTTTCCTCAAGGCTAGAATCGCCCCCATATCAAGATGGTCTATGGCATCCACGAGTCGATCAACCAAAGGTCGGCCATCATGCGCGGCCGGGAGACGAGCCACGGAGGGACCCAAACCGCTGGCGAGAGAAGACATCGTCGGATTGGGTTCGTCCTCCAAATTGGACTTTTGGCCTAAGGAGCCTACTAAAGTAGTGCACAGCCCAATGCTCGTTAGCAACCCATTTAGTCGAAGTGCTCCTTCGGAAAGGTACGTTGATCAGGACAGAAAAGGAAATTGTGAAAAATTCTCTGAATTAAGAAAGGATTTTGAGAATCACAAGTAATGTGTCGTGTGTTACTTCAACAGACCTTAGCTACTACGAATCAAGCGGAGCTACGACACCCTCTATCTCCCATTGGAAGACTCTGTTGGCCCCTTCGACTAAGATAGCCAATTGGCCAGACGGGAGCTCTATGAGCTACTACCAGGGACATTCTTCCAACTAGTACTCAGTCACGACTAAGTCTTTGAACCCCTAAACACCTAGACGGAGTGGCTGCATAAGTATTTAATGGATAACGAGGAGCCTGACGCTACTACTCAAATCATAATTTGTGTCGAGGTAATATTATGTGATGATGAACGATCTTTTTGGAGCCATTTCGGCTACTACAATTCATATTTGACGGGAGCTTCCCAGCTTCTACCTTTATTATTGAATATTCACATATAATACGAAATCAAGAGGAGAGAGGACTTGAATGACTAGAATGTAGGAGATAAGTAACTCACTATGGTCATTATTGATCAGACCTGCATAAATTTCCTTCCCTCCCCTTTATGCTACCGTCTTCATTTAAAGGTCCCAATAAGTTTTTCTCTTTCTTCCTACTTGACTTCTTCTTATTCCTCTTCAAGCTTTCCTTCTTTCCTCCCCCACTACCTCTATCATCATTTCCTTCTACCGACAAATTCGACTCATTATCTTCCGTCGCTGAACCACCCCCATCTTCTATTAAGTTGCCAACGATGGTCTCCTTTGGCTGGTTGGCCGAAGTTCCCTCTTCTGGGCCGTTTATTTGATTCTTGAGAGGCGAGCCAACATGAGCATTGTTGGACACCGGATCCCTTGATCCCGCTCTTCTTTCTCTTTCCTCCGCTTGCTCTTTGAGTTTAAGCGTGTGAACCTTCTTTTTCTCTTCTTCTTGTCTTGCCAAGTCTAACATCTTCTGTGATTTAAATCGATTTAAAGAATTCTTGGGTTTAAGTTTCCTCCACATCCACTCAGAGGACCGTTGATGTATGAAGTTAGATTCTTTCCCAGGGGTTAGACTATGAAGAAATAGAGAGAGAAAGATAAACTTTGAAAATTGAAAATTATTTCTTTGAAAGAGAATTTGCAACTATTCCTTGCGGGATTGACAGGATTCAGTGTGGGGAAGGATTTTGGATGCGTGTGGGAAGATGAAAAACTTCACTTCACTCGTCTTCCAAATTCACCTTGGGATGAGATGTCACATCTCCCACAATGGTGAAATCCCCTTCTGAACCTGTCACTCTCTCACCACTTGCGAATGGAATTCATTGTACCTTCGCAAGCTGTGGAACAATACCAATACCAGGCAGCTGCTATCATGTAACCTTCTTCAATTACCTATTACCTCCTTGTCACCCACAGATATATGGATACCTCATCAATCCTCATAAAGGAAATTGAGTTGTTTTCTACAGGGTTTGCAAAACTACTAGCACCAATAAAATCATGTTTACAAACTGAAGATATCAAATGTAAGAGTCATGATTGCTCCTGACACCCCTGGGGAATTTATCTGTTCAAGAAAAAAACCTTGAGGAACCTTCATACCACATACAAAACACATTTTGAGAGTACAACCCGTGTACGTATGAAGGTATCATGAAGGTTTCAACACACGGGAAGATTTATGAAAAATGCCAAACAGTTTTTGACCAATCACGGTGAGAGCAGAGTAATCCCGCTCACCTGTGTACCTTAGTTGACTTGGAAAATCACACCAATATGTATCAAACATTGGGAACCTGGCAACCCACAGAACCTTTGATAGGTCTAGCCATCCCACAAATCTTTGATCATCAGAGAGGTTGGTGATCCCCCTATAAAAGAGAGGCACACATTCGAAGACGGAAATAAAACTCTTTTTGTATGTCAAAAAAAGGTTTTGTGCTCATGCCATGTTCATACCCTCATACATACATGGTGGCATCAATGATCATTCCATTTGTGTTACTGTCTTGGTGATGCTACTTCAACAGAGCCCTGGATATCAAAAATGGAAGGCAAAGTTACTATACCATACTTTTATAGAGATTTCTCTACCAAGATTGCACAAACTCTGACCTATATTTTCTCCATACCCTGTGAGGTATGCTATGTTTATCAAAAGCATGAGGAGGAAAACCCGATTTTCTTGTTTTCTTTTACAGCTTTCCTCAGTGCTGTAGCACCACTTATTTATCACAAGAGTGGTGTTGTCCCCAAGGATGCATGTTGGATACTTCAGGCATGCTCATTGGCAACACAGGCTTCTTGAATTCCAAGAATGCTCCTCAGAAATTCCAAGTAAAATTGTTGGTATAGTTTTTTGGCTCTGGAAATTCTGCTCAACAGCTGGACACTTTGTTAGTTGCAAACACCAATTTTGCAGATTTCCAGAGGAACCTTTAACCCGGCAAAATATTTACTGGACCTCCACTTGAGGTTGAAACAGAGGTACCACATCATTATGTTGATGATCTACCTCATGTTAAATATGCATGACTCTAATTTGGATCTTGACTTCTTCAGCCAAAACTGACCACTACATCTTCTGCAAAAATTTGAGCTCCCTCCAAAGCACTAGCTTCACATAGTCTTACCAATTTTACAGAAATTGAGTCACACTGTGTTGACTTGCAATCAAAATCTTGCAGGACCTTACAGTTAATTCTAACCCTGCTGTCGATTGTGGCTTGAGTTGTTGACGCGCATCGTCCAGAAATTCAAAATTGACATATGTTTTTCAACTAATAGCACCAAAAGAAGGAAATCAAAAGCTCTTCTATGTAGTCAGAGTCAGCCCTTGAGTTTTGTGATTGTTAGATTGAGATTCACCAGTGATTACAAGCTGAAGTGAACTGTAACAGGTTAAGCAAGTTTCACCCACCTGTAACCAGGAAAGCGGTATGGAGTGACAGTGAGTTTGAGGTGATGCTGATTTGGTTTCCGTCGAAGACCATGAGTGATTGGAAGTTGAGCACTTTGATTAGAACTTTCGATTTAACCGTTCTGGTCAATCAAACGGTAAACCAGACAAACTCATCTCATTAACTCAATCAAATCAAATCAGGTCAATCTTGGACCCAGCGAGTTGGTTCTTCTTTCTTTCGATTACACCGGAAATCTAATTTAACCAAGAAGACTTCAACATCAAGAAGCTTGCCGTCTCGACACGACTTTTGTACCTCAACGGCAACCTTTCTTCGAGAAACCGACATACTAAACAACACGATCGCTCTAGAATGGCTGTTAACACTCCTAATGAATCACTCGTTCAAGCGCTCCTTACCACCCCCACGCCTGGAACCCAACCAGACCCCAAACCTCATCAGATTTCAGAAAGTCAGACCAAAATCTTAGATAAACTCATTGAACATTTCTCATCATCAGATTTCAAACTTCCAACTAGTTTACCAATTTCATCTGCCACAGAAGAATCGAAAAAACCTCTTTCAGATTGGGAAAAATGTTCATTACTCAATAGAGAAGCATTAGTCAGATGTCTTAAAGCTGATAAATGGGAGCTAGAGCGATGTTTGAAAAGAGTTGAAGAGACGATCGTTTGGAGGAGAGATTGGGGAGCCGATACAGTAGAAATAGAACCACAACAGGCATCTGCAGTTAGAGCTGAGGTAAGCATCTCTCGTTCTGTTTGGACCCCTCTTTTTTAAAAATCGTTGACTGCATAATATCAAGTTTCTAATTCTTGTTTTTTTTTGATAGGCTGAGACAGGAAAGATGTTTGTCCTGGGTTATGACAAATTTGCTCGTCCTATAGTTCACATGAGACCAAGATTTCAAAACACTTCAATTAGTCCAATGAGATTACAATTCTCATTTTGGTTAATAGACCGTGCCATTGATTTAATGCCACTTGGAGTAGAATCGTTGAGTGATCATTTCACTCGAATTGAACATCATCCTTTTCCTTTTTCGATGCGTCATTTTTCTTGAATGAGAGATCATATGATTTCCTAACTTTTTGGATTTTTTTGTTAAACTCGCAGGGTACTACTCATGATCGACTTATCAGGTCCTCAAGAAAGTCCTGCTCTCAAACAGCAGAGGGAGTTTGTTAATGTAAGTGAAAGATTTTTTTTCTTTTCATCTGGCTAGAGATCTGTAACAAATCTAACAAATTCTCGTTTGCTTTGAAAACAGATCTTGAGTGCACATTATTGTGAGAGGTTGGGTCAAGCACTAGTCTTGAACATGCCAAAGCTGTTTGTCTGGGTCTTGAGAGTAAGCTACAAAATCATCACCAGTTTCCAATCACCGTTTATTTTGCGACAGACATTGACAAAGAATGTGTGACGTGACAGTTACTTAAACCTCTAATCGATCCAATAACGTATTCCAAGGCAATCTTTGAGCAACCTGACCCCCTCAAATCTGCCCCCGGTGAACAATTAGATGATACACTTGGAGGTACCAATGGATTTACTTTTGTAAGTCCAAAACCCTATAACAAATTCACAACCAAGATGTGCTGACTTGTCAATACAGGACATTGAATCTTATTGGCCAACTCTGATGAACGAGTGTCAATCACGTCGAAGTCAACGGTTAGCACAATGGACTTCAACTGGAAAGAAAGTTGGTTCAAGCGAATGGGATGTCAATAATTCCAATGAAGCAGAAAAGAATGAAAAATCCACTATCAACAATTCAGATTCTAGTCATTCTCTTCCACCAACATCTACAGCCACCTCATCTACTGATACATCGAATCATGATCAACCTACATCAACTCCTGTTACTTTAGTCATCGAATAATCTTTTTTCCCGTATCTCGCATTTCATCAGATCCACTTCAACTTTGAAACTTACTTGTATAGAAGCTAAACCGTATGATAATTTTCTCAATAATTTGTATCTAACCTCTTTCTTTCTTTCTCATCTGCATTGGATAACATCATTTATTTTTTTCGCCAAGCACGAATCCGCACTTATTATTTCGATCACAATGCATTGCATTTATTATTTCGATCACAACGCATACTACGCAAGTTCCTAAAATATGTCCTGCTTGAATATGAAAGAAGCCATAATATTAGAGTCACATCAGATTTACCTAATACCAGTGATTCTCTCTTATGAATCTTGTTGACAGCAAATCCATCATTTCAAACAAAAAGTTCCGAGAGGGATAACGTCGGATAACCGTAAGCTCTCTGGTCCAGGCTCCGACTCCAAAAGCGTGGCTCTCTACAAGAATCTGGCTCAGATTTCAAGAGTGAAGAAAAACGCTTTAATGATCCGATGAGCCAAAAGCCACGCATCAACATGTTATATAAATTACACCACAAAACGGGTGGAAAGAAAAGGGTGGAAAAATCTCCCACCCTGTCGCTGGCGAAGGGTGGGACTTTGTCAAAAATAATCCGTATGAAGTAAATAACGTGTAATCACAACTATTTGAAATCAACACAATAACAAGGTCCGTGCTGTCAAAAGCATTGGACAAGTCAGCCCTAGTAGAACTCTCTTGCACTTGCCCTGTCAGGCCTTATTCCGACAATAAACAAGAATGAACACCAAGCCCGACCGTTTGACGTTTCCCACGCTCTCGTTTGATTTGTGAAAGTCCATTCAAACCATTCATACCATGCAAGCTTGGCCTGCCATGAAGATGTGTACGTGTTGAAGGAATACTTGCCAGATTTTCCCCTTGCCCCCGCCTGAGTGATCAAAGCGGCCTACAAATTTATCAGAATCGCCTTCAAAAATCCACGACGATGTCTAGTTCGGAAGAGAAGAAGATACTTGACTTTGTACTTCATCTTCCACCTGATATAAATCCATATGGAGCGGTAGCTAAACACATGAAGGGACTTTTGACAGTAAGAAACTTTTAACCTTTCAATTCTCGTTTTCACAAAAACTCATAGAACCTTTGAATCTTCTCAGCCGCCGCGTTTAGCTACTTGGGCGACCATCGCACAACGTTGTGCCATAGCTTTCTATATCATGTAAGCGTCTTGTTTGCTTTTGTTGGCATTCAATCGCTAATGCACAAGTGGAAGGAAATACTCATCACCTACCTGCTCTCGACTCCCTTTTCGATGTCAGTCTATTTGTACAATCATCTCATTTGATTTACTCGCGCGTCAAAGTGGGAGCGTACAAGTTTTGGAGGTATACGCGACGTGAGTGCTCTCAATCGCTTTCTCATCTCGGCGCTTCATGTGACGGTCGCACACCGATAACCTCTTTGTATCAGTCGGATTATATCAGGTCGACGTGGCGAGTGCCTGCGGGACAACCTATGCCATCTATTGTTTCTGTTAGTATCAGCCGAGTCTTATGTCTGTGCCGCTACAAACCGCATCGGTCTCGAAGCGCGTTTCCAATGTCCAGAAACTGATATAGTGTAACCTGAGCCAGTGGCCATAGCCGATCTCTTCCTCCTGGATCTTGCAAATGCTGGCATACGTGACCTGTCTGGAGAAATCGCTTTGTTTGGCTGTAAATATATCCTGATTGTTGGTAATGCATGGTGAGATTTATCCAAAGTTTGAAAAGACTATATTATAACAAGCTGATCATGGATTGGTCCTGGGTGGTATGTAAAAGGTGTACGTTTAAGGACTGGTATTGGAGACTGCTAATCCGATTCCCTTTTTCAAGTTCTGATCAACTTTTGTTTGTCTTCGTTTAGTCTTTCTATGGGTCTGTGCGTGTCAGTGCGCCTCATTGGTCTGCGAATCGGGATTAGGGGAGACGTCTGGCGCGGGAAGGAGACTTCACCCAGCCATCCGGGTATCTATGAATGCTTTACTGTTGGCGTTACACCTTTCTCCGATCCGTCAGTATCCTCTCCTGTCAAACTTGATCTCTGACTCATACTACCTGGTGGCAAAGCTGATACTCCTCTTTATGGGACTCTTTCAATCTTGTAGCCTTGGTAATTTATTACTACGCTGGGCTCAATCACGAGTACAATATCTCAAAATCGATACTACAAGGTGTTCTTCACGAACTTCATGCCAAAGCGGCCACTGTCACTCCTGGGAATTACAGCCCCATGGCACTCTTAGCAACGCTCAAACCTGCACAAAATATACAGCTACATGCTGTGAGTTGAAAAAATTCGATTGTTTTCCATGCCGATGTGATCCGAGTCTCACTTTGTTCGCTTCTCCACAGCACAAAATGGCTGAATATACTCGAAATGGAATCATGGTTTATTTAGTGGAGTTGACCGTTCTCAGTGTCGTGAGTGCATCCAAGTCAAGAAGACTGATGTGTTATCAAACTACTTACCTGAGCCCAACTCTGTAGGTCTATGTACCTTTACTTACCTTCTCACTAGGTCGTTTGTATAGCCGATCAGTCTCCCAAAAGAAGTTGACTCAGGCTGCGTCAAGTGGTGAAGCGGGTGACAATATCTCAAAGATGGGTCGCAAGATCCGTGAACAGCGTACAAGGCTAGTGACACATGCTATAATCACTTATGCAACCACAGCTTTGCACGTTCCTATCATCATCGCGCAGGTCAGTCTTCCTCTAGTTGATCCGCGCACTTCTCGAGTTGAAAAGGAATCTTACAAAAACCTTGTGACGCATTGGGCGGGTTTTTAGCTATCTTATGAAGGTGACGGGTTTCTACGAGATAAGAAATGGCTGACACTCACTCGTGTGGTACGCCATCAATTTTCTCAGTCTATGTGCTTACTCTTTTCTCACCCATTTCGAACACGCAACAGGGCCTCAGTCTACCGTTTTCTATCGGTGGTAACGTGTCAGTAGATATAGATAACTTTCTCTCTAGATACAAGAAGCTGATCACAACTTGCAAACCCTCAGAATCGCATTCATTCTCAACATCCACGCTCGCAATCAGATGCTTGATTCGCGCGCGCGCAACCGCACCTCCTCAGGCGTGACCTCAAGCTTCAGCAACAGCAACAACGCCAAGGAAACTTTCATGCCAAAGCTCAATCCTGCCTACGGCGACAAAGATATGGAGCTGTCGATCCTTCCGAGATTTCCAGGCCTCAATAGTGAATTACACGTAGAGACCCTTGATACACGTAAATGTACAACTGGAACCTTCGCAGTCAGCTCTAATCAACCAGGGGGGCCAATGCATATAACAACACCCGGAATGAAGTCGGACTCAAAGCCGGTTATGAAGAAGTCAAGTGTGCAATTCTATACAGGTGATCAAATCTCTACCTACAAGTCCTAAACCTCAAGGCCTCAATGACTATATTTTAGTCCATTTGACTTCATAGTCAAAAAGTGTATTTCCTGCCATCGTCATTTCCTTTCGAACTCTATCTTCCATCGTTTATCCGATCACTTCAATATCTGAAATTAGCAAGAAGCGTTATTGTAAATCGATTGCATTCCTTCTAAAATATTTTCCATGCGTTTTTTGAGAGCTGGATTTCTCCCGGCTAAAGAGCACGATCGATCAGCTGGACAACTAGGGTCAAATTACAAAAACTTTTTTTAAACTGATTTCCTCCCTTCTTTGCATATAACACTCGTTTTTCTGTTTTGAATAATCATGTTAGTCTAAAATTCATAGGCTCAAGAGTACGATTGATCAGCTGGACAACGAGGGTCAAAATACATAAACTTTTTTTTGACTGATTTTTTTTCCTTCTTTGTATACAACACTCTTTTTTTTGTTTTCAATAACCATGTTAAATAGTCTAAAATTCATAGGCTAAAGAATCATGATTGATTAGCTGGACAACGAGGGTCAAAATACAAAAACTTTTTTTAACTGATTTTTTCCTTCTTTGTACATAACACTCTTTTGTTTTGAATAAGCATGTTAGTTTAAACTTCACTTTGTCTTATATATGTCTTTTTTCAACCACGGAAACGCCTTCTGTGAATAATCTTGATGTGGGTAAGTCAAGCTACTTAACCAATAACATTCTTTACTATTTCCACATACTCATAACACAAAAGATTAAAACTAAATATGACACCTCAATACTTGAGTATCAAGAGTGAATACTATTACAATGATCTCATCATTAACTAGTCAGGGTACAAAGGGGTACAATCACATTCAAGCCCCGACTGCCTACAAGGACTATATTATCTATTAGTTATGACCAATACTGATGGATAGAAATTAAAGATACCAATTCAAGAACTCTCAAGATTGTAACTTGGACCAGGCAGAGTAAAAAACTATCTGTTGACATCATTAGGTAGCAAACAAAGTCATGTTCAAACAGAAGCACTTTCTTCAAAAAGAAAGATCATCCTTCATCCAATTAAATAACCCAATTAATATTCTTCAATCCGGATTCCCCCCAAAAAAACCTCTGGACCCTGACACAACAATGGGGATTTGGGTATCTGGGGTGTAAACAACCGGGATCTTTCTACTTCCCACTTATGACTCACCGAACTGCCATGGGTAGCATCAAATGATGCAGCTTCAACCCCTCCCTTGGTTATCTTTATTTATAATCAATTCTATTGTGATAATTTGACATGACAATCATGCTTTTAATTTTGGAATATAGCTCAAGCAGCAATCATGAGATGAGATCATTGTGAAAAGCATCATGTGTGATTTTTCTCTCAGTCTATGGATCAAAGATCAATCAAATTTCAAATTAAGAACATATAGTGTATTAAACTTCATCATGTAAATGTACTGAGTTATTGAGGTTTTAAAAAAGGTAATTGATAAACCACACCAACTTGAAAATAATCTTGAAGCTGGTCTCTATAGACAAAATTTATCTGGAAGGTGTACAGACACTATATTGATATACATTGCTGTACACTACTTTGCTTCCGGCTCTTTCTGAATCTGTTTTTTTGCTGTGAAGCCGGTTCTTGACTTGGAATGCAAATTGTTTGCAGAAACATCTGAATCTCATGGCACAACATCTTAGATAAATGCAATCATGAGGTTCTTCAGGCAGGCAATTGCTGTTTTTCTCATGCAAACCACTGTTGCCAATTAATATGCAAGAGTTGATGCATGCATGAATGACCAAAATGTCACACTTCAGAAGCCAAAGTAAACATCAATATCAAGGCAAGTAGATGAAGAACTTGGCTTGAGCAAACCAAGAGGTACAGAAGGGTATGTTTGAGCTAGATTTTTCTTTGCTACTGAAGTACTCCAAAAATTCAACTATTTCTCTCCACTAAATAATTACTAAAAACTCTTTGGGAGACATGCATATACTTCTTATTGGTCTTGGTAGACAATAGACCGCTTGTGAGTGGAAATGATGGAGACAAAGGTCCATTGTTGGCTGTCACTTTCAAAAAATATTGTCCTTGGCAGAGTCATGTCAATCTTATCCTTTTGAGAGCCCTTAAGCATGTGTTCTTTAACTTTCTGAACATCAAAGATGGATACTTTAATGTCCTCTACAACTCCAATCAATTTCAAAAAGACTTTGGGAAGCAAAACTATGATGAAAAACTGGCTTCAGAAACACTCTGAAGAAGACTTGAATTGAATAAATACTGTCTGTGAAACACAAGCAAGCCTGCAGAAGCCACCAGATTAATAGATTAGGTCAGAAGCTGTCAGAAGTCCTATTAGATTTGTAGATTGGTTGTTGTGGTGACTTATCATGACCTTTGTGATTTCATCAGATACCATAATCCAAAACTCTCAGACATTCTTGATTGCTTCCTGGGGTATCTTGGTTTGTTGGCTGAGTTTATCAAGAAAGTCTGTGTGTTCTACTTCAAGCTTGGCTGGGACAAAGTTGAATAAGAATGGGTAACATGTTTGATTTGTCCTCAAGTCCTTGTGATCCATTTTACTTCATCTGGGTTTGTTTTTGCATAGTCAGCTCTTGATGAATCTGTTTTCCATTTTCATTAGTATGTTGCCTGGTTTGAGGATTGTTGTGCTTCAAATCTTGACCGGCTTACCTTCCTTTTTTGCATTCAGTGAAGCTAGAGCTGTGTTGATGTGGTTCACAAGCTATCTGTTCAATATGTACTTGAGAATTAGCATCACTGATTTAAATCTCTTGATCTCAGCATTTCTGAGTGGTGCCAGTGGCTTTGATATTGTCTGGGTAGCTGTTTGTTGTGTTGATATTGAGTAAGGGTTCACCCATGCTTGTGGTCTGGTTGGGAGCGGGCAGCTGGTTGTTGGTGGGGTTATGGTTGCTTCTGTAAAACATTCCATCTTCAGGTCTTGACTCTCTTCTTGGAATTTTTTGACGGTGTTGATGAACATCACACTTTGGAGGAGCACATTGTTCTTGTTGGATTTGTTAATAGACAATGAAGGTAGTACACCTTCATGGCACCTTTGTGGGTTAGGCCTCTATTTTGGCTTCATACTTTTTGGGGGGGTTGGGTTATCTTTGTCACTAACAGCTGCATGTTTGAATGGCATAGGGGGGGATAATGGGGGTTTCTGATGATATGAAATAAAAGGTGAGCAAGGTACTGGAATTTAACAATAGGACCCTGGATTTGTGCTGCCGTGGAGTTCCCTATTGCCAATTTCTTTTTGGGGCCAACATTGAATTTCAACCCTTGGTTGCCAAATTTGAGAACAATAGTGGCAAGCCCCAAATTGCTGCACTTGCCCAACCCTATACCTCACACAAGTAAACATGTGTTTATCAAACCTCAAAGTGTGTGTAAACCATCTTTCACCCAAGCCCTGTACATTTCTGGACTCCAAAGCACTGCATCCCAAGCGGTTTAGGGCCCCACCAAAATCTGATTTTGTTGATTTGGGGCCCAAGCACTGTGGATAGGACCCCAGAATGCCCTTACAAAGGGTAGTCACAAAAAAAGTTCTTTTTGAGCTCTATTGGGGCTTTCCAGCATGGGTTTACACATGCCTCATTTGGTTTTTAGCCCGCTCATTGTCCTCCTCTCATCCGTTTGACCATTGCCAAACACCAGTTTTTAAGACACTTTGGCTACTTGAAAGTAGCTCATCAAGGCTGAGGAACAGCTAGTGGCTCGCCAAAGCATCCCTTGAGTGTTTTCCTGATTGATTCTGCTTTGAATCAAGTTGTCTTGAGATTGTAGATGTTATTTGATAGTTACCTGGAATTATGGGTTATGATAGGAAATCAGGGCCCCGAGAGAGCTCAAAAAGAACTTTTTTTTGTGACTACCCTTTGTAGGGGCATTCCGGAGTCCTCTGTGGATGCTATAACTTTTGAACTTTTGAATTAATGTACAAGAGCCCCGGGGTCTCGGGAGCTGCAAGTCAAAGACAAGTGTGTCGGGTACTCGGATCAACCTGATGGTCAAAGGCCTTCGTGAGGTTCAAGTCATCACCGTCCTACAAACTAAACAAAAGCTTTCAATCTCTTTCTTTCACCGATCAAGCATGCCGTGAGTGAAAAATCCATTCGAGTTGAAATGAATACTAAGATATGATCATATCACACTTAACTTTGGTCCTAGTTCAGAAAGATTGAAAACCGATTCACATTTCATCCAACAGTAAGTACTTTCCTTCAATCTTTTCTTCTTGAAGATCATTCAAAACCAAGTTGAAGAGAACAGACAAATTGACCCGTTTTTTTGAATGTTTCATTGATAGGCTGTAGTAGCTCAAGATGTTGATCTGGTCGGTGATCTCACTTTCGGTCCTAGTTAGTCAACTCTTCTTTCATGATTTATACGATTTTCGATCCACCATCATCAAAAGTTGAAGTTTCACTTCTTTTTTCGTGGTCTAGATTGTATGATCCATCCTTCTTGTACGATTGTTGGATTTGGACCTATTATTTTTGGATCAGGTTGTATAGTAGAAGAACAATCAGTAATATGTAATCGGTAAGTCATTTCTTTTCATTTTGATTAACTTTGATCTTCAAGATTGTGATGATCGAATGCTCGTTGATTTTGATCAACCAAATGTGAACGAAAAAAACTCAATATGCAGTCATAAAACTCCCATGGAAATTGGAAACGATAATTTATTTTCAGTAGGATGTAGAGTAGAAGCCAAATCGATCGGATCACACAACATCTTCGAAAGCAAATGTAAAGTTTCATCAGATCTTACCATCAGTGATCATTGTATCATAGGAGCCGGTTGTACATTAGTTTCGGAACCGAGCGTCTCAAGTTTTGAAAATGGGATCTTAGAACCTATGGTTTTACCCGATTGGTCTGTGATCTTTGGTGAACGATCTGAACGAACTCATTGGTCGGGTGAAGGATCGGGTCAAGCTCGTGGATTACATGCTAAACATTTGATGTATTTGTCTGAAACGTTACCTAAGTTTCATAGAACTCGTAGTACTGCTTCAACTTTGAATTCGAAAACTCCAAAATGATTTGAACATGAACATTGGGTTTGGGTTTTGGAAATCGATTGCTATTGGGATTTTCATTGTCAAGAAGTTGTATGATTTATTGAGGGGGTTGGGATTCTGGATGGTGATGGTCGGGTTTTAAATGGCATGAAGAATTGAAGGATCGAAAGATCGTTTGTGCAGGATCAATTCATAATATCATGGTCAATGCAATTGTTAAATCACATTGGTCAAAAGTATTGGTTACACCAACTTTTCAAACCGAATCTAGATTGAATCATCTGGATTGATCTAATAGTAACAAACGGTTTGCAAAAAGCTCATCAACCACATCAACTCTCCATGGTACCTATCAAGCTGTACAAATTACTCGTAGTCTATCTCAAGTAATGACTGAAAATGATTCAAATCAACCAATAAATAGATCACTTCAGACGCTCCACAACACTGGGGTCTATATACATTATAATCATCTTAGTTTGTTTTGGTATAATTCAGACAATGTCATCTTGGATTCCCAATGACTCAGACAAGCTCTTATTGATGCGTTCACTGATAGTGTACCCAGAGAGATTCTAGAAAGTTTGTCAAGCAAATTAAAACTTGGCAAGCTGGTGATCAGATCTTCAAGAAAATCCCAAAGATTGAATGAGAAAGCTGAGAAAAAGGGAGCCTAACCTCAGGAAATGATGGATCTGATGTATCTTTATAAGCTTGATCAAAATCCATTGGTTCGACGGATCTAGCTACCACCTACAGCACAAAGACACCTTTTTGCAGGAGGATGTCCCAACCATCCTACATCCAGACATTGGGCTGGCATCCTAAGTTAGGTCATCATTGAGATGACCCTGAGGTGGGATATCCTCACTTCATCCTTTGGATGCCGTGGCAGTGTCCTCAGTCCGAGCACATCTTGGAACACTCCTTGAGGGTGTCTGAGGGGGATACCTGGCGGACGCTTTGCAGGAGCCTATGACAGGATGTCTTGCCCTCTGCAAAAAAGAGGACATCCTGAATGTATCTGAGTGTCCTTGTGGTGTACATATTGTGGTTGACTTTCAAGTACACCTCAGTCTCAGATGATGTCCTCCAAATAAACCAGCGGGAAGAGAAGATTTAATTTTGGTTTGATCATTTTTTCACTTGATTACTTATACATCTGATGGTGGTTTCATTTTGACTTGAGGAGAATTTGTATAGGTCAAAAATGGTTCAGAAATGTCTTCTAACTTCTTTACAGTATAAGACATCTTTGAGGAAATACATGAGCAGGGAACCTCTTGGCAGTTCCAGTTATCTGTATTTTCTAGAATTGTTCATTAACTTCATCCACTTCTTCAGAATCACACCTCCCTTTGAATCTGATTTACTTGGAATGATTTCTAACTGCTTTTGAAATCCTAGTAGCATATCTATGTGACTTATTGTCTATCCCCTTGGAAAGGTCTTCTAAGAGTGAATGATAGGATATGATGGGATCAGTGGATTGCTAAAAATCTCACTTGTCAAATTGTGGCTCAAAGTTGAGTGAAAATGTGTCAAGATTTAAAAAATGTGAATTTTTCTTCTTGACACTTTATTGGAACTGTTTCCTCAAGAGACCTCTATAGACTAGAGTGATGTTTTTGTTTGCTTCTATAATTCTTGTTAACTACAGCCCTTTGCAGAATTGATGACTCTGGAAAAAGGCAAAACACTTGAGTTTTCAAAAAAAACCTGCGAGTTTTTTTCAAAAACTCATTGAGTTTTTCAAAAACTGAGCGACCTCTTTCTCTTTTAGAATTACTGGGCCAGGTTTCCAAAAAAAACTCACTGACTTTTTGAAGTACTCAGCAGCTTGTTGACAAAACTCGGTCACTTTCCAAAAAAAACTCAAGGTTTTTTCAAAAAAAACTCGAGGTGTTTTTTTTCTTCAAAGTCATCAATTGTGCAAAGGGCTGTAGTGAGACTGATGAAGTGATTGAATTGTATGATCTTTACAGAGTTTGAGAGTGAGTTTGAATGAGTAGATTGAAGTGAAATTGACTGCTGATGATGAGATTTGTGTAATGACTCACTTGACTGTTACTTGTGATTGTTTGATATGTAAACTCTTCTACTCTACTCTTTAATCTTCAACTCTTGACTCTCATCAATAAACTAATCAACTCATCAACTCATCCAAGATGGCTTTACCACTTACTTCTCATTCTTCTCATCATGAATCAAAACCACGAAAGGTAGTCAGCACAAACAACCATCATCAAAACTTTATCATCAAACGAAACAATAATCAACTCACTCATTCATCTTCATCAATACCAAACACTTCTCGATTAACCACTTCTATCAATCCTAATCATCATCCCATCAAAGCTAAAATCAAATTATCTCCTGCTATCACTCGTCCATCTCCTTCTCCTTCTCCTTCATCTTCTAATCCAATCTCAGTTCCTCATCTCGCTACAAGACCTTCTGCTCTATCACATCATCATCACAACAATCCCACTTCAACCATCACAGCTAGAGTCGTCAAAGTAAGTTCATTCATCTCTCATTCTCTGAATCTGGATCTTCTTACAACCTAACCTTGGGTTTTCTAGTCTTCCAAAGCGCTTCATCAAATCAGTTCTCGTCCAAACAGTCCATTTCGACCTATACCTCATACTAAAGATATCGTCCTTTCACCCAACATCACTCAAAGACCATCACCATCACGTTCAAGAGCCAACACTCATTCAGATCGTTGTCCAAGCCAATTAGATTCCGATTGTTTCTCATCTGCTTCATCTACCTCAGCTAATGCAGATGGAGGATCAGAACTTTCACGTACCCATCCACTTGGTCTATCTACTCGTCAGAAACCAATTCATCGAAATGATCATCACTTATCACCTTCAAAGATCGATATCAATCAATCAACTTTTCCATCACCTCGAACAGATCATCATCAGCCCGTGAAACTGCCTGAAAACGTATTGAAAGTTTTTAAAGATGAATTAGCTAGACCTACTTTAAATCAACATAAACTCGCCAACTCATTGATCAACAATCTCACTTCATCTGACCTTTCTCCTTCCTTAGCATCCCCACTGAACCTGATCAAACGTGATCCAAATCCCACAAATGAGACCACAAGACCTCGAGATATATCAACTGATAGAACACCTGTCTCTTCATCAACTCAACGAGCCATCCCAACCGATCCGATCTCAAAAACAGGATTTAATGAAACATGGACACATCCCATCGAGCCTGAAGCTTCTTTGTCTTACCATACTTCAGCTCAGACAGATCAGAAACCAAGCTTGGAAGAAGATTGGGAAGTCTTGAATGATCAAGAAGTGATGGGAGAAAAAGAAAAGGGAGAAGAAGAAGAACAAGTCACTGAAAAGAGTTCACAAGTTGGAGAAGTAAAAGAAGATGAAGCAAGAGTGAATCGAAAGGTGTGCCATCGATAAGATCTTTAATGATTCATAAAGGTTTGGTGGATTACTGACTGATTTGAATGGGTTTTTTTCAATCTTGCTTTTTTTTTGGCGGGGGTTTAGATTTTAGATCTTGAAATCAGTAATTCATCTTTACTAGCCATCAATGCAAGACTAGAACGAACCAAACTAAAACAAACAAGTGAGATCCGAGAGTTACGAAAGAAGTTACGAGAAAGATTGATGATCAGTGCACATCCAATGCTAAGCTATCCCAGTGAAGAAGGAGGACTGCAATCAGGACCAGAAGAATCGGAAACCGAAGCTCTTCATACGAATAACAATAATGTAGAAAGTTTAAAGATTGAAAACTTGATGAGATCTGATTTACAGTTTTCGGAAACTGTAAGGGTTTTGGAAGGATTGATTAGTAGGGCGAAGGATGCTTTGGTTTATCAACCTGGTGAAAAGGATTTACAGAGTAAGAAGGTCTTGAACAGGGTTGAGATTGGAGAAGGAGAAGGAGAAGTGGAAGTGGAAGAAGAAGAGAATGAGGGGATGAATCATGATGAAGAAGAAGGAACAGGGGAAGGAGTTGGAATGGATTGATTCGGAATGGTTTAAGTTTAGTTAGATTGAAGATCAGTTTTGGAAATCATGGTTTGGATAGGTTGGTTTGTATTGTTGATTTATACGAAAGCAATTTTGAAAGATGATTCTGTTATACCGACATCTACTACGTTGCATCAATCATCAATCATCAAGATAACACAAGATCTAATCCATATCAAACTTGGTCCGCTTTACATTTTAGATCTCAACAAACTTATCAAGACTGATCCGATTCGAAAAGAAAGGCATTCGGATGATCTTTCTTTTTCGTTTCTGATCTTATGATGATATCTATACACATGTTTTTTTTTTGGTTTTTTAAGAAGGTTGTGATAAGTTTTAATTCGTTTTATTTTACCTTTTATTTCGTTTTATTTCGTTTTATTCCGTTTCGTTTTTTTTTCTTTCATTATATTGCATTATTTTTATTTTTTAAGATATAAAGGAGAAACAGACAGAGAGAGCCAGATATAGGGGTTCAGTTTTTTTTCAGTTTTTTTATTTTTATAAATTGTTTCTTAGAATTAAGAAGAGAGTTTACAGATTTCTTTTTTTTTTGTATCATTATCATGTTTGATTGTTATTTTTTCATTGTAACTTTTTTTCTTGGATAGATTATCAAATGGTTTGGTGTAATTGATCAAGTATGGTCTAAATACATTCTATTGAGGAATGAGGAATGAGGATAGAGTGTTTGTAAGATGTATTGTGGTTCGTGAAGATGATGAAATGATTGAATATGAGTACAAGTTGAGAAAAATGTGCAGGGTGGGATTTGGGATTGCTTCTTTTAGAGGAGGTTTAAGACTTCAACTTTTGAAGAGGTTGGGTTTGATTGATGGATTGATAACCTTTACAGAATATGAAATGTTTAACTGGAAGAATAATGTGATGTGATGTGATGGTTTTTTTTGGATTTTTTGGGATAAGAATGAGAAGTTGAGGTGGTTGGAGAATGATGAGTTCTTGGGAGAATTCGTATACTTTGTCATGGGGGTAGGAACTTGAAAGGCTTGATATGTGGACTTGGTTTTCTTGGTTGATAGAATAGCGGAGGATGGGTGATTTCATTTCTGACAAAAAATAGTCAAGAAGATGTTGCTGGTCTGTCACACATACGAAACAACATGTAATGCATAGACTAGTGACTAACTGTTGATATGCTTATAAAGAATTCCGACGGTCTTCGGGCATGAATTAGACCGGGTGTTGGAGTTTGGTAATCTAAAAATGTTCAAACCATTTCAACCGATTCGAAAAGTTAAAGCAAACCCCATCAAATTTCTTCAAGCTATACTTCAAATGATAAGAACAAGATCAAGATCAAGATCACCTTCACCTTCAATCGAAACTTCTAAATCATCTGGACTTATTAAACTTGATGAACATCAAAGTAAAAAAGTTAAACTTGAAAATGATATCCTAAATCAAGAAGAAGAAAAAGAAGACCAAATCGCCAAAAATGATAATCAAGATCTTGATGAAACCCAATTAGAAAGTAGAAAAAGTTTTTCAGAATTGTATTCTACTGGACTTTATTTAGCTCCCATGGTTCGAATTGGAACTTGTATGATTCTTTTTCCTTTCGTTTTTCTTAACTTTAATGTATTGTTGAATGAAATTTAAATGATTTTTGGTTTGGTTTTGTTTAGTGACCACTCGGTTATTGGCTTTAGAATATGGTGCAGCATTAGTTTGGGGACCTGAGATTGTAGATAAAGCGATCATTGGATCAGAAAGAATCGTCAATGGTAATTAATCTTTTAAAGAAAATTATGTTCAAATGGATTTCTGTTCAAGGTTTTGGTTTTGGTTTTTTTGGACGGGGGGTTTGGTAACTTTGAAATTAGAAAGAACTGGAACTATACAATATACTAAAAATAATGGTACTACTTCTATTTGGCAAACTCATCCAAGAGAGTAAGTCAATCTTTTATAAACCTGATGATTGATTGTTCCGTAGGGTTTCGGATTCATGAAGTTGATTTTGATTGTGATGATGGTATTTTTTGGTAGAAAATCTCGATTAATTTATCAAATCGGTAGTGCTGATCCAGAACTAGCACTTAAAGCCGCACAAACCGTTTTACAGGATGTAAGTGGAATCGATTTAAATTGTGGATGTCCAAAGGTACGTCAAGCTTTCAATCCAAACAGATCGAAGGGAAAGGGGGGGTTCTCGAGATGTGATGAATTGATGGGGAAAAAATCGATTCATAGGACTTCTCTTTAAAAGGTGGAATGGGTGCTGCATTATTAAAAGAACCAGAGAAATTATGTGGAGTAAGCAAAAACCAAGCCGGAATTTCGACTTGTATTCATTCATTCTTTTTTCCATCCAAACCGCAAATCCATAGATTCTAATTCTGATTGATTTTGAAAAACAAAAAACGAATCTCTTTTTGGGGGGGTTTAGATTCTATCTCATCTAGTCAAAAACATTCCAACCCATCCAATCTCGGCAAAAATCCGATTATTACCCGACCAAGAAGACACATTAAACTTAGTCAAACAAATCAGTGCCACTGGTATTTCTTGTTTAACCGTACATTGTCGTACTCAACTCATGAGATCAACTGAACCAGCACTCCTACATCGACTAAAAGAGATTGTCGAAACTGTCAACCGATCCAGAAGCTCTAGTGTTCCTTTACCTGTGGTGGCTAATGGTGATTGTTTTGAATACAAAGATATGGAAAAGATTAAAGCTTTAACTGGAGTTCAAAGAATAATGATTGCTAGAGGTGCAGAAAGGAATGTGTCTTGTTTTAGTCCTTGTGGTCTTTCGGATCCAGTGACTCAGATTATACCTTTATTTATTAAGACGGGTTTGGTAACCGGACAAGGATATGCTAATGCAAAGTAAACCAATTTATCTTTTGTTTTACCATCTACTTACTTAATTATCAATCAAAACAAACTAATAGATCATTGATTTCTTTTTCGTGTTGATTAGATATTGTCTAACTACTATGGATCTTAAAACTCCATCCAATCAAGAAAAATCAGATATGAAAAACCTTAAATCGATACGTAAAGAGATGAAAATCAAGATTCAAAAAAGTAAAGATTGGGAATCGATGAGTGATTTATTTGGAGTTAATTATCTTGAAGCAAAAGATAAATTATTGATTGATGAAGTTTTTGAAAAATAAATTGGTTTTTTTTACAAATTTTCGCTTGTTTTTTTCTTTCTTTTCTTTTTTTTTGCATGTATACATTAGTATGTATGGTGGTACATATGTTTGTTTTGTTTTGTTTGTTTGGGATTGGCATTTTTTTTGATGATATGGAAAGAGATTGCTTTTTCATTTTACTCAAGGAACCATTCCTTGAATTCGGTACTTAGTCTAGATATACTTTATTGGTTGAGGTTTAGCTGTAATGTGCTTGGTGTGCTAATGACTTGCTCATGATTGGTTGGTCTCATTGCCTTTGTAAAAGGATGAGAAGTAGATATGTAATTGAAACTCATGTCAATGATGTCATACATACCAGGTTGAGATCTTATGTATGACCTCATGAATTCTGGTTCTCATCAAATTTGTTTCTCTTTACCATCCCTCTTTACCATTCTCTACCTCACTCGTTTACACCATTTTTTTGTCGGTGTATATTTACTGTACCAGACTGAGTTGATAACGGTTTGATTCATCATCCAAAGTACGAAATCCTTGCGGAAACTGTTGCGGAAACGATCTGGATAGTTTGTAAAGATGCGGACAGTCGTCACGAGTTTCATCGAATTCCTTGTCGATCCAAATCGTGTTCATGAAGGCTTCATCGAAGGCAATTGAATCAAAGCTTACTTCCGACCTACAAACCTACGTATGATCTCATTCAGGTATGATGACATTGCCTGCTCAATTGAAATATAATGACTGCTCATTGATTATACAATCTTGGAGATTTTGCAAGAAAAGATGTTTTACAAACCTCTCTGCGCGAGAAATCGTCAAGTTTGATATCAAGATCTGTGAATCGAACCTTCAAGTTTTTTTTCCAAATCGGCCAGCATCTCCATAAGGCTTGATTGTTTGATGACTTTATGAATCAGCATTTTATTTACTTGTTCTTAGCACTATCAACTCCTCAGTCCACTTTGATCGAATCAACGGTAAGAAAATCATTACATCACAGAACTTGTCATAAGGAACTGTTGTAGGAAAAACCAAGGCTAAGGTCTACAATCAATCCTGCAATTCTTTCAAATATATCAACTTCAATTCAGGTTCATATTTCAAAATAAAAGAATTGTCTGAAATCAAACATCACAAATGCTCTCATTTCATTCAAAATTCAAGATAATCCTTCAAATAGGATTCATACTCCTAATCAATCAATGTCTATTATCCAAGATTTCATCAGACAAAAACCTTCTTCATGTAGTAGAAAAGCCAAAACCTATTGAGGCTATGATTGGTCAAACCAATATTGGAAAATTGATAAATTGTTTTTCAAAAAAAATTGATCCAAAGAATTTAGGAAAAGGTAAAGTTTTTTGATTCATTACTCATCATGAAATAAAGAAGATGAAAAACTTAAATTTGATTTAATTAATTGGTTTGATATCATTTTTTGTAGGTGAAAGGATAAGTGATGTATCCTATCCTGTAGAAAAATCATCTCAATTAAAAAAACAATCAGGTATTTAATTTTGATAATTTCTTGAGTGTGAAGTTAAAGAAGTATATGGATTTGAAGACTGATTTTATATCATTGTTCAAAATTATAGCAACTCAAGATCTGATTCTGGAAAAGGCTCTTAGGACTCAAAACCTTGGACCAATTGGAAGACCTAATCCCATCAACAATATGATGATATAGCCAACCTATAACAAACCTATTCAGGTATTTGCTTAAATTATGTAAAAACAATTGTTGAGGGAAAAACCAAGTTGTCAAAAAAACATGATCCATCATCTCTAGATCCTCAACTCAATCCCATAGAAGCACAAAGAAGAAAGAAGTCATATCTATATCTATTCCAAATTACCAAAACTTTCTTCATCAAATAGTCTTGATGTTGGCTTTAGTCTTTGGTATGTGACAGTAAATACAACAAAGAAATTGCTTGGATCAAAATAAACATCTCTCAATTTGTTTTGTCTACTTCACTTTTTCAATCTACATAAGGTCTGTACACTTTAACAAATGATTGTTTTTCTTACTCTTTTTGAAATTATTCATCAACAAATGAACAAAGTTGATGGTACCTGTAGTGAAACCCATACAAATAGATAAGTTACAGCATTAAATTTGGCTTTTGTATCACATCTGTTTCTCTGGCATACATTGGTAAGATGCATAAGTTTATGAATTCTGGTCATGGTGTACAAAACCATGCATGATGATCAGTCTCATCAAACAAAGAAAGGGACAGAGAGACACTTCACAAGTTTGTACATCATCTCCAGTCTTGTAACATAAGTTCAGAGACTTGAGGGCAGAGTATGTGTGACTGTGTGCAGTATAATTAGTGAACAGGGCTGGTTCTGACTCCTGAGGCTCTTTGCATCATGGCCTCCAAGATCAATATTTGGTCTACATAAGCTTGTGTTATGCCAAATGGCTGATTATCCTGGTGCACAGACATGTGTTTGGAGCGGTAAACCAGAGGATCCGGGGGTAGCCTGGGACACTCTGGGACTCTGGGAATCTGGGACAAACCTCCCATACACCATGACTGTATGGGTCAGTATGCTATGTAAATACCGACCATGTAACCAACTTGAAATGATATGCTACATGTTTTTGACAATACCAAAATGGTTTTGGACACAGGTTATGCCTGTGGTGGTTTCCATGTGTTCCCCGTGAAATTGCATCTCAACATGAATGTTGACCTTTGTGAACATGCGTGTGAAAGGATCTTGCCCTCATCCCTCTCCTTTCGATCATTTACTCATGCTCATCACAACCTCATCACAACTCACACTCATCACACCTTTCCTTTACTCCATTCACCATGCTACTTCACAACTTCGTGGCGCACATCGCCAACACCAGTCCTCAACTCAGCGCAACACTCACCGTTGCCGATTTTGTTCAATTCATCTCCTTGGCCTCCGAGGTTCAGCATAGCGCTGGAGTGGCCTTGCGCCTCACATCAAACCGATCTGTTTTAGCTTTCCTCACAACTGCATTAACACCCCAGTTTGCCAACCACCTCATGCAAGATCTGTGGAGTTTATCATTTCCGTACTTAACATGTTTTGACCCTGTTGGGGCCATCCGAACTTTTGGTCACCATTCTGACTTGACAACTCCAATACACGAACGTTACTTACGGCCACCGGTTTCGCACTGTCTCGCTTGCCCAAAAGCCTGCAAGTTACACGTTCACACCCGCCTCAATGGCTACCTGTTCGACACAGATGGGGTGCATACGGTTCAGACAGTGATCTTGGATTGTCCAGGTGAGCGAGCCCCTTCTTCTTTGGTTTATTTAACACATAAGTCGATCCTCACTTAAGTCAATCCTCACTTACTCATGATTAACTATTATACTTTCTCAATGATGACCGATTCTACACATATATTATATATCCATCCAGGCTGTAACGCTATGTATCGGCCCAGTTACTACACCCACAACGGTATGCGACACTATTGTACTTTGCAAATGGGACGTGACGACACCATTCTCCATGTACACTGCCACTATTACATCACAAACCGGCTGGGACACCTCTTCCGCGTGATTCAAATGCTTGCTCAGTAAGCATTTGAATATTCCTTATTTTTCTTCGTTACCTGTCAAGCACCAGTGTTTCTGATGATCACCTCTCCCGTCGACAGTGTCTCGCATTTCAATTTGACCAATTGGTATAACGAAATCTATGTCGAAGAGGTAGATATTCCGCAGTTCAACAAGGGCTTTTCGCCGGCTATGTCCGAGGCGGTGTGCCTAGATGGCCTTGAATTGCGGGCCCTCATAGGCCACAAAGATCGACGACAGCAGCAACTGTCACTGCCTGCCAAAGGCAATGACGATGTCCGTTTGGACGAAGCCATCGCGTCCCACCTTGAAAAACTCGATATTGAAGGGACTAGGTTCCGAGACCACTACTGCAGTAGCTGTGTCCGTGTGAATTCTGGTGGTATTGATCCTGATACGGGTGAGGAAATCTTGATGGGTACGTGGTTGTGGTTCGGCTGTCACCTCAAGCTGACCCAATGTCTAGTATCTATTCTCTGACACCTCTGATCATTGTATAGGTATACGTGCCGTGGTGACCGACGGGCTTACGATTGGCCACTGGAGATGCAGTGCCTCCACGGATCAGCTGGCTGAACTCGCAAAGAATTCAGGACAACCCTCACCCGAAGGGCCTTGCACAAACCGACTGCAAAACATTAACGATTGGTTCTGTACCTACCACTATGGGCTCCTAGGCAATCGATGCCATGCACAACCGTGCTGACGCGATGCTATGCCGAACTCCAAAATGTGTGACGACACCTCCCACATAGAAGCGTGGGCTAAATTTACTGAAAGGGTCAAATCCAATTTTGCCCTCACAGCAATTCTGAATCGCCCTGGTTCCAACCTTCCCTCGGACCCCACAGTTCACCTGGATGCTGAAACAGCAGAGTTTAATGATCTTGAAGGATTGCGTCAAGCTGACAAATCTAATCGCGCACACGAAGGCGCATGAGATGGGGGGGAATCACAAGGAAAAAAGAAAGTCGTGGCTTCAAGGTGCCGCACACACAACGATCAACTCGTTGTAGGGTGCTGCGGGATTATTTTGGCGCGTAAGACCTTCTATCATGCTGAATCGGTCAGTGCCGTGAAGGTAAATTTCGTTCCTCCTCCACCTTGAAACTTCACAGAGATTGATACTAATCAATTGAACCTCACAGCACTTCCTCGAGGAAACGTTTCCTCAAGGTGTCCCAGAGGTGGTGTTCTACGACAACGCCTGTCGACTCACTGAACACATATACACAGTGTCGATTTACTACTCACTGGCAGGCCAGTGAGTACGTCCATCTCAATCCAATCTCAAATCCATGTCAGTTCAATATCAATCCAATCTCAATGTTTGGCCTAGAGCAGCAGACAAACAACCTTCCAGAATGAACTGGAATAAAGTTTGGTTGCATGTCCACACATGAAGGTGTCAGAATGTCTGCAAGGTTTGAGAGATTATGCAGCCCATGCATACCCCCCACTCAAACATAATTGGATGTCAAACTGATATTGAACTGACATTGAATTGAGATTGGATTGAGGTGAATGGAACTCACTGGCCTGCCAGTGACTAGTAAAGTTACACTGTGATATCACGGCTCCAGTGATACACATCGCTTTCAAGGTACAGTAATCCCTGTGGACCCTTTTCACCATTGATCGCATGCAGAAAGTGATCAGTTCTGCAAGCTCTTCACCGACCCAAAACTCTTTCCTGATATACAAGAACACGGCGAATGGGTTTTCAATGCGTCAGCCACTGAACTGACCAATATTTGGTACGGTGGTTTTGCATCGATGTGCCGTAACATGCACTCTCTCAGGTATAATTTGTTCTTGGAAGAAATGTTATATTTGCGGAACGTATGGCTAACGAAAAAGTTGAGTAAGCGTTTGGGAATGCAGTTCTTGGGTATTGGAAGTATCTAGTTCAAAGGAATCTCAACCTTGGTGTCATGCACACATGAAATGAATGAGCCTGTTTTTTCTTGTTATAGTTATACACGTACACAAGTGAAAATGTGTCATGGTGTCATAGTCTTGTTTTTGTTCATCTTATTTCATGAATAGTTCTATTTATTTCTTTCATGAATATTTTGAAATATGAACCTTTTATCTTTTGATGTTTTCTTATTATAAAGGTGGAAAACTACCGAAACCTCACAAACCATGTTAGTGGTTAGAACCTATGACCATTGCATAAACTTGAAATGAGTGTGGGAAGCAACCACAACCAAAGGAAAAGAGGGTAATGCAAGTATATACAAGTAAAGTCATTTGTCATAGAATCTATCTGAGTCCCTTTATTCATTAGGAGCTGGATGTAATTGCATTGAATTTGTTTTTGTACCTGAATTATGTTAAGATGTTATCTTGGTGAAAGGTCAAAGATCATTTTCCTGTTTTGGTATTTGAACAGATTGTGATGAAGAGCGTGAGTTGGAGGTAGTTAAGCGATGCAGGTGTTAGTTTGTAAAATCGGTTGAGTGAAGAAAGGGATGACAGGTGAAATGAATCCAGGGGGTAAACGGTGGAAATTTTTGAGGGTCTTTTAGTTCTCTTTTGTAATTGTTGTTTCCTCTCTTTCTGCTTCTTTTCACGTCGAAAAGAATCATTAAGTTTTCCTCTTGTTTCATTATCAACAATTTTTCTTACTAATATTGATACTCTCAACTTAGTTTTAATTCATCTTTTATAAGTCTGTTTAACTTATCATTATACATGCGCTCTTCACGACTTTGTTTGAGCTCGCAGGTAGATAGTTCTTTGATTCACCTTATCATTTTCTCTGCTCTCTGTCTGATGTTTTATTCCTTTGTTATCTTCTTGATCTTGTTGTGTTAGGTCAGTAGTTCTGTTCTCGTTGTAGACTAGCATTCAAGCTACAGTCTAACACAGTTCCTGTGCCCTCAGGTTAGTCGCGTCGAAAAGAATCATTTTAATTCATCTTTTATAAGTCTGTTTAACTTATCATTATACGCGTGCTCTTCACGACTTTGTTTGAGCTCGCAGTTCTGTTCTCGTTGTAGACTAGCATTCAAGCTACAGTCTAACACGGTTCCTGTGCCCTCAGGTCAGTAGTTCTGTTCTCGTTGTAGACTAGCATTCAAGCTACAGTCTAACACGGTTCCTGTGCCCTCAGGTTTCCATTTCGTACTGTAAGCTTGTGAAGCAGATTAGTCTACTCCGGAATCATCAAGATCCGGTGAACAGTGTCCAGAACTCTTTAAATTAAACATTAACTATCAGTGTCAGTGTCTGTCAATAGATAATGAATTGACAGAGTATACTCACTTCAGGATCGAATACATCATGTTCAGCGTGAACAGTAAGGTGCCATTCACCGTCTTCGTTGAGGTTGTCCATGTTAACCTTGACGACTTTGCCAATTCCGCTGATACTCGCTTTGCCTGCGAGATCTTGTTGTTGTGGAGGTACGGTGGCAACCAAGCTTTGCGTGAGGCTGCTGTGTTTAATGAAGACAGTGCCACTGTCTTCAATAAACCCGACCGCCCCGTTTAAACTATAAGTCCAATTGCGGGTGAGCATATCTTTGGAGGTGATATATCCATACGCTTTCAGTGGGGAGACAATGGGGGCCTCTGCGATAGATTTCAGAATAAGTTCTGTGTCGGTCTGGTGCCAGGCAAGGCCGCTTTCTGGCGCGCGCAATTGCGAGGTCTGAGCAAAAGAAATAAAATTAGCTTCAAATATAGTTTTTTCTTATATAAATATGAAAAAAAAGTTGGAATGCTATGTACCTCGCTGGTGGTAGTGATGATGGTGTTCATAGTTGCAGTAAGATCAGGTGCGGAAGCCATGCTGACTGATGCAGATAGATGCTGGCCAAACGTATACGAAATAAGAGTGTCAGTTATTTATATGTGGGGTGAGTCCAATCCAAGTGACTTCTCCCTTGACGATGCAGAATGCTTCATCATTCTCATTCGCATGGTAGGCAGGGTCACTTGGTTGTTGTTAATAACCAGCCAGTGGGAAGTGGGCAGTGGGCAGGGCACCGACCGGTAAGGCCTTACCCTGGCGTTGCCGTTGCAAACGTTACAAGAGACGTAAACATGGGCCCCTGGTATGTCACCAAATGAGCGAGGCGATGTTGTCAAAAGAGCAAAGCGAAGTTGTATTATTGCATCTAAACCAATTGTATCGATTATTTAATATCTAACCATTAGTAACAACCTGGTTAAAAGCTGATTAAGGGTGGGGGTATGCTATGTAAGATAATGGAATTGTGTATGATTGTGTACCACGTCAGATGTCATCACGACACCGCTTTGAACTCTTTTTTGAAGACATCACGTGCTTCCCCCACTGTTGCACAAGGCAAGCTGACGTACTTGGCCGCAAATCGCGTATACGTCACCCTGTCAATCCAATTTTTATACCTATACACCGTCAAACGGGCATAATGCCACTCGGAACCAAAGGTATCCTTCCATGCCTGCAAAGGAGCACGGATCTCACAATCCCGGTACCATGCAAGCAGTTTGGTGATAAGTGAAGAAGACAAGGGCCACCCCTTCTTTTTGGCGGTTACAGGGGTGGGGTTTGTCAACACCGGAGTGGCCGTTTGGGAGCTGTCTTCGTCTGGCTGTCACCCAGAAAAAGGTATATGCGTTTCCGTGTAAATGATCAAGACTTATAAATGTTCGAGACGCATCATAAATACAAGCACTTACAATGTTGTCCGAGATTTCTTTAGTGCCTGTAGTTGCCGACGGTCTTCGATACATAGGATCAAATTCGGGGAGCTCCGATTCTGCGCGGTAGTTTTTGCTCACAAATATCACGTCGTCCGTGCTTCCTTTGTCTTCATCTTCATCGGCATGATGTGATTGCAGTGTACTGACTGGGGTTGGGGTGGGCTCCTTGCAAACTTTTTCGCGTACATATGGTTGGGAATGGGAACCTTTGCCGTTCACCACGACGACTTCATTGGGGTCAGATTGCAGCGAGTCTGGCTGCAACGCCTTGTGTCCACTTCCACTGTCTGCTTGAGAGGTTTCAACGTCTGATCGAGCAGGTGCCTCGTGGGTTGTGTTGAAGGCCTTGAGCTTTGGAAGGGGCAAGCCGGGGGTACGGGGATCTAAGTTCGGCGACTTGACTATAATCTCGTTTTTGGACGCTGAGTACCTGTGTGGGAACGAAACCATGGTTTCGTGCTACCAAAATGGAGCTCAAATTTGGGTGCTTTGGGCTTTTGTTTACACTACAAGAAAGATAATATTTTCTGGGCAGAAAATTAAATTATTGATACACAAAAATATTGAGAGGCCAGGAGGAGAGCAAAAAATGAATAAAAATATGCATCTTGTTCCCTGCGTTGGGAACTTCACTCTGCATATTTTTCCGTATTTTTACAGTCCATATTGATAAGTGTACTAACAATAAACCTTCACAATCATCCAATTACAACCTGTAACAAGCACTGAAATTTGGCTCATTAGTGTTTAGAGAAACTTTTGATTTCTGAAAATACTCATAACTTTTTCAATTCTGGTCCAAAACGCTCGATTTTGGGTGCATTGGTAAGCTGGAATTGTCCTTCAAATAGCTCATAATAGGACCACACAGCATGCTGGTCTGCTGAAAAAGATATCATCTTTTTTATACATTTGTACATACAGATCCATAGAATGATTGGAATACTAGCTACATAGTTCTTGATCTTATGAAAGTTCGAGAGGAAGAGTTCAGCTTTCTAATGCACTTAAAATCGAGTGTTTTGATGCAGATTTGACAAAGTTATAGGTGTTTTCAGGTATCAAAAGTTTCTCTAAACAGCTAATGAGCCAAATTTCAAAGATGCTTGCTTACCAGGGTTGTAATTGGATGATTATGAAGGTTTATTGTTAGTACAATAATCAATACGGACTGTAAAAATATGGAAAAATATGGAGAGTGAAGCTCTCACCGCAGGGAACAAGATGCATATTTTTATTTATTTTTTGCCCTTCTCCTGGCCTCTCAATATTTTTGTGTATCAATAATTTAATTTTCTGCCCAGAAAATATTATATTTTGTGTAGTGTTAGAAGATACGGACCCACCCAATTATCAATCTTCTCGTCCCAAAAACAAAGGGCCCGATTCCAAGTGCCACCGAATTTACGCGTGCATGCCTGCATGAGCAGCGGTGATTCTTCCAGCCGTGCTTTAGACCATTGGTCCATATGGGCAGAGATCACTTTGTATTCATCTTGCTGTTGGATCGGATGGTCATCAATATCTCTATCTCAATGTAGTAAGTGAGCATGAATCACGCACATCAAGCCATAAGTGGATAGTCACCACTTTCCTCTCTTCGTATCTGTTGGCTCTGCGGTCCATCGCTTCGTATTGTTCGCAGCGATCAATTTGAATTGCTGAGACGGCCTGGACCCCCAGGCGGTGTCCAAGCGAGTTGGCCGATTGCGCCCACTGATGGATGCGAGCAGGTGCAGCATGTGGCTGCACTGCCTGGGGCGGTAGTGGTACCGGTGGTTGAGATGTGCTGGGGGTAGGTAGGTGAATGGGCGTGGTCACGCTGGCTGGCCAATGTGTGATGTGGGGGTCCGGGCGACGGACGTGCTTCAGGCAGGCTGTTAAACCGAATTCAAGACAGCACTATGATAGATGATAGGTGGGGAAGTGTTAGTGTGTTATGTGTGTTTTGGGGTTGGAACTACTACTGACAGCTTGACAGTATTGATACGCGCAACTTTTGTTGCCAGTGGTCCGGTGAGTCCAAGCAACGGGCCCTCGAGAGGCCCTCTGATATGGGTAAGCAACTTTCGAAGAACGATGAGGGCCGGCAAGTGATTTGCGTTGATTTTCGAAAGGGGTAAATGCCTCTTCTACTCGGCCTAGGAACGGATGGCCATCACGAGGAAGAGGTGGTACCAAATTGGGAACTTGCGCAGCGTTGTTGGTTGGTTTTGGAGGAAGGACAACCCCTTAGGGGGATATCCGAGGTCCCCAGTCTGCCGAAGTAGAGACGATCGGTTGTGAAGCCCCAGCATTGATCAGGGCCCCTTTGTGGTTGAGTTGGTCACATCGCCATGTGCGCCAATTGTGACCATTCTTGGGCTTTCGTGGGCACTAAGGAGGAAGGACCAGTGTCAGTTTATTGTGTTTGTTGCAGTGTTCAAGGTAAGATGTAGTAAAACAAAATGAATGAAAAGAACTGACATGGATGAGCCATGCGTTCTCCTTTGCCGAATGATAACAGAGGGCAGTCTGGCATTCTGGACACAGAATGCCAACCAGTTTGTTGAGTGCGGGCTCAGGCAGGTATCCTTCAGTGATGAATTGATAGCGTTTGTGGACCAGTTACGCGACGACCATGATCGAAAAGATGATTGAAATGACCTTGGCGATTTGATTGAAGGCGGGATGTGTAAGTTCCAATGAAAATGTTGAGTGGGATCATGATGATAATTTTTGAGGTGTGTCAACTTCCCTTTTGGTTGGATGAAACTCTGATCACACTGATCTTTGATATTGGGGATGTCCGTTTTGGTCATTGTGATACTGAGAGAGAGAGATTGGAGAGAGGAATGTGATGTGCAAGTTGGGGATGTGACAGGCTTGCAACATGGGGTGCAGAAGATTGTACGTAGGGTTTTAGACTTTTGACGTAGGTTGATGGACTTGACTGGTATGACATGTAGTATGCCTCTATGTATGCTTTTAGCGAGTGGGATATATTCCCAAATTCTCAGTCCCAAATTCCCAGGACGGAAACCCGGATCCTCGGGTGCTCCCGTTTGGAGTTGAGAAGATGGATTTTTCTGACCAATCCCACAATGTTCTTATTTCCTAATGATTGCATACCCAAATGTTAGTGATTATGAATATCTGAAAAGAACCAGAGTGGAAAATACATACATATGATTGAGTCACTCTTCTATATCTACCACACTAAAAAGAATGCAAGATTGCAGGCAACAAAAAACCTTGTAATCTTTCCCAAATTGTTTTATATATTTACAAAGACCAATGGGCTTTACTTTTGAGAAAGTCTAAAGAAATTCACATCATGAAAAATTGAAGCAGTCTTCACAAATTTCTGGACCTGCAGATTCAAGTCAAGATCCAAAACCATATATCTTAGTTTATCATGTGCCTCAAAAGGGGAGAATATTGAAATTTTTGGTTGACAACTGTGATTGGATCCAAACAAAGAAATGATATATGGATTTAGTTCCCCAAATAGCACCACTGAACAATCCCATTGAAGTATTACGTGAAGAATTTACAAACGTTCTGAATTTATCAAGCGGGAGGATAGAACCCTATCCAGAGTAACACACTAATCGGGCCCCAAAGACCACACCAAATCCACCACCATTTTCCAGTCTTTTCACCAGGCCATAAACCCCAACCCGATCCCACTTGATCAGCAAGAGCCCACCAAATCCCAGGGATACTAGCAGCTTGACGTAAGATGATTTGAACATGTGAATTGAAGAATAAGATCATCGTCAAGATTAATTGTAAATGAATGTAAATCATCAATCGAGATCTTAGGAAAGGTCGAGAAGTATTGGGTTTTGAGGATCTGTAATATGTTGAGATGCCAGAAAAAGAAAGAAAGTAAAGTGGGATAGATATTATGAAATTCGGAATTTGGGCAAGTTTCCAATATCGTAAAAATCCCACATCCCTTGTTCGAGTTTCAAGATACATAAGATCAAGTCAGTTTTCGCAGTTGGTGTGATGAAAACACTTGTTTAGGGAGCTTGCCAAATCCCCTGCAAAGACGGAAGAGATGAACGAAGATTCTTGAAACACAATCTGATCACTTACCAGTAGTGAGACTGAACAAATGGATAAATCGCAGGGAGTGTATTTGAGCACCAAGGTCGAGGTGAAAAGGATTCTGAACCTCCCTGGTTTAAGCAGAACCGAAGATACGCCTGGTATTGATCTAAAAGGAATGGTGCACAAGTGATAAAGACTAGCACAGCAGTCTCGATTGCCCGGATCCCGATGATCTGATCAATCATTTTCAAACACAGTCGATAGAGCAAAACAAGAGCTCATGAATATCTTGGTAAACACATTGAAATGACATTCGGAGTCAAAGAGAAATGAAACTGACTATCAATGCACCAAACCTGTTGGCCGGATTAGTACGTATCCGTCGAAGGGATTGTTTGATCCAATCCCATCCCCAAAACCCTGCCATCATCACACCCAAGGGCCTGAAACTGGTAGAAATCGCCCACAGCCCAGCAATTGTCAATTTGAGTAGACAAACTGTCATTTTGAGACGTCTTTGGGGGTATCGATCAAGTCTTGCAAAACCCAACATGCCAGCGAAGGTGAAGAGGGCAAAGAAAGGCTCGGTATAGACTACGACTTGAGTGCTCGGCGATGGCGAAAAGATGTGAAGTAAGCTAGTGAGAAATGAAAATTGACTAGAAGTTGTCAACTCCATCGTCAAGCTGTTTATCAATATCCCAAGCACCACGCCACCACCAACACAATTGTCAGATCACTCAAAGTCAAAAAGAATCATTGGAAGAACATGATGGACAATAACCAACAGATACAACATCACAGTTGAAAGTACACTGGCAAATAAGGCCAATAAGCTACCTCCCAGAATAGCAGCTTGTTCTTGAGTGTAAAGACTTTGAGGTACAAGTGATTGACCCAGGGACAATACCCAAGTAATACCTTTACCAAAGGCCCATTGTTGTTCAACGGTCCGGCCACCGTGTCGATAAATAGACAAAAAATGCAAAACGTCCCATCGAACCAATCCTTCTAGCGTGCCCATAGAACGAGCTGACGAATCGAAGGCGGGCACCAAATTGAATTTTGGGATGAGCAATATTAAAATCAAGGTGATCGAACGAATCATGAACGCTATAGAAGCGATCTTGATTAGATGCTTTTTTTGGCTCATCGCTTTTGGAGCCACAATAGTCGATCAAGAAATTCAGATATCTCAAGATATTCGAATGGTGCGAAGGACTGATCGCCAGATTATGAGTAGAAGAGTGGTGAAGGACCCGTCTGCAGGATCGTACGCAGCGGCATCAGTAAACGTAAGATTCGTCTTGATTCGTTCTTTGTCGAACCTTGCACGACCAAATCAATGTGCTGAGTGACTAGCTCTGATAAACTGAGAGAGGATGAATGGAACTTGAACAATGCGACACGCTTGAAATGCGGAACCGTGGAGAACCGTGGAGTGCTTTTCAAGATCTTGTGAATGTGATTATCGAAGAAAATACCCGCGCCAAGCTTGATTGCGGCCCGAGCACACCGACTTTTGAGCAAAACCCGAAAGTCCCGGTTTTTGAGCTTGACGGTCGGAATCTCATCCCCATACCCCTCACGAGTCAGTGGTGGTGTGAATTAGAACTACATGAGGGCAACAAGCATCACTGGGTCTTCAATGTATCAAGGCTCAAGCCATTTGTTGGAAACAAGGAGGAAGTGGTATGACAAGGGTGTTTGGAGTAAAAGTCAGCTCCCTCCACTTGTATGCACCACCAAGGTACCGCACTACCATTTTCAAAACAAAACCATGGCCATACTGTGAGTGTTAGACCACCTGTCTGCTTTTCTTCCACAGTATCCAACAAGTCCCAACCAAACACCATCAGGATTCTTTTCTTCCTTTCTTTCTTCTCAGATTTTTCCCTTTCTCTTTCTTTCTCTTTCTTTCTCTTTCTTTCTTTTTGTCTCCTTTTCTTTTGTTTCTTTCTCTCTTTTGTGCTGACAACCTTCATCTATCAAAACATCAAACACCAACAAAGTTCATCATATTATTTCAATCTTTAGAATTTTCTTACGTTTCTTTCATTCTTTTTCTTTACTTGCCTGCTTTCATGTTGTCAGTGTTAATTCCCTTGTTTTCTTGATTCCTCTATAAACCTTTCTATGTGGGTTACCTCAACAGACCTGATTCATTTATTATGTGTGTTATTTTTCTTTTTATGGTTGGTAGTGTCAAGAAGCGTCAAATCTCGGACCGGATATTTATCAAAAACTACACTTCAAGACAAGATTTAGTTATGTTGTAGAAACCAACTAAAACAAGAAGTTTGAATATTGAATTTCCAATGGCATATCTGGATTGCCATCAATGCCAGGAGTCCAACAGTATCTTTGGCTCAGAAATTCAGTGAGTTTTCTTGCTCGGCCTCAAGTTGGCAGAGTAATACCCGCTGGTCCAACCTTTGACGCTTCTCGGCACTACCAACCATACATTTCTTATTTTCCTTTCTTTCTTTTTCTTTATGGGGGGGGAGAATGTAATGCCTCATGTCACTTGTCATTACAGAAGTCTACCATATTACTTAACATACCTTAGACCTAAGACTTAGTTCCCTATGTATATCTCCCTTTCCACAACACTACCTTGACCTGACAAGTCTCATTGGAGTCAGGTACATCTTTTATTACAAATCCTCTTTCTATCTATTTATCATTCTTGTAGAAGGATCTTTGACTGATCACTTGTCATTAGGGGTTGGGCAAAAGTTTGAACAAGTTGTAGCAAGCGCATTGGGCGCCATAGAATTTGTAGGAATTTGGTTGAATTCCAATCAAAGGTGTCACAAATACCTTTTGCTGGGATGCCCAGGGTCAACATGCAAACCTAGTGATGTGTCCGACCACTAAAGAATTGATACCTGTGACATGAATCAAGCCAGGCAAACAGCAAGGCTTTTGAAAAGCCTGTTTGTTTGGCCAGACAAGTGTTTCTGAGCTGAGATGGTGAGCTTTAGTGTCACACCACACGGTTTTTTTTTCTTACATTTTTTTCTAAAAAACAAGCTGGCTTTGATATTGTCTGAACAGTTGCCTCATCTTCAGTCACTTTTGAACTGAATTAGATTTCAATTGCAGCTTGGGTCACCAACAAGCGATGTCCACCACTTTGTAAAGCAATTTATACTTTGATTCTAGAAAACATTCCACCACATTCTGTGGTGGTGTTTGTTGCAACTTGGCTTAAAAGATACTTTATATGTTCTTGACCCTTCCTTATACCTTTCCTTCAGTGAGGACATATCAAGTTCTTACAGAATTGTTTTGCATACCAAAATCAATTGTGGGATACAAAGTAAAATTCAGGCAGGTGCCCAGCCTCACGCCCAGGATTATTTTGGCTGTAAATTTTGATTTTCTGGGCAAAAGTCAGGGCCCAGAATTCAAATTTACTGCAAAAAGAATCTTGGCACAAGGCCGGGCACGTGCCCAGATTCTACTTTTTATCCCGTAAATGTAGCAGGTGGGGGCTTGAAAAGTGACAAACTCATCAACAAACTCATCACAGCACCTGTTGAATTGGAACAAAAAGTTGGAGAGAGAATTATCAGTATTCATCCAGGATAATGCATCAATAGGTTCACATTCAGACATGATGTTGAAAATTTCTTACCTTGACTGAAGCCCGCAATAATGGTTTTGTTCATTTATTCTTGATTCTTGATTTGTTCAAAAATAACTGTAGAAATCTGAATGCAACTATGTTTCAACCCTTCCTCATCCTATAGATAATTTAAATTGTGCCAATCTCTGGTATCAAACCAACCAGGTCTTCCATCTCCTTTTGGTTGATCTGAATAAACAGTAACCAGTATCACAGGAGCTTTAGGTAAGTTGAACCTAACCCCTCAAGTTTCCAATTTTCTGTTGATTGAGAGGTCAATTTAATGTAGATAAAAGTGTTTTTCACCATTGATATGCGTGAGTAGAACTAACAGAGCCTAGAGTAGACCATGCAAAATATAACCACCCATCTGATGCATTTGCCGTGCCTAGGGTCAATGGGCTCCAGTACACCAAACTTCAGAGGAGTTATCCCGGGTTTTCTTACTGTCCAATCTGATTGGTAAGGCTGCAAGACTAAACACTCTGGTGGGGGAGGCGGATTGAGTTTGCTTCCAAGCAATGTGATGTTCAGAGTAGCAGATGATGGTGAATGTAATAGGCCGGAGTTTGAATAGTGATGTAGTCAAGGTCCAACATGTGCGCTCAGTATAAAAGACAAACAGGAGGTAATTGAAAGACACAACAAAACAATATGTCAATTCCATAGCAAACTTGTGAAACTCCAGAAAGCATCATTCCGGTCAATCCAGAGCTCATGCTGGCCTTCAATTTCAACCAACCATGCCATGGGATGGAAGGGGATCTGCTGTCTTCCATCTGGGGCCATTTTTCTGATGCTATGCAAGACTGAGAGGGGTCAATGGTCATTGCAAAAGTTTTAAGGAATTGGATTTTTCTCAAGAGAAGTAGATAAAGGAAGAGATGCATTACGGGCTGGAATGAAAAGTTCAATTATGGTGTTTGATGGGCTCGTTAGTCCCTATTTATCTAAGCACTGGCAATGATTACAACTAAGCAAAAACTGTCCAACATAACCAGGAATGCAAGAGTAAACAAACTTTGCCTTGCAATCAGGAAGTGTGAGGAAGGCTTCAAGGAAGTTGGTGGGTACAGGCAAGAGAAAGTAGGGGTGTGTAATTGGTATTCTATTTTGTTTTCCTCAGAAGGAGAAATTGAGGGAATGCTGAGTGAATATGGATAATGTGCATCCTGATAAGCTCATCTTATTCTTGGGATGACTCACTGAGGATTTTTTGATTGCAAGAGTGAACATAATCAATAAGACTTCAAGTATTGGCTCAGGAGTGCATCACTTAACAATGAACAAGTGTCTATAGAGGTTTTGTTTATGTATTCTGTGCAAAAATGCATGTAGTCAAGTAAATGGAGCACAAAAAACAAAAAGCAACTGTTGCTCTTTTAGAAGTCAAACACACATCATGAAATCCAAACAGAATTTCAGTTGTACTTGCATCTATCAGGAAACTCATCTTCTCTTTGTCCTTTGTTGAACTACCAATACCTACCTACACAAAACAACAGATCCAATAGAGGTATTTGTTCCTGATTGAGTCTTGCTTATGATTTATAAAGGCAAAATATATACCAAGAGTCTAAGCACACAACTTCCATAAGCAACACGATTACTTCTATTCTAATCAAACTTCTTTTTATCTTTGACAGCCATGACAGGCGATGTCAGCTGGCACTTGGGATCTCATCACTTCCGGGATTCTCTTTTACAACAAAAGAAGCTATCACATCAAACTTCAAGATTGTAATCTTCTAGAAGCCGATTCACGCCCTTGAAGCCAAATCCAGGAAGCACGGCACTTGATTTGTAAAGACATGAAGGCAAGATTTTGGTAATGGTAAGTTTAGGATGTAATCCGACACGTCCTGCACGTCTGACTTCCGATTTTGAACCGGGCAAGCTGCATTATTTCAGTGGTCATGTTGCAAAACAGAGTGGAATTGTGATGCGCCATTGGCACATATATTTTTGCTAGTGCACCTTGACAGAGGCTTCACTTGAGATTTCCAATGGTTTTTTGTGGAATAGTTCAATTGATTATATATCCTATTTTGAAAATATGAAGGTTTGTACAAGCTGTGTACTGAGTGAGGGTGATGAAGGTTCTTGTTTATCGCTTGTTATTTACATTTATTTACAATTGGTAGCTATCTAAAGGAACTCTCACCCCTATGAATTGATCAAGATTTCAATCATTCACCAGGCTTTTCTCCAAATCACTGTCCACCAAGTCCACCTCCGCCGGGACCGCCCATCATACTCAGTAGATCTTTTAGTGATCCTCCGCCGGGCTTCTTCGGTTGTCCGGCAGTTGGCATCATTCGACGCTCAAATTCACTCTGTACAGGTTTGTGAGCTCGGAGCTATTCGATTGTAGTCAAAGATCTCGTGAGTAAACAATTCTGTCATATTTGAGCTTCGAGAGACACAGTTAACTTACCGGAGTGAAAGCTGGAATAGGCATATCGGAGTATCTGGAACTTGAAGAGATCCCTTCTCTGGGCTCGCTGTGTTGTGATGTGTTTTCCAATGGAATTCCATTATAGGCTCCGAGCAACATAGTTATGATGAGAGTGAGGGTGATGAAACGAGGTGACATATGGGTCATCATCTTGATAGTTGAAATACTTTTAGACAAAGAGATAAGCTGAGTTTGCAATCTGATTTTGAGACGGAAAAAGTTGAAGAAAAGCTGTTGACGAAGAGAAATATTTTTAATACAATTATGGTTCTCAAACCTGTGCAAGAAATGTGCAAGACCGACGTGCAAGATCCGTGCAAGATTTCTTGCACCAATCTTGCGCATTAAATTTTTTGACGACCCCAGCTATTTTGTTCCAACTGGTACAAAAACCGTGCGAGACCGACGTGCAAGTTCCGTGCAAGTTCCGTGCAAGTTCTATTCATGTCTTGCACAGAAGTTGCTCGAAACTTGCACAAATTTTTGCATAGGTTTGAGAACCATAAATGTGATGATATCGAATCAAAATGTATATATATACGATATATATAGGGGGCTACTAAAAAGCGCCCGCAAATAAAACCTGAGACCGCCCGCTTTTAGAATCCGGTGGTTACTAAGATTGTTGGACTGAACTGTGGTTCAGTCCCGAGGTCCTGATCTGTGTGATCGTTGGAATCCAATCAAACAGAACCGGGCGGTCTTGAAAGTTATCGAGAAGCCCTCAAAACCTCCCGGTACACACATCTCACAAACTGGATAGCAAGTTGCCACCCGAGTTGCCGAGCTTCTCGCAAAGATCTACTGCATGCTGCAGGTGACTCTAAGGATCCCGTTGATTATAGGGCTCGCTGGTGGGGCTGATGTTAGGAAGGTATCCTGAGTACAAACCAAAAGGCTTTTACACCCTCCTCCTAGATTCCGACTCGATGAAGCTAGAATTGCCCGTATGTCTGCCAGTCTCTTCATTTGGCAAGTCTTGAAACTTTGACCAGACCAAGTGAGGGATCAAACCCCATTAAACTGTTTGAATGGTCACAACAGCTCAGAGCCTTGAGTGTCTTTTGAGCAGAGCTTAACAATCCAGTTGAAGTTAACGATCAATATGGTGGATGAGATGTGTGTAGCGGGAGGTTTTGAGGGCTTCTCGATAACTTTCAAGACCGCCCGGTTCTGTTTGATTGGATTCCAACGATCACACAGATCAGGACCTCGGGACTGAACCACAGTTCAGTCCAACAATCTTAGTAACCACCGGATTCTAAAAGCGGGCGGTCTCAGGTTTCATTTGCGGGCGCTTTTTAGTAGCCCCCTATATATACGACTAAAATATAAATCAAGGTCAAATGAGGTTAGTTGTGATAGGATGATAAACAATATTTGGGGTCGAATGAAAGACACTTTATATAGGATAATATTGACCGCCATTGCGTCAAAGGTCAAAGTAGCAAGGCGTCGGCTTTCTGGATCGCCATGCTGACTCGCCCTGCGCGGCTTTCTGTGAATTTGTAACGCTCCCATGTAGGCTCACTCTAGCTATCGATCAGAGCCTCCTGGCACCTGCCCAAACTTAAGAAAGCCCTTCGCCTCGCCCGAGGCCCGAGGCCCTTGCTCAAGCCTCGGGCCTTTGGCCAGGCGAGGGACTTTGTGAAGTCTGAGCAATTTCTATTTACATATCCTCCGCAACTGTTCCGATCACCCCCATCTTTTGACGTCACAATCATGCCGCGCCCCAAACGCATGCCAAAGGTCTATTGTGTCAGGCATGGGCCAACAGAATGGTAAGGTCTCTTGGTCACACGACTTCAATATCCGTAACTGATGTTCAAATAACTCGTTCGGGTATGTTAGGAGCCTAAATGGCCGCCATGTTTGTCCTTGGTTTACCTGTTCTGATTCACCTGACTGAAGCTAACCATTGCCTTCAGACCGGTACTACTGAACTACCACTTACTCCAGGAGGAGAATTGATAGTCTCTAATTCATCCCCCAGACTCGTCGGTCCTGGCAGTTGAGCAGAGGTTTCTATCCTTTTCGGTAGCAAATGATCTTGAGTTTGACAAACACTGATCCAACGGGATGCAAATTTTCTCAAACAGAAATTTTGGACCCTGCAACGATTTCCATTGCGTTTGTCTCACCACGGTTACGAGCGCAGCGCACGTTTGAACTCTTGTTTCCATCTCAGGATTCCCGACCGAATACTGAGGTCAAGGAAGATATTCGTGAATGGACTTATGGGGATTACGAAGGTATTCTTTACCTGATCTTCCTCTTTCGATATCGTATATGTTTGCCGATATGCAGGCCTCAACCTTTTATGATGATGCGCGTTAGGACTCTGGAAACACCAAGTTGTGGAGATCCGTAAGGAAAAAGGTCTCGACAGTGGAAAAGACGGCTGGGACATTTGGGTAAGCTCACCTGCGCCAGTCCTCCAAATGGTCACATCAGGCTTGCTGAAACTCGTAAGGGAGGTTAGGTGGACGGATGTGAGGGAGGCGAAAGTCCCGAAGAGCTCGTAATCAGAGCCGATCGAGTGGTGGACCAGATCAAGTCTCTCCATCGGGCATGGATGGAAGACCCGTGTCGAAAAGAAGACGATGTGGGGGGTGATGTTTTGCTGGTCACACATGGGTAAAAGATTCGATTTACTTCGAATTGACCCACCGAGTTTGCTGATCAGAGCCAATTTCGGTACAGACACTTCTCACGATGTTTCGTTGCGCGATGGCTTGGCTTGCCTTTGCCTATGGGTGGTCTTTTTGTTGTCGACACTGGCTCGGTGACTGTTGGTCAATACTATCATGGGCTTGACAGAACAGTGTTGGGTGGACTCAACATCAGTGGGCATGACGCTTAGTGGAGGGAGGCCGGCTACCATTCATAAATCGAATCAAAACTGCGTCTGCGACGAGCACCACCTTCAATACTGTCAACGACTTTATCTGTCATTTATTTCTGAAGTTTGCGTCTGTGAATCGAATACTCCTCCATGTAAATTTGTGGCTGACTCCAATACTTTAAGTCCCAATTTCTGTCAAACCATAGGGACTTGTTCTTTATGGACGAGTTCATTCACTTAGACCAGTAATTTCTGGCCCTTCCTGTGAGCGCTCACACTAGGACATACGCATCAAGCATCGTCAAAATGTCTCACATTGGTTGATACAGAACTGTGAATCTTTTGAGGGTTGACTCGTGGAATCTCATCCCCAGAGTCCTCCCTTTCATCAACCTTACATCAATTGAGCACGCTCATTCAATATCCTGAGTAGGCTGATATATGACCCAGATGCACATTTGGGAAGTCTTTTGAATTACTTACAAATTGGTCACTTGCAAGTAGGTCAGGGACTGTACTCTCCATCTCACGGACACTAAGGGCCTGGGTTGAACTCCGAACCATGCTATAACTAAACGACCAACCAAACTGAAAGCTCCCCTCCAGAGCCAGAATCTGCATAGATCTGCCATGGGAAGCTAGAACCAAGCAGTTCTCGTATGTAGAACTATACGTAAAGTAGCATGATATAGCCGGTCTGGCTGAACCCTGCAATTCCAACACATAAAACATATAGCTTTTGAAGTAGGCTCAGCAAGTTTCTGAAGTCTCATTTGTTATCTTCATAACTCTTGATCAGCTTTTTACACAGATTCTATATCGATTGCAGGCAACCTATGTCGGAAAAGACCAACACCACTCTTGCTCCATTGGCAGATTTTTGTAATACAGATCCACGCTCTGGATAGACCTTTATTGCAGAGATGTTTAGACCCAAATGAAAATTCAATATCCAGGTGTGGGGAACCACTCGAAGTAAATAAGGGTTATGTATTTCCAAGCCAGCCGAGCGGAGCCATGACATGCTGATACTTGAGTTTTCAAAAAATACGGAAAGTAGAAACTTCATCAAAAAGCCCAAACTTCAGTCGCCTGTTGAGGGAAAAACTCTCGCCTCTTGAAGACTGAGTGAGCTCGCCTCCAAATTGCTTTCACGTGTATTGTTCAAGTTGATCAAAAACCATACTTTTGCGGGGAATCTTTTGGGTATGGGTTATGTGCGACTTGACTTTACCACAATGGGACTTCCGAATTTGTTAGCAGCTGATTGGTTCAACTTGTTCTAAATTGTATCCAGATTCCAACGAGTACAATAAAAGCAGATACGAACAAGAAGTGAGTATTTACACCTTGGCATGAAACCGAAATATCGCGATAGTGATCCTTAATCCAACCCAGTGGTGATGTCTATCCTTCTTCGCCAATCTCGATCAATCCGTGCTATCGGGACTCCATTTTCGAGTCTCTCGCGCGGTTATGCGACGGAAGCGAAAGTGAGATTCTTTCCTGATGAACCCTCAAAGCCTATCATGAAGTACGATCAGCTTCCGGGTGCAAAGAGTCAGGATTTGTCTGGGAAGATGAGTGTATGGCAAGATGGTATGCCATGGGTCATCATTCAATCGATCTAGGCTTGTCATTTGTCACATCTTGCTCACGGTGTGCATGACTTTGGGATAGTTCGCGCACAGCAACTCGTTGCAGGTAAGCTGTTGTGCTCGCAACCTCCTTGGCTGCCTTGACTGACTCGTACCTTATGATTGATCGACTAGATTACTCCAATAGCATAGGGAATTATCTACAAGATGCAGATGGCAACAAGTTCTTGGACGTCTTTGCTCAGATTGGTTTGCCTTTGGTGCTACTTCTTCTGTTGAGGAAGGACGTTGAACTCGGAATGCACCTCTGGCCTTTATTTTTGCATAGCATCCATCGCAATCGGGTACAATCATCCTGAGCTACTAGCTTTGGCAAGATCAGTCCGTGATTACTTGATTATCCCTCATATTGAAACATATCAACAGCTTATTTTCTCTTGCACTAAATACAGGATGAATTTGTACAATTGGCGTAAGCACTTCTCATGACAAATTTGGTGTCATGGAACTCGGAAAAATCTGCTTAATAATATACCAACAATTCTTTACATTATCAGAATGAATCGACCAGCGCTTGGTGGATTTCCACCATCAAATTGGAACGACATAATTTCAAATGGCTTGCTCAAAGTAGCACCCCCAGGACTCGATCAACTATTTACAATGATGTTTGTCATCATCACAATATCCAGACTCTCTCATTTTTCTGCTTCCAAGTACTAAATTTCTTAAGATGATCCTGATTGGCTGGAATCAATTTTGACGCAGGTGTGGGTCTTGTGCAAATGAAGGCGCCTTGAAAGCCGCATTCTTTGCTTACCGACAACGTGAAAGAGGAAGTCAGCTCGCCGAGTTCACGTCTGAGGAGCTCAAATCTTGTATGAACAATCACACGCCAGGATCACCTGATCTGGTAGCGATGAGCTTTAGGAGTGGCTTTCATGGCAGGTTGTTTGGATCGTTGAGTTTGACTCGGAGCAAAGCAATTCACAAAGTGTGTGATATCGCTCATCAAATTTTCCGAAATGTTATTAGGCTGATCAATCGATGTACCCTGTTTTGCACACTTGTGTGGTTGTAGGTCGATGTACCAGCCTTTGATTGGCCAGCCGTCGAGTTCCCACAACTCCGTTACCCACTGGCAGAGTTTGAAGCCGAAAACAAAAAAATCGAAGCTGCGTCTCTACAAGGGGTCGAAGAGACCATACTTGAATGGTATGTGCTCTGATGCTAGTCCGCGTTCTAAGCATTTGATCAGTGTAAATCCATTAACGCTTTGCATCGTGTGCTTGATCATGTCTTATAAGGAAGAAGAAGGGTCGCTCTGTCGCTGCATTGATCGTTGAGCCAATTCAATCTGAGGGCGGTGATTACCATGCCAGTCCAGCTTTCTTCCGCGCTTTACGCGCCCTTACCCTGAAGCATGACGTATACCTGATCGTGGACGAGGTTCAAACAGGTGTTGGTGAGTATCTTTTACCAAACTTCATCAAAAAGTTGCCAAAAATTTACCACACTTTGGCTTGATGATCAGGTGCCACCGGTCATTTCTGGGCACACGAAGCTTGGAACCTGGAAACGCCTCCGGACTTTGTCACATTTTCGAAAAAGATGCAAGCCGCTGGATTTTATCACACTATGGAAACCCGTCCGTCCCAGCCTTATCGTAACTACAACACGTACGTCATTCCTTATGACTGGCATATTAGCAACAATTGAATTTGATTCAATTTATCAATACATTTCTTTAACTGGCTCACTGCTACAACACAGCTGGATGGGTGCCCCAACTGAAATCCTGAAAGCACGCACTATCATTGACGTGATTGAACGTGAAAAGTGAGCAAATCCAATCATACAAGCATCCAAGATCAGTTTTTGACCTCAAAACATTCACACCTCTTGAACAGCTTGTTACACCATGTGAAAGACGTGGGAGCTTATCTCTATGGAGGGCTTGAGACGCTTTCGAAATCGGTTGGTCAAAACAAGATTGTGAACTTGAGAGGAAAGGATTCGGGTACATTCTTAGCATTCGATAGCGCAACTCCTAAAATGAGGGATGACTTTGTGAATAAGATGAAATTGGCAGGGGTCAATATGGGAGGGTAAGTGTCTCTTCTGGTTAGATAGAAATGTGAAATATTAACATCCGAATTTCTCTGTCTTTGATAAATTGCTTTAGTTGTGGAGACAAAACAGTGAGATTGAGACCTATGCTAGTGTTCGAAAAGCCGCATGCAGATATCGTATTGGAGACAGCAGAGAAAGTTTTGAAGGACCTGTGAAGACATATCAGTGTATCCTGTCTCTCTGCATAGTTTATGGACGGCACAATCCCCACATGTGTGTACTCGGATGTTCAAAGTGAGCTGTAGGTCAAAGTGAACAGTACATTATACTATGCGCTTTATGTCGGAATTTGTGTGCTTGTCTCTGAAGAAATGGTATGATATTCATGACCAATCAAGTTGTATCAATTTTGTAGCTCAAGCCAGATATGAAATCAATTGTTAAATATATGTTGGTGATAAGGAAGCTCACAACCTCTTCCTTTGGTTGCCTTTCAGGGGCGAATATTTATCAAAGTTCAAAAAGGCTTTCATGGGGTTGCAAAGCTTCCAGCTTCTCACACCACCCCAAGGTTGACAAGGGCTAACCTCCAAGACATACTCAGATAGCAGCCCTCAGCATGAGTGCATGGGATGTGAGATTTCTTCTTTTTAAAAACTTGAGGACTCCTTGAAATCTAGGCTGAAGGGCCACTCTGTTGGCAGTTTCATCACATCCAGTCAAAATAAATGATAGATCCCAAAATTGGAGGAAAAGGTGAAGATTATCAGGATGTTTCTATTGGGCATGTGATCTGCGGGGTCATTTCAAACGTCAGAAACACAGTTCAGGCGTTAGAGGTGGCTCAGGCTTCCAAATCAAGCTGCAGGAGCTCGCAATAAAATATTGAGCCATGGAAAAGTGGTGCTATGAAGGGCAGAGGAGGAATGCAGAGAGAAATCTTGTGTTGACATCATCATAATAATCCTTTTCAGTGTACTCCATGATGATTTTGGGAGAACTTGACCACCAGTGCACACTGGTTTATTGAAGACTGGTGGTCCAAGTACAAGTGATTGGTCGGATCCTTACAGTTGCTTCTGCAGACTAGTGGATGGTGACAATGGGGCATCTTAAACTTTGGAAGAAGTGATGGAGAATGATAGAGAAAGCGAAGAAATGAGTCACGTGACTGGGTAGAATTGCAGAGTGAGAATTCCCGAACTTTGACGGTTATCACCGAAATTGATTTGTGACCCTCAAAAGATTTGACCTTGCTTCACATCCCCTCTTGATTTGCTTGAAGTTCGTATGGACAAGCGGTCAAGCTTATCAACATCGAGTTGTTATAGTTCACTGTAGCTTGGCTCGCTGAAGGGTTCGGTTCAGGTCAGTTCACGATTAAGCTTAACACGAGGACCCTTGTGGATGCTCCTATGGCTGGGGTAGTGTCTGTTTCTTAAACTGATACATTTTTTTTCAATCGCCCAATTCAGATCGAAGGTGATGATGAACAAATTTTTGTCATCTCACCAATTCAACACTAAACTCATTCGATCTCATTTCTCAATATCATCAAGTTCCTCAGAGCCCGTCCTTCAATCTAATCGCTATTCACCTACAATCAAGACACAAGCTCAATCAGATACCTCCATCTCTTCGCCTGGTCATCATTTGCTTCTTCGAGCTGGCTTTCTGAGACAAAGTTCGACTGGAATATGGAACTTTTTACCAAATGCTATCAGGGTGCTCAAGAAAGTCGAAGACATCGTACGTGAAGAAATGGAAAGAATAGGTAAATCAAGAACCTTACGAGAAACATTGGCGATCGACACGCTGCTTCGAAGTTCCCCGTTTTCTAATGAATCGAGAGTGTCTTTTGGGGGACGATTTCTTTAGGTGCTAGTGAAGTATCTTTATCACATCTTCAAACCTCGTCACTCTGGAAAGCTTCAGGTCGATGGAACACAGCAGGCAAAGAGGTTTGCATCTTGATCGCAGCTTTGTAAGACTAGTGGAAGCATCAGAATCTTACTTGCCGTTCGCCCAGCTCTTTCGACTCTCGGATCGAAAAGATGCTCATCTTTTATTAGCACCGACTCACGAAGAAGAGATTACTCAACTGGTTAAGCTTGATGTGAATTCCAGTAAACAACTTCCAGTGCGCCTCTTTCATATAGGTTCGCTCTACATGTCATCACTTCTGAAGGTGTTTGGTGGCCAGCTCAACACCTATGCAGCATCAGACTGAATTTTACTGATTTTATCAATTCAATCAATAATTAGGACGGAAATATCGTGATGAACTACGACCCCGAGCTGGATTACTAAGATCCAGAGAATTCATCATGAAAGATCTCTATACATTCGATCTCGACCGGACAAAGGCACTCGAGACATACTCAGCAGTCCAAGGAGCTTATGAAAAGATCCTAAAAAGAATTGGGATTCCATTTGTGGTGGTCTGTCATATATACCTCGATGATCGTGCGCAACTTGATGATCGCACTTATTGACAGTTCATTGTCACTTGCTATTTTGAAAGGCTGAAGCGGATAGCGGAGCAATCGGTGGCTCGCAGTCACATGAATATCAATTTGAGTCACCCTGTACGTCACACATTAGAGAACCCATATGCACTATCTTCAATATTGATGATTTACACGTGCTGACCTTGAAAAACTCGTACCAAACCTTATACCTGATCTAGCAGGAGAAGATACAGTGATTAAGTGCACGAAATGTGATTACATTGCAAATGTTGAATTGGCAAAGAGCGTTCTGGTCCCGCCTTTGTCCGATGTCAATGCATTACGAGTCGAATTCTTTCAGACTTCCCTTAATACGACTTTACTGGCTGTTGTCCTACCAGCAAATCGACCAATCAACCCTTTAAAACTTGGAAAAATCCATCCCGATCTTCTTGAAATGAAAATAAATAATGCCACCGAGTTGGCAGGATTAGACGAGCGTTTTGAAAAATTGGACGTTTTGATTGACGAAAGTTGCATGACGTTTGAAATTGAGGAACTTTATCGAAAAATTGAAGATCAATTCATCCATCTCACCTCTTTGCCAACATCTTCTAGCATACCCGAGTCTGTCGACTATACCCCATCGGAACGCTCACCACTTTCTATCTGGTCTCGATTACCAACCTATTCAGTTCACGATGTGCGTCAAGTCTTATCATCATCTCATGTATATGACAACAAAAAACCAGCTCCCAAAGAAGATCACCTCGACCACTGCCCAAAGTGTCGTTCACCTCTGGGATCCTCAAAAGCTATTGAAGTTGCACATACCTTTTACCTTGGTACCAAATACTCTTCTTCCCTCTCAGCCACCTACAAAATCTCAGATCCCAAAACCGGTCTTCAGAAGGAAAATCCACTCGAGATGGGTTGCTTTGGGATTGGGATCAGTCGATTGATGGGTGCAATTGCTGAATGTTCGCATACGGAAACTGGCTTGAGATGGCCGATCAATGTTGCTCCTTTCAAGGTTTGCATAATAATCCCAATGCAAGAAAACGACGCTGGATCATCTGATCTGATCAAATCTGTAGCTCAAATCATTGGTCGTGAAGTAGAATCTATAAAAACAAAAGTAGGAGAGTTGAAAGGAGAAGTTTTGATTGATGATCGAATTCAAAGAATCGGATGGAAATTAATGGATGCTGATTTGGTTGGTTATCCGATTTTGATTGTACTTGGAAATCGTTGGATTAAAAATCAAGTGATTGAGATTAGAGATGTAAAGAATGGAAAAGTAATAGAGTTGGAGAATGTTGGGTTAGTTGATGGGAAATTGGTGGATCAGGGGAGGTTGAGTGATACTATTGGGTCTCTTATTAATGAATCAAAGTAGCGGTCTTGATTGTCTTGTTTGTAATAATGAATCAATCAAGGGAAATAGACAAGAGCCTTTAGGTCAAATAATCAAACTAACTCGTCACCCACTATCAAAAACCGCGAGCTTGTCCCACATCTTCATGATGTAGTCATAGAATTCTTATCTTCATCTTGACAATCAAGTAGATTTCAACACACTTATCACGACCTAGTAAGTTGAGCTGATTCTCATCTGAAATCACTTATTTGATGAACCATGGCAAAGGTTTTGGTTTATCGTTGGTTGAGGATTCAGGAAGGAAAGAGGAAGTGGTTTGACAAGCAGCCAATTATGAGAAGTACGTTTTCCTAGACGGGAGGATTAGATGATACGCTAGCAAGACTCCTCAGCGCACATTTCAAGGAGCCCTGGTAAAAGTTGTACTGCTGCATGAAATGAGAAGCACTTGTATGCGCTTCTGGTCGACTGCTTTTAGCTTTTATTATCAAGAACCAAAATGCATTGAACTTCCATCATCAACACATCCAATTTCACTCAACCTCCCCATAAACCTCCCCTAGCTCCCAATCGGTCAAAGTCAGTCTCGAAAAAATAATCAAGTGCCTTTAAGAGCATACTTTATGCTCAATCTCACAAGAAATCTTTTGTTCAATATCTTCACAATTTCAATCCTATGACTAAAAGCACCAGGGTGCAGCACTGGACCTACCAAATATCTAGCATCACAGGGGACGAACCGTCCGACCTCCCGACTGGATTCATATCAATCACGTATCAATCATCCCCTTCCGAAACCTGGTATTCCACGAAGGTTTTGTCGATCAAGCAAAGCTACAACACTCGATCAAAGCACGGCCAGATCAGGCGATACTTTGAATGTTTTTAAAAACCCTCATTTTCTCAACTTTCAAGGTTCCTGGGAAGAGCAATACACCTGTCTCAACTGAACGTCAGGTGCATGGGAAATATCATTTACCAATTGGTCATGACACCATCATCATTCTAGGATCAAAGTGACATACGTATTTGCCGGAACATCTATTGCCAAATTAGCTTAACTAAGCCCCTCGCGCGGCCGCGAGGGGCTTAGTTAAGCTAAATTGCCAAACGGACTGAAGGTTCATGTAATTAGTATTCAGCTTCAGTCAGAGACAAAATGAAATGGATTTAATTCGCTTGTTGACCGCCAACATTGGGACCTCTTATACCGCTCTGCTACGTCCACAAATGCATACTGCAAACCCAGATTAATTTACCTATAAACTCTTTCAAACTCACACCCTCCAACTTCCAAAAACATAGTCATCAACTATCCTCGAGTGAGAGTCCTTCAAGATGGCACCTTCATCACCTTCGTCAGTTTATACAACCCTCCAACCTCGTAGATCGAAGGGTCACCGTTCGATTGATCTCAAAGCTACCGCATCATTTGCATCACCTCCAAAGCCAATTTTGCCAGAAGAGTACCCAGCCTTGCCAGCTGAGCTAATGCGCAAACCTGAGTCCATGAACCCAGCTGATAAAGGAACTCCTGATGCATGGGTCAAACGAGACGAGAGATTGATACGTCTCACAGGACGACATCCATTCAGTTGAGTATAAATTTACTGTCTTGGCCAACCTAGTTAGAGTACAGCTTAACCCTTATGCAAAACAGATTGCGAAGCGCCACTGACGGATCTATACGATGCTGGATTCCTTACACCGTCTTCATTGTTCTACGTCCGTAATCATGGTGCGGTACCTGAATTCAAAGGAAAAGATCCAAACGAGTGGATGGTGAAAATAGACGGGTAAGTTATTGATCTAGCTCCGCTATCAATATCTCAATTTTAAGCTAACATACGCTAACTGCTCGTCTCCAAAAACAGACTTGTCAAAAGACCCATGAACATTACCCTTGGAGACTTACGTCGAGGTCATTTTCAGACCGTCACTCTTCCAGTAACCATGGTATGTGCCGGCAATAGGCGCAAAGAGCAAAACGCAGTGGCCCAATCCCTGGGTTTCAGCTGGGGTAGCGCTGGTACCTCTACGGCACTTTTCACCGGTGTTTACCTTTCAGAGGTGTTGGAATATGTGGGTGCCATGGGGATTCGTGATGGAGCTCGTCATGTGGTATTTGAAGGAGCCGATGTACTTCCTGATGGACCGTACGGTACTAGTCAGACTATCAATACTGCAAAAGATAAAGGAAAAGGTCTCATGTTAGCTTGGGCCATGAATGGCTTACCTCTCGAGTAAGTCGAGCTCTTCACCATTGAATCTCTTGTGGCACACCCGCTTCGATATACCTAATCGGACTTATATCCCCTATCTTTGTCAGACCGGATCATGGATACCCATTGAGATTGGTGGTTCCTGGTCAGATTGGTGGACGTAGCGTGAAGTGGTTAACCAAGATCACAGTATCCGAGAAAGAGTCTCAACATCATCTTCACTTCCGAGTCAGTCTTGACACCCCCTCTGAAGACATCCTCTCATTTGTTTGACCCTTGGCTGTTGCATTCGGCTATCAGGATAACAAGGTCTTACCAACGGAGCTGACAGCTGATAGGGCGCGAACAGAGAGCCAGTGGTAAATTTCAAATCGTTTTCGTCTTTGGCATAATGTCTTGGATATAGTTGTTGATCTTGACCTGGGCATGATGCGAATTTTGTTCTTCAGGTGGTACGATCCGAAGTATATAATCAATGATCTGAACGTCAACTCTGTCACGTGTTACCCGCAGCACGAGGAGATCATTGAGATGAACAAAGATTTCTCAAGTTCTACAAGTGATAGAGATCAAGGCTCGGAACCGTCATCGTACAATCTGCGAGGATATGCTTATGCAGGTGGCGGTCGTCGAGTGAACAGGGTCGAGTACTCGCTTGATGGTGGTGTTCAATGGAAATTAGCCTCGATTGTTTATCCGGAAGATCTTTTTCGAAAGATTATCAATCAAGAAGCAGATCCAAAATTATGGGGTACATTCGATGTCTGTGAACGAGATCAATGCTTTTGTTGGTGTTTTTGGAATGTTCAGGTTAGCCTCAAAGATCTTGCGAATGCGGATGTTTTTATGGTGAGAGCAATGGATTCTTCGCTCGCGTTACAACCTAGAGACATGTACTGGAACCCCACTGGAATGATGAAGTCAGTTTCATGAATTGTTTTCACAGTGTTCACAATTATTATCCTTGGACTTACCGTTTCCTATTTTTTCAGCAACTGGTGGCATCGAGTCGCCATCCATAAGACCGAAGTGGATGGCAAGCTGAAGTTGCGTTTCGAGCATCCTACTCTTGCTGGTGTACAGACCGGAGGATGGATGCAGCGTATGAAAGATGAGGGTCAAGACATCTCTAAACCAATCTTTGGTGACGCTGCGAGTGCTTCAGCTGAACCTAAGAAGCCTGCTCCCAAGCCGCAAACAGTAAAGATGACAAAGGATGATGTTGTGAAAACGATTACTCTATCAGAGCTTGAGTCTCATGGCGCTGAATCATCTGAACCTTGGTTCATTGTAAATGGTCAGGTGTATGATGGCACTGCGTAAGTTGGCGCATCCACATCATATGATTCGCTACCTCATTGTATCACACTCAACTCATTTTGTCTTTCAAATCTTAGTTTCTTGAGTCAGCATCCTGGAGGAGCCGAGTCTATCAAACTTGCCGCTGGGGAAGATGCAACCGACGATTTCATGGGATTACACTCAGCATCGGCGAAGAAACAGTTGGCTGGATTTGTTGAGTTCCACACAAACCACGATCGTTGTTATCTACACAAAACCCCCTTGATTCTCATTCCTTTTTCCCATATCCTTACACATAGCATATCGGCACTATAGCCAACACAGCTGGCGACTCCGAAAAATCTGAAAAGACGAATGAAACGACTACCATCTCAGAGGTTTTCTTAGACAAAAAGAAATGGAAACGTTCAAAGTTAACAAAAGTGATCAAGATTAGTCAAGATACAAGCCATTTTACTTTTGCTCTCGAATCTGAAGATCAATCACTTGGACTTCCTACTGGACAACACGTTTATCTTCGGGTGGCATCGGATGATGGTACATTTATACAACGTGCTTATACTCCTATTAGTAAGGAACACCAAAAAGGCACGATAGAATTCGTGATCAAGTGAGAAGGCATTTCATTTTTATAACTAGAGTGCAAATCGGCGGAAGATTCTCCAAAAGATACCTGAACTGATTACACCTTCATATGCAGACTTTATCTTCCATCGAAGCAATTCCCTGAAGGAGGAAAGATGTCAGTTGCACTTTCTAATGTAAAGGTTGGTGATCAAATAGATATGAAGGGACCACTTGGATCTTTCATCTGGTTTAAAGATGGAGCTTGTTCATGGAAGGGAACGGCCCGCCATACTCGTAACTTGGCGTTGATTTGTGGTGGATCTGGGGTGACTCCGATCATTCAAGTGATTCGTGGAGTACTGGAGGACGAAACCGATTCTGAGACTAAGATGTGGTTGATCGATGCCAACAGGTAAGCTAAACAAATCAATCGCATATCAATGCTATCCTATCCAGCTCAGTACTGATCACCCTCATATGTTCAGAACTCAAGGGGATATCTTGTTATACAAAGAACTAAATGAGTTGGAAACTAAACACCCAGATCGATTGAAAGTATTCCACGTGTTATCAAATGCTGATGATGAATGGAAAGGTGAAAGAGGTAGGGTGACGAAAGACCACCTTAATCAACATCTCCCTTCCCCTGATGTTGATACCATGGCGTTTTATTGCGGGCCGGTATGTTGGATACTCACTAGTCGTGCCATTTTATTTGCTGCAAAAAACTGATCCATACTTTTCATTTGTGGATTTTTCACTTTGTTTTTTTAGCCTGGACTATTGGATCAAGTTGTGACTCCTAATTTGAAAGAATTGGGGTGGGACTTGGAGCGGAATTTGGTCTTGTTCTGATCATTGATTTATGGAAATCTTGGTGGATCTGTTTTTTTGCGTCGATGGCCATTTTTTATCATTACCTGAGTGTCTTCTCAAATGTAACACTATTGGATACTTGAAGTGGTTTTACGAGTCATTGAATGAGATTATTTGAAGTGGGGCATTGTATGAGATTGCTCAAAAATGATTGTTTGCTATTTCTTCAATACAATGGGTGACTCAAGATAAAATGCAAGAATGATTGTTCAAATGATCATATGAAAGTTTAATGACAAAGTTTTTTGAAGTATTAGTGCCTCCTAAGCTCTCTTTATCTGAGGAGGTTCAAAGATGCCTGTATCTGATTTTGAATTGAAAATTATCTACTAATATAAACTACAACATAAATTGATCTTGAAAAGACTCCAGTATCAGGTTAATTTCAAAAAGACCTTATAAACAAGAACATCGACTAGAAAGCCATTTGAAGCTCAAGCGCTTGGCACAAAGCATCATTCATCTACATAACGGTACTTAGGATGAATTAGTTCAAGTTGCTGAAGAGAGAGAAAAAAGGGAACGCTCACTTTTAGTAATCTTCCTTGATTGGTATATCAAGTTTTTCAACCGGAGATTCAAGTTCATTAGGTTTGATACCCATCTGATTTATATCGAAACCTTGGGCTTGAAGAGCCGCATAAAACTTGGCATCGATCTCAGACATCTTGTTAGGTCCTATCTCATCTACCGTAAACCAGATCACAATAGCAGATAGAATTGCTAGACCACTGCCCACCCAAAAAGGCTGTAAAGGTTCACGATTGTAAGTTATATGAGATTATACCTCAAAGATCATGGGGCCAGATATGTTGAAGCTAAGACCACAGCAGGTAAGAAAAGACTTACGCCTGTTTCTTGGGATGGACCGGCAGGGAATGCCTTGATAAGTGCTGGGAACGCCCAAGTTCCCACGAAGGCGCCAATCTTACCAACTGCGGCAGCTGTTCCATCTGCATCAACAACGAGTGCGGTGAGGGTGTGGGATCAGTTTCTCGGCCTTATTTCGGGGCGCATGAGGTAAGGCTGTTGGGGATCATGATGACTCACAGAAAATTCCTCTGATAGACGAGGGACTTGATTTGGCGGCAAGCATCCCGAGACAATTTCCGCTGGTGATGAAACAAGGATTTGAGTATGTGCCAGCATCATTTATACTGGAAAAGATGACGCTCACGGGCCCGCTTCACCGAAGCTCAAGAATAGTCCATACATCACTGCGAAGCCTCCGATATGCTCCATAAAGAAAAGATCTGAATTCAAAATGATACAATAGAATGAAAATAAGTGTTTAGTCAAGAGCAGAATTGAGTAAAGGTGAGCGCTCACAGAATCCAGACATAAAGAACCCAAAGGTAGCTTGTAAAACAAGACAGATTACCATCATATTCTTTGGTTTCAGCTTATCGACAAGTAAGGCTCCAATCAGAGTTCCTGGGATATTGAATAGATTGATAACCACATTCCTAATTTTTTTAAATGAGGAATCGATTTAAGAAAATGAGAATCTTCATTCTGTAAGAAAGACTGATCGATTGACATACCATCCCAATACAGTGGTAAGTGCAGCATGCTTTCCCGTGATAGTATCCACAACAGTAGAGCCATATATACCAAAAGGATATGTGATGAAGTCTACCGGAATGGAGATACGAGAGGTAAGACGGCGGAAGAGCTGAAATTATAACAAATTTTCAAAGAAAGTTACCATAGATGAACCAGCCTAGACATAACCCAAGCCACTGAACACCGAAATTTCGAAATAGTAATGCCCAAGGATAACTAGGAAAATATGATATCAGAGTTGAGGACACATGTGAATTTTGTTGATTTGAAATGTTTTGTGGACTCACGCTTTGAGTGGGATCCGCTTCATCGAGTATTTTTGAAAGCTTTCTGGTTCGGCCATGTTCATCCGCCACAACAGCACTAAGAGCGGAGGAATTGCACCTAGGATCCTCATACCAACATATTAGCCTCGCACTACATATTGACCGGAAAATAAAGGCGAGAGAGGGGTTGAGGAAACACCTCGCGATAATTGAAAGACTTACCTAAACCTAGAGACATTCTCCAAATGACACGCAGATGGTCTTCCCCAAATATCCATAGTAGCACAAGAGGAACAAAGGCCTATTATGGCATGGTGGTTTAAGTAAACATGATTAAGCCAAAATGTAGATTCTGTGGCGTGGAATATGTTCAGGTTTGCTTGTTCTCCTACTTACAGATACAACAAATCCCACATCAATCATACAATTTGTGGCCAAAGCAAATATTGCGTTTTGTGCTTTGGTAGGGACTGTTGGTACGATAACAAACAAGAAGTCAGATCTGATGACTCATGCAGGCTGAAACCAAACGTGCGCATACCATCTTTTTGTTCTGTGTTCTCAGCCGCAGCAACACTGCCAGAGGGATATTCTGCTCCAATTCCAATCCCACCGAAGAATCTACAAGGAGTGAAGGCCGATTTCAGTGAAAACTATCTTTCATTATGGTCAAAGATCTATGATTCTATGCTTGACTTACCTGTACGCACTTAGCGCTTGCAGCATACTAATTGTGCTTCCACCAGCGCCGTATGCCCCTGATGAGAGACAGGCAAAGACAAATACGATCAAAGTCGCTGTCATCATACCTCCCTTTCGGCCCCATCGATCCGAGAGCACGCCGAAGATGAGCATGCCTATGTGAGGCGAGCGTGAATCGAAAGCGAGCAATTTTTAGAATTTCTTGGCTAGCTTCTCTCGAGAGCAAGGTTTTGAAAATTGGGTCAAACCTAGTACTATGCCAGCAAAGCCTACCGAGGAGAAGGTAGTACTGTACCGAGCAAGCTCGTCTGCGCCGATATCGTCCGCATAGATCCTGATGACAATTCGAGGAAACGATGCGTCAGTAGACAGCAAGGAAGCTCGGATAGACATGGCTTAATGGTGATCACCTTTTAATCAAAGTATTGACGGTACCTATGACACCATTTTGGTACCCATCACTGAACAGAGCCGTACCTGTACGGGCATCGTCGGTTTAGTAGGGCCCTCGGTGTGTCGTCTATATACATACAAATCGATTTCCAAAGGCTTACCGCACGCGAAGACCAGGGCCAAGCCTTTTGGCTGGTATTTCGATTTTTTTGGAATGTCGTTTTGACCTTGCCTGTCATGGGTCTCATCGGTCATGTTGGAAGGACGGAGCAGCGATGCCAAGTTGCTCAGTAAAATGGAGGCTGTGGATGAGATGAACAAAAATAGGCTCAGTCAATGAGTCGCAGTCGATGAGAGTGGACAGCGAAGGACGTACTCAGCTTCACGGTCGAAATGAAATATTAAAGGATTCTTAGCGTGGTGTTGCTGTGAACAGGAGTCGAAATGAATGAACAGCGGGGCATACAGCTCAATCCAACGCTCACAAATCACAAAATTTGGCTCGACAGCCTACTGCGGCCCGTAGAGGAGCTGACCTGATTCGAGCGACTAATTTTGTATTTCTTTTTACAGTCTGTAATTCGTGTGCTTTCTCGACTGGATCGGTCTAGTGTGGAACGTCGACTCAGGAGGACGAGGGACTCGTGCTAGGTCAAGGAAAACGTGATCAAGACACTTTACTTGCGACAAACCCCAGCATTGGAAGGCTCCCGGAGAGACAGTAATCCCAGTGAGCTGGAGGAAACTTGTTGAGTGATTTCTGTTCCGTATTTCCCCGGTTTGAACGCTGTTTGAAATTTTATGCATTCGGGCTCGGTGTTTGCAAATTTCACATTTGGTATTCTTTGAAGAGTATGTACACATTACTACATGACCATCAAAAATCAAGACGTATCGTATGGCTGTTGGACCTTGTTGGACATAATCTGAGCACGTGTGCTGGTCTCCCTGACAAGATAGGAAGCTGTTCAGTAGCCTTTGAACCACGTTTGAGGATGCGCGGAGCATAGGAAGCCTGATGATCTTCGGCTATGAAGGCGTTTAAGGTGGCATGTTGAGACCTTGGATACACATTGAACTTGACCAAGCACCATTATAGGCAATCAAAGAACTTGCAGTGAGGTATCGGGCGCAATCAGACTTGTGATGACGATATATGTGATATGTCGCATAGGGATGGAGTCCACACAGACATTTCAAGCTTTACTCCAGGGAATGGATCGATAAAGCAGATCTTACGTTTCCAGCAATCTGTGACAAGACATGAGGTCTCGAGACGGTGTTTACGAAACAAATAGGAACGGAAACCGGCACAGCTCAAACCCCTGGAGGGCTTCAAACACTTCAAAACATGTCATGGATCTATCATCTGAGCTTGAAGGGCGCAAACTGCAGGGAACGGCAAAGGATTGCGGGAGGATAAGAAGTCCGGTATGTCTTTTGGGAGACTTGTGCAAGAGCAGATAAGGGCCGCTACAAGTATGGACAAGGCACAGGAGTGCCAAGTTGTGAGACTCAGCTGCTTTCAAGCAAGCTTGCAAGAGGATCTTCCTGAGAGCAAAAGGAAGACTGATAAGATCAACAAGAGTTATAAATTGGACTGACAGTGGGAGTTCTTGACTCAGTACTTTGGCTCTGTCCAGAGGGCTCACAGTGGAATGGTTGTGATGCAAAGGCTTGAGACCACCAGAGGCTGTGGGGCAGTACAGATGTATGCCTTATCCATGTTTGTTAGAGAGTCATGATACTTTGGGTTACAGAAAACCCTCGAGTGTGATCAGGCTTGTGTTCCTAGAAGCTCTTCTGGATACCAGTAAGATCAGAGTGATAAAGGCCTCTGAGGAAAACTCAGCTGGAGCAAGGGAGAGCCTGCGAGGTTGATGGATTGATCCAATTATGTTCTTGGCTCCCTGTAGTGTGCCCCACTTACCTTAGAAGAGCTGCCATCCATGGGCACTTTGGATGTTGGCCTCAGAAGCAATTATGAAGGTAGTGTTAGCTTAACAAAGCCCACTCTGTGCAGCTGCATCCACACCCTCACAGAGGGTCTTATGACTAATTGTTGATTCTTGGCACAAATACTTCAAGGATTGGGTCTCCTTGAGTAGTTGCACAAATTTTCCCCCTTGCCTCACAAACAACCGCCACTTCACCACACTTGGAAAATGGTTCAGAATCATTGCATTTATTGACTGGGAAAATCTGCTCCATCAAACAGTATATGAGGTAGGTTTTCAAGCCTTATGTCTCAATTATGTACAGCATGTATCATGATTTCAGAATACAACAAGGTCACAATACAGTCAAGGTTGTAAAAATCCTCAAACCCCTTTGTTGGCCAGACCACTCAAAGTGCCTATGATATGAGGCTACAAGAACATGTGGAAAAGATTATGGACAACTTTCTCTGTGGGGTAAAGTGACATTTTTTCATGAGGTAATCACACAATGGCAAAACCAATGTAAGGACACTTACACCTTGGAGTACTCACACCAGGATCCAACAATTAGTCATAAGCCCCTCTACAATGGGCACAGATGAGGTCATGCAGAGAGGGGCTTGTTAAGATAACTGGCGGTGTAAGGTCTTGACCACATATATGATTTGCAGAAATTTTTTGGGGGGTTATGGAAGATTTACACACAAGCTGAATTTAGATACAAAAGGTCAAGTAGCAGAGGCAAGGGGGAGGCTTTTTCCCACTGAGTTTCCTGATGCCAGCCTGTGGAAAGATGCTGGCCTGCAAAAAGAGGTTGAGAGATAAAAGAAAATGGGGGTGATTTGATGGGTGCTTGGCTTGTGCTTATACTTAGATATGCTTGTACTGTAATCTCCCATCAGTGTGAAGGATCAGAATTTTCTAATTCTCACCTAGCAATATGTCACCTATCAAAGAACACCCTTAAAGATTGCATCATTCTCACCTCACAATTCATCACCTGTCAAAGAACATCCTGCAAGAATAGTGGTACACAAATATCAAAACCGTATGGGAAAACCGTATGGAAAACCGCATGAAAACCCACATGGTTTTTTTGGTTTTTGCGGGGAAACCCAAAAAAACCATGCGGTTTCATGCGGATTTTTTATGCGGGTTTTTCATATGGTTTTCATATTTGTGTACCGCTAGTGCATTGCATCTCCACTAGCCTATTCCATTCCTATCAAGGTAGACAAAGTGTTTGCAGCAGTTCATTGGGCAGTTAGGGGTGCATAGGTTGTTGGGCATTGGCTGAGTCATGTGAGTGAGCTTAGTACTTTCGTGGGGAATATGAAAGGCTTTGAGTAGAGATACCATGTGGTGATGGTTGGTTGGTGAAACAAATGCAGGAGATGCATGGGTGATAGCAGAAAGTTCCCCCTGAACCAGCCAATGTGAAACTAACATTTTCAAAAATTTCATACTCAAAAATCTTGGATTTTGGAGCTTTCATGCCAATCTTATTGGTAAGGTTTTAAGATCAGAAAAATTAGTTCCTTGTTTTGATTCCAGCCACATTGGTAAAACCATAACAGCAATAATTGCACCCTTTACATGATTTAATTTTTATATCAAAGAGCCAATAGTGGCACATAACAATAGCATGACTTGTAAATGTGCTGTGATTCCACATATATAGAAACCATGGTACATGTTTTGTCAATGTTTACAATACCCAAGATGTATTTTACTCTTGGACAATCGCCATACTCAGCAGTCTGTAAGTTGAATTACCAAATAGCCATTGTCAAGACCGTCACTTGGGGAAATATGATGGGGTTTGAGGTTCTGGGATGCCAATACTCCAGTCAGGTATGTAGCTTGTTGTATGAGGGAAAAGAGAAAGGTTGTACAACGGTAAAGTACAAAATGGTTCTTCTCTAATCTGTGACATCCTGAGAACCCTTTCACGGCTCTGTTACATTTCATTTGGATCATAAAAGCCATGTTCATACCAGTTTGGTTAGTAACATGCCAACATTTTCAGCACTCAGATCATACCTAATATGTTGGTTGGTTTAGGGGGAGATTTCTGGGGTCCTTGGATGCTATCGTTAAGGGCGGGTTCAAAGCAAATTCCTTACACCATTTGATGGCACCCTGAGGTTTTCTTCTGTCCCTCACACTTCTACCTGCATTACACACTGCAGGAGCTGGAAAATATCATGTTACTGTATCTTGGGCTTCCTCAATGTTTTTTAGTCTATTGTGATCATATACTTAACATTTTCAATCCCCAAAATTTGTAAGCAATACAATCTCATATGTGATACTGTCTGGAGAAACTGAACTAAACACAGAAAACAAAAAGAGATAGCAGATCTCAGTTTGGGTATAGCTTCCTGTGATATTTCCTCATTGCGGGTTTAGATATGAATTGTCAGATCAAGAGACAACATGAGAATTAAGTGAGAAAATAATTCACTTGCAGTTTCTTTTTATGATCCACTTGTTGTAAATTATGTGACATATAAACATACTTTGGATAATGCAGTGGTCTTGATTTGTATCCTCACTCAACACTCTAATCATGATACTGGAACCATCCATACCTGCTACCTCTCCCTCATTGACAGCCTGTGAGAGTCACCTTGGAATTTCTGCGAACAAGTAATAAGAGAAAAATGAGAATGGATGATGACGTGCAGCATATGAAAGGTGTGAAATCTCTCATCATTGCAACTTACTACAGTCAAGTACAAAGATGGGCTCCGAATTACTGCACAATTGACGAATGAAGAACATATATCATGTCCTGTGTGTGCTGAAGTCCCTCAGAGCGTGGGCCTCCCTTGGAGCCAACGTAGGAGGCATCCTGTGTGTATTCACAAGATCACCTGTGAAGATATGATGTCTGGGCCCCACTTGGGTGATTATTCCAAACAATGCCTGGTTATGCTGACCATGGGATTATCTATCATGAGATGGCCTTGCATCCCAGGTTTGGTGCCACTCAGCAAATCATCATTGGCTTGCCAACAGTTCAAATCTAGCCAGAAACGGATTCAGAGTATTGATTTTGAATCGTCTTCTTCTGGGTTGGCTTGACGAGGTTGAGTGTCATTTGAAGTCCATCCATCAAATTGAGATGCAAGCAGCAAACTGGATCAGGGGCATGTCCAGACCTGATCATTCAACGAGCAACGCTGACTTTCATCAACGTTGGACCGTTACGTTGAATTACGTTACTAACGCAATTTTGGACAACGTAACGGTCAAAATAAAACCGCACGGGCACGGTGTGACAACGTAACACAATCGTAACAAATTTCTTATTTAGCGCAACGATACATATTCTGGAGGGCCGGAAATAAAAGACAACGCAACAGGTTGATTGAAAAAAAGGTGAGAACGCAACGGGCCAGACAACCAAAATCAGCCAAAAACAGAAAAAAATTAAAAAAAGACTCTCGGTCACAAGATTTGGTCAACAAAAAGGACAAAAGGAAGTTAACACTATTTCAAAAGGAAGTTAACACTATTTTTGTATGAAGAGATTGAAAGAAAACAGTTTTTTTTAGATTTCATTAATTTTTATCAAAGAAAAGAAACATTGAGAAAAGTTTTTTTTTTAAATTTGAGCGATCTATTATGTCCAAGCAAGCTAGGGAGGAGCCTTTTGTTTCCCTTTTCTCCTATTGACAGATTTCTCCCAAGCTTGGAGGACCAACCCCACTTGTTCATAATCGTCAGTAATGCCAACTCCTTCGCGTAGCCACAGGCAACTACCAACGCACATCTCAATGGTGCGAGGCGCCAAACGACCTCGCACGGCAGTAGCCACATCGGCTGCAGCTGAAAAAGTTCGCTCAGCTGCAGCTGAAGAACCCGGGGCCGATAAGTAGTCCCGTGCCAAGGAAGCCAGGACAGGATATTTGTGTTGATGTTCCTGAAGATGAGATGGGCAAAAAAAGTTAGTGAAATGTATGCAATTTAGTTAATGTGTAGGATCGACTTACCTTCCACCAATTAAGAACTGCCTCAGGACCATTATCCACACCAGAAAACACCAATGGGTCGTCACCCTTTAAATAACAGTCCAACTCATTAGCTACTGATGAGGTGGATTGATTCTGATAGAGTCGATATATATCGGGCACATGAGGCGCCGGGAGTTCGTCTTGAGGACTTTTGCGTGATCCAGTAGGCAGATCCAGTTCAGACTGGCGCTGTTGAAACTGTTCATGAAGGTATTCAGTCGTATGGGTGGTTATCGCATGGTCGTTTCCAAGGGTATGTTCGAAGAAGCGTAATCGAAGGGAAGGATGAAAAACCGCAGCCATGACAAGAGTATCACAACAAAGGGCTTCTTCATAGTAAATTTTAGTTCGTTCAATACAAGCATGCAAAAATGGTTGCATGCGATCTTCATGTGGAATAGCAGAGGATCGAGCTTGCAAAGAAGTAAGTAAATTTTGATACTCAGCAAGAACCATACAACCAGTTGGTGCATTGGCCTCCATGCGCTTTGTCAGAGTTTTGAACGGCTGATCAAAAAAAAAACATTTCAGTAAGTAAATAATCAGATGCTTGATTTACTGGGGTGCTTACTCGCAATTCATCGAGTAAATCTCTTACATTTCTCCAGTCTGAGATGGAGAAGAAGGTCTCTTGGAAATACCCAGAGCCTTTCTTGGAAGCTTTCTTATGATACCTCGACTTCTTTGCTTAAGATTTAGCCGCGTCTTCTCTCAGCATCTCATCGATGACCTGCATGACCAATCATTGATCAATTACTGAAATAGATTGGGATAATACCACATGGACGTACATCTCAGTTTTCATAAACTCGCTCCCATCTTTCCAGACATATGTTCCATCGGATACCGTGACCTGCAATCAAAGACCGACCAGGTCCTTCACCATCTGGTCGCTTTCTTGTTGGATCCAATCGACGTACATTAAAGTCCTCGCGCCATGCACTAGATTGTGTGATCTTCTTCACAACGAAGTCAAGCTATATCATATAGTAATGTCAGCCTGATGTCAAAGCAGATGAAATGGAATCACATACATCTTTGGTCAAAACCTTCAAACCATTAAGTTTCGTTTTGGTCGGTTTAGGTACAATGTCAATGGCCTCCATATCCCAGTATTTGTCCTCAGCTGTGTCAGTCTTCATTTGTTCTGATTCTCTCAGTTCATCTTCATCATGTTCTTCGTCATCTGAGTCTTCGTCGTGCGAACGCGAGGAACCAACAAGAATAGCCGGGTCGATCTCTTCTAGATCATCGTTTTCGGGGATGGTTGGTAAGTTGTCTGGTGAAGGGAAGAAACCTAGAACCTCGTGCCGTTTATTATGAATTGGAAGACCCAGGGCAGCTATTCCGGCGTTGACAATAAGACCGATCTTGTGACACATGCATTTGATGTGCATGGTCTCAGGATCCCATGAGTAATCCGAGCTATAGCCATCGTGTTCTTGAAGTTGCTGATGCATCTCGGCTGCCAATGTCACGTTGTTTGACGCCGAGTCAGTCGTGTGAGCTAGCATGTAATAGAACAATATATATCATGTCAGCAGAAGAAATGAGAAAGTAAGAAGAGATAAGATTAGAAACAATATGAAAGATAGAATAGATATAAAAGACTTATCTTCTTGTAGATACCGTGTTTCTTCAGTACAGTCACCAAGGGCTCTGCAAGCCAGGCACCTTTATGATGATGGGCAACCCGTTTCAAGGTTAGATGGCGAGACACATAATTCCAGTCGTCGTCGATAAAGCTAGCAACACCTCCAATGAAAGCCCAAAGATTCCCTTTTACCGTCCAAACATTGTGTGTCAATGTGAATTTTCCTGGAATGGACTACATGAATATGAAATACAAAGAAGAGAAACACAATCATTATATATTTCAAAATGATACAAGACCATTGGAGAACTACTCACTTCTAGCTCCCTGTAGACCGTGTCTCTTAGATTAAGATGGAGATTTTTGGCCTCCTTGGCGGTCCACTTACGGTTGTAAAGCCGGGCATCAGGTCGAGCATACCAGAAAGCTGCTTGAAGCATCGAGTCTTCTATTCGAGACCATGGCAGGGCTTGCCGTACCTGCCATAGTGTCAAGAGCTGATTGAAAACCTTCATATCGAACTTGGGAGTCACCGTGACAAAGTTATTCATTGTTGAAACTTTGTGGGCGTCTGCTTGTTTCTTGGCGTTGACCTCGGCGACACTCGGAGGAAGCTTGCACCCACGAGCAATCGCTTCCTTGCGACGGGGGCAACCTACCTTTGATCTTCCTTGCTGATTGGAACCGTCACGGTGAATCTTGAGATTCGATAGCGTGGTTGCATGTCCTCAACAAGTTTTTCCACACCAAACACACTCATAGTCCAAAGGGAATTCTGGATCCTAGAGTGAAACAAGAATCAAACAAACATCAGTCATCTAGGATTCATAAGGTAAAGATTGAAAAGGAAACTAAGAAACGAGGATCAAGAGAATATGAAAACATAATCAGGTGTTACATCTTCTGAACCAGGTGTTGGTTCCTCAAAGTATATCTCGATAGCATCATAGACTTCCTCCTTGCGTTCCGGGTCGGCTTCAGATTTCTTCGATTTTTTACGGATCCTAGCATTCTCATCGTCAGAGTCTTGGCGCAGGTCTCTGGAATGACCTTGGGTTGATACCGAGGGAGCGACACTCTAAAGAAAGAAGCATCCTAACTGTTTTAGAAAGAGAAATAGATACAATAGCATTATGGAGATCAAGCACTTACTTGGTTTCGATTTGACTCTCCTGTAGCAGCGGTGGACGTAGATGCGGTGGGAACAGCCTACATAAGACAGAAACAAACGAAAGTGAGAAATTTTGAGATTGGGAAACTGTTGTGGGATGAGATACTTACTTTCTATCCTTTCGATTGGGGAACGGATGACTTCTTCTGGCTGAAAGTCTTCTTCTTTTGTTCGATGCCACTGCGGTTGGATCTTGCAACCGGTTTGGAGGCGATATGACTAGCTGGTTTGGAGGCGATGTGACTGACTACGGTCTCGCATTCAGATCTAGATGTCGATCGGCCTCGTTTGCGGCCAGTTGGATTGGCCGCAGAGCTTCCAGCCGACGGATGAGGTTGCGAAGAAGGGAGAAAAAGTCCACGTCGACTGTCCTGAGACGGTTGAATCATACCAGGTGCCAATCGGAGTGGAGTGGTAACGCGTGAGGTGCGACGAGGTTGGGAACAATCACTCTCACAACCAGAGTCTCCACACATTTTGGAAAGGAGTTGATGAGAAGTTGAAGTGAAACTTGGAGAAACCGATTGATATATCTATGTATTGAAATCAGGTGATAAAACGAATCGAAACAGATATTAGAAACAAAGCATAACAAAGATCAGGAAGAGATGGTAGAGGTGAAGAAGACCCTTACGTTCTGGTTATTGAAGGGATATCAGGAAATAAAATGAAATGATTCGAATTCATTAGAATCCAAACATAACAAAGATAAGGAGGAAAGGATTGAAAACCAGGGTACACTTACTTCAGTGGGGCTGAAATCGTTTGAGTCTTTCAAGATCGACCATCCGTTGGTGTTGAGGGTTGCGGTCCGTCGAGTGAGTTGATGATGCAACCAGTTGGTCACATCATCATCGTACATGATTGGTGGTGAGCTGACCTATTGGTTGCATCAGCTTGGATAATTGCCGATAACGGAAATTCTTGAGGAATCCCCATGTAACGTGCCGAAATATGAAACCAAGGCTGTCACAAGAATGCCAATGTAATTTCACAAAAAAAAACCCCGCGACATAGCTTGCTAACGTACCTGTAAGTACGTTAGCAAAAACGGCCCCGACCAATATCGTAACCCAGTTACGGTACAACACGTTACACGTTGAAAATAATGTAACCTATGGTGTACGTGTAGACTCATACTGACATATAAACATGACATGGGTAAAACATGTAATTTTTCCATGTCATGTTTGGTCGAAATTCATCCCCAAGCCAAATACCGTACGACACGACTCATACTGACACACATCGACATGGATTTTTGATTTACAAATCCCGTGTTGTAACATGAGTCATCTCGTACATCGTACCGTCCGGGAAGTGTCATACTGACACAACATGACACCAAATGTAAATTTCTCCAGAATATTGCGTTCGGATCGGACCAACGCTGGATCACTACGCTACTCAACGCTACCAGGACAAATCTGGATAGCGTAGATGGGCAAGTTAATATGATAACGCAGTAGCGTTATGTTGGGGACTGTCAGCTAACGCTTCGGGATCAGCGTGCCTTGAACAAGCTAACGATTTTTTTTGAATTGCAATAACGCAGTGGTAGTGCGTTACAAAAACTCGCTAACAACTAACATAAGTTTTCCCGTAAGCCATTTCAGCAAGGGCTTGAAGTTCAGCCCATTCCTGACCGCTCAATTTGACCCCACCGCGTAGCCACATTTGACTCCCTACAAGGCGTTCGATATTCCACGCTGAAAGCGATCCTCGATCGCTTGCACAGACATCTGCTGCAGCCGAAAAGGTACGCTCTGCGGGAGCCGAGGATCCGCAGCAAGCCAGATAGTCGCGAGCGAGTGAGGCTAGTACAGGATATCTTGATGCCTTGTTCTGTTTGAAATGATGTATTCACGTAAGTACAGCGGAGGAGAAAGGCAGATTAAGTTGTTAAAATAGTTACTTACTTGCCACCAAGTAAGAATGTTATGAGGATCGTGAGCTTGATCCTCAGGTATATAATCCTCATCCTTGAAATAGGCCTCTAGCTCATTAACGTCTGTATTCGGACCTTTTTTTGAAGTGCAATAGACACGAGTTCGATTTTGAGGCTGAGTAGAGGGAGCTTCGGAAGTCACTATCGGGTTGATGATAGATACTTCTCTGACCATCTCTTTGCGTTCATCGTAAAGTTGTGAGAGTGTAACTTCAGCGTTAATAGCCACCGAAGGATCGTCAAATTGTGATCGAAAAAACTCAATTCCGAGCATTGGATTGAGTAGGGCGGCCATGACGAGAGTCTCGCATTCTAAAGCGTTTGAAAGGTACGTTGACGTCTTTTTCAACATTGCAGTGAGCATAACATGGACACCTTCGCCTTCACGGCAAGATGCCAATTTTTCAGAGAGCTGTGTCTTGAGTTCGACAAACTCAGACAGCACTAAAGCTCCGGTTGGAGCATCACCTTCCATTCGCCTGGTGATGTGCAAAAATGGCTAGTACATAGTTGGAGTCAGGCATCTATCAGCTGGAATTCCTCGATACAAGAAGTTTCATGTTTGACGTACCTCTAGAACATCAAGAAGAGATCGTAGTGCGGCCCATTCAAATGGAGCCATCTGTTTTTCATGAAAATAACCGTGAGGTTTTCCATTCTCACGGCGACGTCGGTTTTTAGATAATACTAGCTCTAAGTCCTCTTTGAGCATATGATCAATGACCTTTAAGTTCAAGAAAATAAATGAGATCGACTGAAATGTATAAGTATATGAAAAAGAGGATGTGACATACCGATCGAGCATTATAAGCTTTTTCAAGAGCTTGATATTCACAACCCCAACGAATGCCGTAGCCGGGTATGATCATGGGTGTTTTGACATCCAGACGTTCAGCCACTCTTTTAAAGTTTGCACGCCACGATGAGGATCTTGTAATACGTCTACAGATCCATTTCACCTGCTCAGATGAAATGTTAATCAGCTTGAAAGAAGGATAATATATCACAATTTGAAGATAACATATACATACCTTTTCTCGAATGTTGTTGAGAGTCTCAGCTGAGACTGAGGTGCGCACACCCGAGTCGAACATGTCAATACCCAGAGATCCTTTAGTAGGATTTGGAAGAGGGTCAGGAGCCCCTTGAATGTCTTCAAACTCGTCATCGAGTCGGTCAGCAGTATCCCAGGCTGCCTCATCAGTTTGTTCTGTCAAATCCGGGTATTCATCTTCATCGGGTTCGTCATCGTTGCTGCTGTTGTTGGCCTCAACTTCTTCATCAATAGTGGGAAGGGTGTTGATTTCGGGGAAGGAGCCTAATGTGGCCCGCTTGATCGCTCGAGGAGCAACAGTCTTGATACCAAGGGCATTCAACCCGCCGTTTACTACAAGTTGCAAGATATGACAGAAACACTTGATGGACATTGTTTCAGGTTTCCAGTCAATTGGAGGGTCATTGTCTGTTGAGGCTTCTTCAAAAAGCCTATGCATCTCAACCGCCATCGTGTTGTTGTTAGAACCGGAGTCCGTTGTCTGCGCTAACAAGTAATTAGCCCCAAAATATCAGCTATCACTGATAATCAATTTCATTAGAATTAAATCGAAGAACTTATCTTATGGCTCAAGCCATGTTTCAAGAATATGTTAGCCAAAGGTTGTGCTAGCCACACCCCCTTGTGGTGCCAAGGGATGCACTTCAGAGTGAGGTGTTGTACAACGTACTTCCAATCATCATTAATATAAGTAACTGAAGCGGTTATAAAACTGTAACGATTTCCTCGAGTAGTCCACACATCGTGGATTACTGTAAACTTGCTGGATAAAGCCTGTGTTGATCAAAAACACAAAAACTCAGAAACATTCAAGATAAGATGGGAATGTGAGTTGACGCACCTTGAGCTCATCTACCACAGATGTGCGTAAAGATAGGTACATACGGTTTGCTTCATCAGCAGCCCACTTACGTCCAAACAGCTTGGAGTCGGATCAAGCATATTTGAATGCAGCCTTGAGTAAGGGGTCCTGAATTCTTAACCAAGGTATTGCATGATGTACCTGCCACATAGAAAGTAACTGATTCAAAACCCGATTATCAAACTTGTCTCGGCCAATAAATTTGGTGATCAAGACCTGAGAGTCCTTCTTTTTTGATTTCTCAAGAGCACGTTGTTGAGAGACGGATAGCGGTAGTTTGTGACCAGCGTTGATGGCTAACGCTCGATTGGGACACCCGTTTCCAGATCTTCCGGCCTGCGATGACCCATCACGGTGAACTTTAAGGTTGGAGTCGGATGTTAATGAAATTCGTGACCTCTTCTTACACCATAAACAATCGTAAGATAGAGGTTTCAATGATTTGTCCTATGAACGAGACAACATTAAATTTATACACATCACATGATCATTAATCCATGTCAAAGATGAACAAACCAAACACCAAAGCATGGGAGAGGAACTCACATCATAATCCTCGTGATATGGTGGACCATAAAATAAACTTGGTTTCTCATATCCATCAGGTCCCTCAGAATCAGATTTCTTGGGACGGGCTGGCTGACGCACTCGGTCGTTTTCATTGTCAGAATCTCGAGTGAGATCCACCTCGGTAGGATCTTTAGCCTTTTTGATTGGTACACATCGAAGAAAAAGAAGATATGAGAATTATCAAGATGATACCACAATGAACTGGAAGCAAAAGACTTACAGGTGGTTCAACTCCGGGACTTCCTTCTTGAGTTGTTTGCTTAGTCTTCTTTTTCTTATTTGTATCTTTGGCTTGGGATTCAGGCTCGGATAAATCATTTTGGCGTCTCTTTCTACTTCTACTAGCAACAAAGGAAGGAGACTTTTCACGATGAAGGGAAGACCGACTATCAGGAGCTGTTCTAATCATGGAGGTGTTTTTGATTGGGGTTATCATGCGACTAGATCTACGTGAAGGAACATGAGCTTCGCTTTGTGAGCTCATCTCAGAAGGGGTTGCCACCATGGCAAAGCAATAATCATAATTTTGGGATGAGGGAAAAAGAAAGTATGACCAACTGGGGTCTTTCCACACTGGTTTGAACAAAAGATTGGTGAGACGGGGTGTGAGGCTGATGTGACCCAACACGTTGGGGTTGAAGGGGTAGACCTACACATGATTTGCTCATCATCTCATCATATAGCCTATGAGTTGGTTAGAGTTGGTTAGGGTATATTCCATCAGCGATCTTCACCTTCAGGAGGTGAAGTCCTTAAGTCAGCGCAGGGGTACGCTAACAAGCTAACAGCTGATGATCAAATCATGATCATTGTTAACGTAGATGGAAAAAGCCAGCTAACGCTATAAACGTAGCGGGGGCAAGTTATCACAAATGGCGGGATCTGGTAGTGTAGATCTCCACATCTAACAGGAAGCGTTGGTGTAGCTGCGTGAAAAAGTTACACTAACAGCTTCCCTAACGCTTTTTTAGCGTAATTGGTCCAGCGTTGATTGGACTATCCAATAATTGAACTTCATCAATTTCATTCAACTTTTCCACTTCACCCCACAGCCTCTTGACAACGTCCTTTTATCTCCTTCAACTCCTCATTTCCATTTCTCAGTGGTCTATTTTTTAATTTCATTGCAGATTTTTATTATACTTTCCTCTGATGTGACAGATGATTTGCCTACTTTATAATGGCTATGGGTGGTGTTGAGATTGAGTGATGACTACAACATTAAGATTGAATGTCCAATCCAATCATTCTCAATTGTTATATGATGTCAATATACACTTTACCAAATGGCAAAAGAGTCAACAACAGATCATTATGGTTTATGTCAAGCTTTTTGATTGACTGTTTGGTAAAGCGTAGAACCAACTCTAGCTTTTTGGATCTGCCCCTTTAAAAAAGCAGTGGATCAAAAAAGTGTTTTTGTGTAACACTTTTTGGCAAGAGTTCCAAAAGGGCCCTTACCTAGGGCCTCATCTTCTTTTGCAAAGGTAATTATAAATTAGAACAAGTGCAAAGTGAATTACAAGTTAGAACTAGGGAAATAAATCAAGAAACAATTTGAGGAGAGAAACAATAATAAACATCTAAAAATGACGCAGACTTCTTGTTCATGTTATATACTTCTCCTTATCACTGATCCACAGAAAAATCTCATCAGTTAAAGATTCCTTATAGTCAGATAGCCACCCACTTTCAGTGTCCATCCCACACTTGGATCATGATAATTAGGCTTGCGTAAGGTCTGCGTCGAACCCTACCCACAAGAATCTGGTGCGTGAAGCCAACCCAGTCTTGGGGAGGACAGGTACAGTTGAACCTCAGCAGTGACCGTGAATCATCATGATCCAAAACCAATTTGATAGAGGAATGGAGATCAAGTAGTTCTGCATTCACATAGTGAAGAATGAACATGCAAGATCTGATTCCATCCTCTATCAAATTGGCCTGTGAGACTTCTGCGTGTACTGGTATCTGACCATCATGGAAGAAAGAATTAAGTTTTATCTCACATCATCATTGTGATTTAAATGGATGAATCTAAAGATAAAAAAGTTGCATTACTTTGAAGAAATTGAAATGAATTGTTTTGAATTTAATAAATGAGATGGCTTGTTTTGATTGTTTTGATTAGAAACTAAAGATTCAGTGTAATTTGGTTTGATTGAATGATGAACAGTTGAGATGATTGAGTTTAGGTGAATCAGATGGAGACAATCGATTTTGATTGGATCAGATGGAGTCTGGAAATGATCGATATCGATTGGATCGGATGAAAGCAATCGATTTCGATTGAATCGGATGAAAACAATCGATTTTGATTGAATCGGGTGAAAACGATTGATTTCGATTGAATCGGATGAAAGCGATTGACTTCGATTGAATCAGATGGAGATTGTTTTTGTGCCTAATCACAAAAAAATGTTAAACCATTGTTAGCTAAGAAATAACAAATGGATTGAAAGGGGGTGGACTGAGAAGAGGAATCTAAACCTGAGAAAGAGAACAGTCCAATAATTGAACAGAAAAGAAAGTGACTTTTGATGGAAACTTGATGAGTTCCAAGTTGAATATTGTGAGTACTTCAAAGATAGAAGGAGTTGAAATACTTACTCAAAGAAACAAAAGTGAAGGAGGGAATGTTTGAGTTGGTAGGTGGGAACGGTTGACTATGTACCGGTGGTGAATCGGGTAAAGCTATTAGATGCAAGATGGTGTCATGTTTTTGTCAGTATGGCACTTCTCGGCCATCAGACCGTCCGCCATGACTCATGTTACGACACGGTTTTTTTAAATCAAAAATCCATGTCGATGTGTGTCAGTATGAGTCGTGTCGTACGGTATTTGGCTCGGGGATGAATTTCAACCAAACATGACATGGAAAAATTACATGTTTTACCCATGTCATGTTTATATGTCAGTATGAGTCTACACGTACACCATAGTAACCGGTCCAACGTTGCTTTCATCAAGACCATGGGGACGGGGTGAAGGAGTCCAGGGACCGAGCGCATTCTCGATCACCGGGTCTCAGGATCCCTTCAATTCCGTAATTCAACTTCGGGGTATGGGAATGATTCCCTTTGTTCACTCGATAGGAGTTTCGCTCGATTGCCTCAACTATTCATCGCTTTTACCTTTCTTCATGATTAATTGAACTTTACGTTTTCTGTGAATGCACTTCGTAAAAACTGTCAAAGGAAAAAGCGAATGGATTATCTCATCGAACCGTCTCGAACCTTCATTTCCTACTGCTACGAATTGACCAATAACTTCGGATCCTGAGGCGGCTTAATTGATGGAGTGCGATGTATGCGAACAGCCAGGGCGTCGAAAGTTCTTTTGCGAAGTCTGGTAAGTAGACAAAAAGATTCACAAATCGTGATAGGTTTCTTGCTAAACTAGGTTTCTGATTTGGTTGGCGTTTTCAGTCTCAAAGAACGCCTTCTCATTCATCGCTCCTCACTTAAGAGACTCGGAGAAAACCACGAAGCAACTGTCAAGAGAGCTTTACCTGTTCTCGAAGCTCCTGATGGTGTGCAAGAGCGTCGAATCGCAAAGGCTCGCCGCGCAAGATTACTTTCCGATTGCTTATCTCTCGAGTCTAAAGATGTACAAGTGACAGATGCGTTACGTCAATCACAAACCATCATTGTCGCCAAAAGGACTCAGCTTTCTATCAGACGTAATCGATTAAATCAAGCCCGAGAGCAGCTTGAATCCAGACGTAGCCCTGCAAAATCTTCAACGAAACAACAATCGTACATCCCGGGGGTACCTCTATCGACTTCTGCTACAAATCTCATCGACATTCGCCAACAAATTCTCATCACAGAGCAACATTGGGGTGAAGTCATCAAAAATTTGATTGTTGTGCGCCGGAGTTTGATTAGTCAACTCTTGTCCATATATCCCATTACCGCCCATCGCACGTCGGAGGTCCCTCGAGACCCGCAGACTCAACGATCCCAACCCAGCAACCGTAATCAACTTCGAGATGCCACCTCACCGCCGGTCAAGATTGAATGGCGAATATCCGGATTGTGTCTACCTACATTTACTGAAGTCAAACGTAGGTTGTCATTTCCACTCACCATCAAGAATCTATTCAAGGGCTGACCAGTATAATGTCCAGTTTACTCGCGTGAGGAGGTTTCTGCGGCAGCACTGTTTACGGCCCATTTCCTACGACTCACTGCCATGTATCTTGGCGTCAAACTTCCGTTTCAATTAAGCATGGGACCTGTGCTGAGCATCTCTGCTCCTCGCCACAGCGTCTGGAAATCTAAGTAGGCTTCCCTCCAGCTCTATGTAGCCATACGACTCTAACATTCTTCTTGCAACCCCAAAGCTTCCCCGCTCTCTATCCACTTCATCTTCCCATAGGTCCCAACTATTTGACATCCTCATCCTCTACGAGATCTTCCTCTTATGTGGCCTTCCTAACCGGATTGAGTATGCTCGCCTACAATACATACTATCTCTTCGATAGCCAGCGCTCAGTTTCTTCTACCTCTCAATCTGTGGTTTCTCAACATTCTCATCCTCATGAGGCTCGGGAAGTGCTACAAAGCTTGTATGCATGCTGTCACAGTCTCGAGTTAGGTAATGCGAGTCACGTGACAGGCAAAGAAGTCCTCAAGAGACCTGATAGCCCCTCCGAATTGATGGATATCGATTTGTCACAAATCGTCAACGAAGCATTACAGATCAAATCGGAAGATGTGGTGGAGGAAGACTGGAGTCTGATCTGATATACAGATGCTCTCGGACCAGCTTTACCGTCAACTAGATTGTACAAAATAACCCGGTTGTTTGTAATTTTGAAGATTTTGTACTTGTATTCCACTTCTTTTCACTTACCAAAATCCCTACTAGCATTTGCTATAACGTATCTAATAGTAATGAGCTTCCATATGTCAATGCCAGGTTGGCCCTGTTCGAGCTACAACACTTTCATATTGACTCTTGATCAACACTCCACTTCCAACAGACTACAAATGAAAGCTCATACCGCCTGTAGTGTGGGCTACCTCCCAAAAAGAACCACATACGTAGCATTGAAACAAGTCTAGAGTGTATTGACGCATGGCTGTGAATCCACATAAAGACAGCCCTAGAACCATAGCACTTATAGAACCTGGAGTGGCAGTGCAAAGCAAATATCCTTTGATAAAAGAAATCTTGGTATCAATTTCACTACAATCTTGCTAAAGTGACACAATGGGGTACTTGTGGTGCTTGGTAACCTATATGTGATGTAATCAAGGGCATTTCCAACACAATGGGGGATATTCAGCTTCCAATATAAATGTCATGGTAGTACAATTACCGCTATGTAAATAAATTCCAGGGAACATCTTTGTGCCTCTTCCAAAAGTTGGATGTATTGAAAACTTGAAAATGTTGAAGGAAAAGCTGTTGCCACAGGCTCAGCAATAGCATATCTTGTGTAGATATTACCATGGGTGGGTTGACATGTCTTCTGGCAGGGATCAACTTCAAGGGACAGGCATGTTTGTTTCATGCAAATTTCCACTGTTGGTTATTACATATGTGCAACTAGCTGCAGTCTGCACACTATCTCTCACAGCTCAAGTTGCATATACACAGGTCCATAGGTGCATGTCATGTTTTTTAGAGCCTGACATTTTAGACCATGTAAAGAATTATTCAAGAATTAACCATATGTCATTGCGGTGATGGCACTCCCCCAAATGAAATTGTAGACCACTTTGGGTGCACCAATGTGGACAAACAAATATATGTATGTACTGAGAAAATTTCCAATGATATGTTATATTGATATCTTCACAAAGTCACCTTTTTCTTCATGTGCCAGGGTTCTGTGCAGCATGCACATGCATGCATCTCTAAAAGGTTTTTTTAATTAGTAACACCATCACCCAAAAAAAGGAAAAAAGTCATCTGCAAAAGCATACATATCCAGACCTATCATCAGAGACAAGCCACATCTTCAACCCTTGTGATATTTCATGATGGTTTTTTGTCCAAAGATAATCTTAAGGCATTATCACAGCCTGCCCCAAGTTTAGGAATTGGGCAGCACATGTGGTTTGTTTCTTGTCTTTTTCTCTGTTATCAACACCCTAAAAAATCACCATCTGCACGCCAAGTGTCATCTTTTTGTAGCATATAGTGAAGGGAAAAAAGTAAAGTAGTATCTTGAGCCACATAGGAACAGCGGTTCTTGCTAGTTCTTCTGTAAGAATGACAAAGCTCTGTTATCAGGTCAAGGCCATGGGTTTATACCCTTCAAGAGCGGCATCTGAAGAATGTATGGAGCTCTAGAATTTTCATGAGTCTTCTTAATAACACTGAAAATAGTCATTTTGCTGTTAGTGGTTTTGAGAGAAGACATTCCCAGGTTCTGTTAGTGAATCAAGATCATATTCCATCAAGAAAGACACTATGTACAACTATGAACAAAGATACTCCAGAACAAAAGGGAATACAGAGAAAACGGTCGATCACATAAAAGACGATTGCATTTATGTGATTTTTCAATTTTTAGTGAGACAGACAATAGCTCAAATGGGATATTCACAAAGAGTTGACGTTCACATCCCAATTGTTTCTTCAAGGATGACGTTCAACAAGGTCTGAAAATAGTTACGAAAACACGCACATCTCAATTGCTTGTTCAAGGATGTCAAAAAATGTTGTGATAAGAGAGGTGACTAACAAAAAGTTTCCAACAATCAGACTAGGAACCGCCCATTGATCACGCCGGATGGTGAAGGAAAAGGTACAGGGTAGAGGACTATGATCTGAAGGAGAACTGGGTTGAGGATTTTGAAGTAAAACACAAGATGTCAAAACAGCCTAGAGAAAGAAAAAAAGTAAACCTAATTAGTTTTCAAAGCAAGAGATTTGATAAGAGACAAAGAGGTATGACCTTTTGGCTTTCATCTAAAGCGATTCCACTATACTTCTCCCAATAATTCAAATTACTTTCATCGTTCCAAAGTTCATAGATACATTTAGGTTCAGTTTCGAAGGAAGATCGATGATAACCAATCAATTGACAAAATTGTTGATTGGTTTTTACAATCTCACCTGTCCTACGCCAAACACAAGCTGGAATAGGTAAAGTACTAAAGATTGGAGTATATTCTTGTAAAAGTCTATAAAAACAAATCTCAGATTCGATTTGATCAGATGTTGACAATGATGAGGTGATTGCCTGAAAAGCAAATCGAATCAATACATAAACAATCAAAAGTTTGGATTGAAAGCGTTGAGAATGTTAGTCATAACTCACCAAGAGGTGAGGTTGAAAATCTCCTATGGTCCTTAAAAGTTTGGACTTTGTATCTGCAGAAGGTCTAAGAGATGGAGATCGGAAGGAAGTGACAAGAAATGTCTAAAAGATGATGAACATTCTTCTCCTTATTTCCACAAAACGATCCAAGATTATAGTGAGGATAGAGAGATATAAATTAGCGTACATGCGATGAATCCAATCTAGGAGTTTATGATGGCCTTGCTGGTAATCGAAAAGTGTAAGATCTTTGAACCTTGAGCTATTTCGACCACTTTCGATAGGATTTCGACTTCTAACTTCATTTCGATGATTGGCAGGAGTGATAGTATCAGACATACTACCGATCTGATCGGAGAAAAGACCTGGATATGACATAAGGATGTCATTGAAATCGAGTTTTGGGGAAAGGCTTTGCTCAGGAGGGTTAGGATTGCGTAGGTTCATTACTGAGAGGAGTGAGTTACTTGAGCCTCCGGTAGGAATCAGAGGAGGTTGACGTGAAGATGGTTCAGCTGCGAAAAGAGATGTATTTAGAGGATCAGTCGATGTTGGGAATCGATCGAGTTTATGAGTTCAATGAGCCACTGACTTATCCCTCGGCTTCCTGAGATCTGTCCTGAGGAACCTGTTCCGGTGGACGACAGGTTCTGATAGGGTTGAAGATGATGCGGTGTAGTGATTGACGGATCGATATCTAAGCGATTAGTCAACTGCACTCGATGTTGGTTTGAGTTATTCATCGAGTTTTCCATAGACGACAACTCTGATAATCGATTTGAGGGATTCGTTATGATATTTCGAAGAGAAGATTGGGGTGGATTACGTTCGACTGCTGATCCAGTAGCAGTACTTGAGGGTGGTTCATCGCAACACAGATGACCAATCTCTCGTTTGATGCTGTTAAGAATAGAATAAAGATCAGTAAGTTTGGTTATTTGTTTATATATTGAGTTTAATTCCCTCATTGATATTGCGAGGATGATGGAAGATATTCTAGGTACTGACCAACGTTGACACGGACGAGAATCATCACAAGTCATATGAGATCTCTTGCAAAACAAACATGCCTACATAAATATGTAAATGATCAGAGAAGTAGTTAAATGTTCAATGAATGGAATCAATATCTGGATCCATTGCGGATAAAAGATGATATGTTAAAGGAAGGAAATAACAAAAAGCTCACCTTGGCTACTTTTCTACGCTTGCCTGCCTTTGACTTTGACGTGGTTTCTGAAGTAGGAGGGGGTACAACGGGTTGACTAGAGGTAGAAGCAAGGGGCATGGGGACAAAGTTGGGATTGGAACTGTAATAAGGGTATGGCGTGGGGTATGGTGGTTGAGCACTGTGAGCCGCGGCCGGGTCAGAATTGGGATCAAAATTTTCCCAGTACTGATAATGAGGATCATAAGGATGATTATAACTGTTATTGTAACTCATACTGAAGGAATTGTATAAAACGTTTCATAAACTTAGATAAAACTCTGTACAAATCTTAGGTGTTGATGAAAAGTGTTTGATTGGGGCGGAAGGAGAACTACTACGGTGGTCGTCTTGGCATGAACAAGCACAGTCGATGATGCGACCCATGCAAGGTCTCAGTCAAGAGATATACATACTCGTTTGAATGACGGTAGGATAAAGGATGTTGCAAAAGAAACCTGAGCTCAGCTATAGAAATTGAGGAATATAAGAAACCAGTCTTTGTGAAAGATAGATGAAGATATAACGAAGGACAAGAATAGATTGAGCGGTGACTTTTTATGTCGTCTTGCCCTCAATTCAACTCAAGAGCTCACAAAATTGAACTTGAAAGTTGTCTTGACTCATGACTCATGAGTTGAGAAGCAGCGTGAGCTCGAAGTGTGCGAGACGTATCCTAATTGCCCTCGACTAACCGGAGAGCACGAGAGAGCACTCGAACTGTTTGACTTTGCAATCGTTTTAGAGTGCGATCAGTTTTTTACGCGTTGTAAAAGTATTGAAAACCCATCACAGGTTCACATCTAAAGAAAAGTATAAAATACGTCATAATTGAACCCATCACTGGTCGATAGCTTGACAAAAGTGAATGTTTTTACAGTCACTTGAAAAGGATGAGTAGCCAATGACTTCGGGTCCGTAACACTCGGCTGCGCCATCTCATCTGACATCCAGCTTGACCTTCTGCCCAGTTGGGGTCGGGCAATCATCCTGATTTTTGGTGACAGATGACGGTCAGATGGTCTCCAGATGTGCAGCCGAAGGGACCCTTAGCTACCGGATCACACAATTCAATCATCTTGATGAGTTCGACATTGGAATAAATGGATCTGTGGAATATTTGAGCCTTATATCTTAGCTTGATCGAAGATCTAAAGATAGAACTACAAGCGCAATGTGACGATGTTGCGGCCTGGTGAGCCCAGACAGGCCCAGACCCCAGCCACCAAAACTAATGACCAAAATGAGTGAAAGCAAAAAAACAATCCTACATAGAAACTGAAAGACTAGAGCAGCGGCCAAAAACAAAAGAATTAATCAAGTATGTAGAAGGGGGGAGGTGATAAGGAAAAGATGTTTAAAGCCTTGTCAAAGAAAAGGATATTTTCGTGTATATCATTTAATCATTTTGATCAAACTTTTTTGTTTTTATTATCTGAAGCCATTTTTGGTGTTTGCTCCGCAAATGCTCGATACCTTGATGCGGTTGAAGCATGATTGGCGCATTCAAAAAAATTCCCTGTATCTCTGATAAGTACGTAGAGGAGGCACGAGTCAATCCAAGCGGTATAAGTTCTCAGATACTACGTAAGGATAGGAGATGGCAAGGTTTCATGGCATTTATAGTAATGCCTGATCAATGGAGCGACTTTCAAACTACGACATTCAATTCACTTCAATAAGACAAAGATCAACCTCAGAAACGAGAAAAAATAAATCAAATAAACACCGTTCGTACAGAAACAAAAACAAGCTGAGTGGCACAGCCGACGTGAAAAAAGAGGGTATTGAGACTCCGAAAGGAATAACAAGATCAGATCAGAGTTGAAAGGAAAGTGATAAATCAAAAGAGTGACACTGAGTTAAAACCATAAGATCATAGCTCAAAGGGATGGTTATTGTTTAGTGCTGCGAAGATCTGCGCGCGTGTCGTTTGGTCATGGAAACTGGGGATGTGATTGGCTTTTGGCAGACTGGAGGACTGCACGATGGGTGCTTAGCCTGACAAGTAGAGTGGCAAGCCTCGTCAGCTGAATTACATCCACCGGTACACTCACAAAACGCCTCACATCGACCATGAGGTGCAGGCGTGGTGGTGTCATGACCTTTTCCTTGATGACCATGATGTTTTGGCTTGGGTGAGCTGCCGTGATGGGTTGAATTGCGGATCGGTACGTAGGGTTGGGTATTATTGCCGCCTGGAGCGGGTTTGGTAGTGTTGTTTGCTGGTGGGGTTTTGTCATTGGGGCCGGGAACGTATCCAATTGGAGCTTGGTAATCACTTGCAGGTCGGGGCTTGTAGTTGCCAAACGCACCAGGAACTGATCCGGGGTCCTTGTTTGGCTCGTCTATATGAAGAAAGGGTATTGTCGTTAGTTTGATCTTATAGAATGGAACGATGTAAACAAAGTGTATCACTGACTCGGCTTGCCACATTTGGGTTGGGTAGGAACAGTGCTGACCGCCAAGCTGGCGTACTTATCACGGGCTTCCTGAGGCCATTTAGGAAGGCTCTCGGGGTGAAAGCTGGGGTAGTTATTGTCATGTCCTACTTGCTCGGTCGATACATCAGCCTTTCCGTCGTGATAGACGCCATCCAAGCTCGATTCGTAACCAAAGCCTCCGGTTTGTGGGTTGGCTGTCAATAGAGGGAGCAGATGACCGGAAAAGTCAGTCTCAAACAGTCGTGTAGCATTCAGCAGATAGTGGAAACGCACCAATGGGGTTTGTTCCAGCTGGTTTAGTGAAGCCAATTATAAACAAAGTTAGTAAGCGTTGAGGGATTTCTATGATAAACGATCATACGCACTTCCAGGAACACCACCGGTGTTGCTAAACAACGGCGGAAAAAGAATTTTAGCCTGAAGTCATGATAGTGTCAAGTGATCATTGAAACGTGGTACTTACTGCCAAAAGAATGAGTGTGAATTGGTAAAGTCGACTTCAAATTCATCCGGTTGTGGGAAAACGGTGTAAGCGAAACAGGTTCCATATGGCTGTAAATGTAGGTTGTGAAGGGGCAAGATGTGCACGTAAACAAAATGAGCTGATGATATGGGGTTATAGGAGATCAAAGCTCTTACACATCCGTGATAGGCGTCACAATTATGATCGACAGAGAACCAAGTAAACAATTGCACTGCAGGTGTAATCAAGAAGTCAGCGGAGAGTAACCTTGAAGGACAATTCATGGTTAGGTGCTTACCATCAGGGAATGACAGCCTGGTGTTTGCAGCACACTAAATTATCATGAATAACATAAAGACCACCATGATTTGTCAATTAATTGGCTCGGTGTGCTTTGTAAAAAAATAGGAACAAATGACTACAGACCTCCGCTACTTGAATAGCTTTTGTGGTTCGTTTGGCTGGAAGTGGGCAAGGTGTGGCTGTCAGAATGCTGCGCGAGGTCTTTTCTTTAGAAACCAAGACCTACGTTGATGAGCCGCTATCCACTCGGCGGTTGGTTTGAAATCCCGCAGATGACCGGTGGCAGGATCCCAGTTGGCGGCAACTTGATGGGTGACAAAGCTTGCCACAAGCACAATTGTAGAAAATAGTTCGGAAGTAAACATTATGGCTGGAAGAATGTGGGTCGAAAGTCTTTAGATGACTCTGATTAAATGTCCAAAAGAATTAAGTTGTCCTTGAGAGTGAAGTGAAATTGAGATGTTATGAAAGCTCGCTGAGATTTCCGAAAGATCGATCGACGTTCAAATGAGAGAAGGGCTAAAATGATTGCCACTTGAGACGAGAGATTGGAGTGGTACAAGATGCGCTAGGCAGTGAAAAGGTCTGATGAGGAGAGGGCCAAAGGTGCTCAATTAGCTCTTTATATGCCGAAATACATTGGAATGTGATTATACTAGCACTTGCAGAATCGATATCTACCGAGGAGAGCACAAACGCATTGCTCTCACGTATTCGGTGTGCTGATGGCGAGTACAGTTCTTCTGAAGGCTTTTGGATGCTTGAGAGTGAATTGTAATGTACGCCAAAGAGCCCTTGATTGCATCGGGCCTGACAACATCAAGATCTTGGATGGGTGTCTTGGACCCTACGTACGAAGCTTGAACGCACTTCCATCAGGCGACGGAAATATTGAGGCATTCAAAATTTGGCGTCAGCTTTCGCTCATCTTCGTCAATTTCCCGAGGAATTTCCAGCAAATTGACCAGGAAGACAGAATTCTACAGAACGTACCCTTGCTGAACGAAGAGATGGCGTGCTATACATATTCCTTCACATTTTTCGAAAGAGGCGGAAGGTTGTAGCACGATGTGATTTTCTGGTATTCTGGAACTTGAAGTAAGATCGTAAATTCAATCCAAGCTCGTCTTGTTTCCCTCTTGGGCAGGTATCTCGGTACGTACTCAAATCTGGGGTACCACTACACATACCAAGAGCAACAAATCGTGCATTCTCGTCATTTTCAATCTCCAAGCTTCATGGAAATGCCGCTTGATGGGATATGCCATGGACTCAGCGGTCGCGAAAACAACCATTCTTCCGCACATACCAATTTGCACAATATCGTGAGCAGAGGTCACGTAAACTTGACATGAATCAGCTCAGACGTGACATGGACCAGAAATAAACACCGGTCATCCAACAGGGTCTACCGTCCCACCAAGCTGCAACCCCTCGGCCCAGAGCCTCATTGAGAGGCTCAATCAGCTAACAAGAGGAACCCAATGGATAACACTTACCATCTGGGTATGTGGGCAGCGGGTGCCGACCAAGACCTTCCCAATCTTCGCCCCACTCTTCGTAGATATTGACAACGCGCGCGGAGACTTGGGACGCTTTCCCACTCCATGAAGCTCAGCTGTGAGCGCTATCATTCGAATTCGGTCATGAACATGACATTCCGAACTGAATGGCTAGAGACCCATTGCGCTCTCAGGTACTTGAGTAAGCTATCAGAAAAATTGCCCACGCAACGCGTCACTTCCTTTCTATCATGGATCCTCAGGTGCTGTCTCCAAAAGTTACATAGGAGGTCATTGCCAGCCTCGTGTTGTTGATGCTGAAGTTTTACCTAAGCATCAGGGTCAAATTGAGAGAAGCAAGATAGTATCAGAATCGAACTTTGATGTCCAATCAGCAGGTCTTTTTCATCACAGTCCAATCAGCTTACTCTAACTAGGAGAACCATGCTTCATTTGAAAGACTTTCTGACAGTTGATTCAGATGTCAAGGGTAATTCATGCTGATCAAAAACGGGTCTTGAGCTGGATCCTGTGCTGGAAGTTGGAACGTTCTTAGGATGTGACTGAGAAGCTTTGTGTTCAATATATGCTTTGAAATGTTTATCATAAATTATTTGCATCAGCACAGTTTCTATACACATCAAAAGTGTCTTCAAGCTCATCAAGGATTGGTCAAGAGTCAAGAGTCGACTTGATGACCTTGGGTTTCCAGCGCCGCACGCGCGTATAGTGCAGGGCATTGGATCAAACAGGTCAGGGCTCGGCTCGGGGCATGGAGCGGCTGCGTGCCCATTTTTGGGGAGGAAGCAGTCTGATTTTTTTGAAACTGATCAGATTGGGTGTTGACGAACAATTGTGCATATACCCAGTTCAAGGTGAGTCAAACCGTAGCTAATCAGGCTCTTGATTCTTGATGCAAGTGCCATACTGACCTGATATATATAATCTGATCCTCAACAGACATCATGGCCACACCTAACAATCTCACCAAACAGACCTTCGTCGTCAAAAGTCATGATGAAGTAGACGGATGTCTTTCAGCTTCATCTTCTTATCGATTTGCCAAACGAGTTTATTTATCGATTGAAGTTCTAAAAGCTTTCAAAATCTGTGCAGGCGATCTTTTGATGATCAAAGCAGTACTTAAAACAGATGATATTCAAAAATTAAGTACATTAGACGAAACGGTTTCTTCAGTGAGTTTCTTAGGAAAAACCTTACATCTTACTTTTTAGATGATTTATCAAAAATTCATTCTATGCTCAGAACTCATCATTACTCGCTTTCGCTATCGGTGTAGCATGGCCCTCTGCAAACCTCGAGAAAGAAAGTACGCCTATTCCATTTTCGAGGGATCCCTTGCGACAAAATTGAGATCAGGATGATTTGAAGAGCTGATCCTGAGAACGCGTACTCATTTCAGTGATTGTTTTATCGATGGATCATCTCATGACAACCTCGGTGGCTCCAGGCGACTTGGTTAGCGTGATACCCCTACCCCCCATCCTCCCTGTGGACCATCGAGGTCCAGGAAAAGGCATCAAGCTGCCTGAGGCGAGTTCCATAACTCTCGCGGAAGTAGACCCGGACTCTAGTTCTCTACCCCATTTGGATAGATCGGTAGTTCAGCTTAGACCAAGTTTAAGATCTGATGGACAACTCAAAGTGGGGAGAATGTGGCAAGGATTTATGCGTGAGGTACTTGGTCCGTTCAAATATCGAGCCTTTTGAAATTAGATGGGATGACAAAACTCGTAGGTCAACTAGGATGTGACGCTCAATTATGTTCTATGTCTGCTCAGTTGATCGAAAGTATATAGCGATCAACCACTATGTTTCGATCCCCAATAACGCAGGTAGCCGTGTTTTGAGGGTTGAAGATATAAAACAGACTACTAGTTCTACTCCAAACTCGAACATCAAGCAACCACTGGAACTCTTTGTAATCACTCGAAATACGGAAATCAAAATCAACCCGCTATTTCAAACCAACGACAAAGTACCCCCTACAGAACCGAAAACCTCGCAGCCCCCTCTCGGAGACCAACAAATTCACTTACAAACCAACGATGAAGTTGGATATGATGCAGTCGGTGGTTTAGATGCACAAGTAGAGCAAATACGTGACCTAGTTGAGTTACCACTCACTAGGCCAGAGCTTTACTCCCACTTTGGTAAAATTCCAAGCTATTTTAAGATCGAATTTAATGATTTTCATCTAATCTGATATGAAAAAAATATGATAGGTTTAGCACCACCTCGTGGTATACTTCTTTATGGTCCACCTGGAACTGGAAAAACACTACTGGCTTCAATTGTAGCTAAATCAACCGGATCATCTTTTTTGACTTTATCGTCTTCTAGTATCGGATCAGCTTACCACGGAGAATCGGAACAGAAGATTTATGATTTGTTTGCTGAAGCTAAAGCTAAGAGTCCATGTCTTATTCTCATCGACGAGATCGATGGTCTTTTTCCGAATCGAGATTCTGGTGGTGAAGTGGAACGTAGGCTTGTTGGTGCCTTATTGACTTGTATGGATGGAATTGAAGATAAGGTGGCTAACAATCAGTCTCATCCGGAGACAAGTTCGGAAACTGTTTCTGTACCGATCAATGCATGTTTACCTCCTCGAGTGATGGTTATTGCTACCACCAATCGGCCGAATGCTATCGATCCTGCCTTACGTCGTCCAGGACGATTTGATCGCGAATTAGAGATTGGAATACCAGACGCATCCGCTCGATTTAAAATCTTACAAGTCTTATTAAGAAGAGTTCCACACCAACTTTCAGTAGATCAGATCAAACTTTATGCCGATAGAACGCATGGATATGTAGGAGCAGACTTAGTTTCACTTATCCGGACAGCAGGCTTAGACGCTATCAAACGATCAATTCAATGTCAACCTACACCAGCTTTGAAAGAGATGAAGCTTGAAGCAAATGATGTTGAAAAGGCTCTCTTGACAACCCTTCCTTCAGCTATGCGTGAAGTGTTTATCGAGACACCTAAAGTCAAATGGTCAGATGTAGGAGGTCAGGAGCTAGTCAAACAAAAGTTAAGAGAGAGTGTAGAATGGCCAATGAAATACTCTGAAACGTTCAAGACGTTAGGAATCCGACCTACAAGAGGAGTTTTACTCTATGGGCCACCTGGTTGTAGTAAAACATTGATTGCGAAAGCGTTAGCTAGTGAAAGTGGTTTGAATTTCATTTCGCTAAAAGGTTCTGAAATCTTTCATAAATATGTGGGAGAATCTGAGAAATCGATTCGAGATTTGTTTCGTAAAGCTCGTGCTGCATCACCTTCAGTTGTATTTTTGGTGAGTGAAGATTGTTTTTGAAGTTGATCATAGTTTGGGATGTACTAATTGATTTTGAGGGTTTTTGTTTCTTAGGATGAAATTGATACCATTGCAGCTTCAAGGAGCTCTGAAGAAAGTGGTGGATCAGGTACTCAAGATCGTGTTCTGACCAGTCTTTTGACTGAAATGGATGGGATTGAGGAATTGAACGGGGTCTTGGTCTTGGCTGCTACCAATCGACCAGACGTAATCGTTAGTGAGAATCAGATGATTCATAATTGGAATGTGTGATAACTATCTTGCTGATGATTCTAATGACTTGGTGGTGTTCAGGACTCAGCCTTAATGAGACCAGGTAGAATAGATAGGATCTTGTATGTTGGACCACCAGATTATGCATCTCGGAAAGAAATCTTGAAGATTAACTTTGGAAAGATGTCAATATCAAATGAAGTGAATATTGATCGTTTAGCTGAAATGGTATGATATTCTCTTTCCCGATCTAAAATTAACTTGATTCCTTGTAGGATTGGTTAATAATGATCTTTATTTTTTTCTTCTATAGACTGATGGATGTACTGGAGCGGAAATCGTTTCGATGTGTCAAGATGCTGCAATGATTACTATGAACAAAGATTTAAATGCTACACAAGTTGAGTGGAATATCCATATTATGTTGAACAAGAACCTACCTATCTAAAGATCTGATTTTTTGGGTCCTTTTTGTAGGTTTCAGAAGAAGATTTGTTGGAAGCTGCTAATCAAATTAGACGAAGGATTACACCTGAAACCATTAAAATGTATGAAAATTGGAGGGATAGAAGTGGGGTCAGAAGTGCTTAGAAATATGTACTATGTCAGGTAATCAAGATGAAAGTTTGTTTAATGATATACTCGATTAATTATAGATTTGGATTTGTTGGATTGGAATATGATTAATGACATTTACAATGAGTAAAGATCTCAACTTGCAGGTGTAATTTACATTTGTCTATCCATTCTTTTTTGATGAAAGTAAACACTTTTTCAAAAACACTTTTCTTGGATATAGAGAGATAAATAAGATAAATGTTTGCTTTAATTACGAGAATCAGATTTCTCTTGATCTTAATTTTCGATTACTCAACTGTTTTTGTACGCTGGGTATATGTTTAGTGTATGAGTGATTTTAAGTTATGGTGATGAAGAAGTGAAGTGATAGAAGTTGATGACTCGATGAGATTGAGTGTGATGTGTATTGGGTGTTCCCTGGTGGCTCGCTTGGGTTTGGATCGATTGAAATTTAGTTCATGTTCGATTCGATCAGACTCAGATCGACTTCAAGATGAACTTCATCAATCTGCTCCTCAGCATTTCGATTCTATATCATCATTCGACTTCATGCTCAGCTTCTAATCTCAACATTGAAAATGATCCAACTTGGCATCTTCCTCTTATCGGTCGACCCACTTTGAAATCAACTCAAACTTCTCCTTCTCTAAGTTTTCTAAGACATTCAAATCCAACCGTTCGATTATCGGGTTCATTACCTTCTATCATTCTTACTACAACTCAAAATAATCTTTTAGCAGCTCTCAATCCTCGTAATGGTTCAATAAGTAAATATCATGATCAATTTCAAGTTCCGATCGAATTTTCGATCATCTTCTTAAAGCAAGTCTGGAGTGTACCACTGACTTGATCTGCATTTGGTTCTAGTTTGGAGATTAGTACTTCCTACGAAAGAACCTATTCTCCGACATGCTGTAAACTTGGATCACAAATGTCAGTCAACAAAGGCCTCTTTAGAAAAGAATGAGAGTCGAAACTTATCAACTGGTGATGCAATTCGATTGGAACAGTGATTGGACTGGTATCAGGAGACAAAGCTACAACAACAATCAGGTTACTCACACTTAATCAAGGCCGAGTTCTATGGGAGCGACATATTCAAAAAGCTGGAGATGAAAAGACGGGATCCTCAGATAATTCATCTCATAACCTCGTTGACTTGATCTTCAGTACCGATCAACACTCTCCAGAAGCCTCAAAGCCTGATCTCATTGTCGCTTGCTGGGGTCAAAAAGTTCTTAGACTGAAGGGTAAAAGTGGAGAGGTACGATGGACATGGTCATCGGATTCACCGAACAGGTACGTATGAGTTCTTGTATTGGTGACTCGTTTGAGTATGTCAGTGATTGATCTTTGTCCTCCGATGAACAGCTCAGTGGCCCGTTTGCTTGTATATCCTTCATCAATCCCACAAATTGAAAGTTTGAGTTTCAAGAATCTACCTGATGGTACTTACGAGACCCATATCAGTACTTTATCAAGTTTAGAAGGACATCTTCAATCTACTCGAACTCAGTCTAAATTTCAATGTCGAAAAACACCTGAAGGACCTCTTCTCCTTAACATTCCGTCTACCTCACTACACGCAATAGTTTGTGTTAATCCTGATGGAAAACTTTCTTCTGTACAAATTGGACCCGTTCAGCAATCGGAATCTGATTCTTCTAAAGCTTTAAAGCTTTCCTCCTATTCTGAACCTGATCAGAATGATGCGCCCATACTTCAAGATATTGGCTTAGCTCATCACGGTATCTTTTTGGCTAGGTTTGGAAATGGACATGCGACTGTATTACGTATGACAGAAGACGGTTCTTTGAAATCTGCTTGGCAATTTGCTGATGAAGTATGTCTAATGATTATGAGTAGCCTAATGATTGCGCATATATTAACGGCTCTTGGGCTGGTTGATGTTATATAGGTTTCAGATGCTGCCTTCGCAGGAGCCATTGATCGAGATGGTCTACCATACGTCTCAAGAACCTTCTATGCTAAATCACTTGCTGTAAGAATTTTTTTTTCATAGAGAGATCCAGAAATTGTTTGATGAAATCTGAAATCTTGATTGGTTTGAAACAAAAGCTAGGCAATTTTGAAATCGTTGCATTGACACCTACTGAATTTACTCCTGATGGAATCACGACTGGACTTACTTTCAACCATGATCAAGTTGAAAATGGAAAAATATCACAAGTATGCCTCTTTCCAAACTCGTATTGTAAGATCATCATTGGATTGACCTTTATCTTTTTCAAATTTTTGAACATTTTTAGATCGTTGTAGAAGTACTTGAAACTAAAAACTATGTACCTTATTCTAGATCATTAATGGTCACTGAATTAGGTACAATTCAATTATGGCAAGGAGCTGAACTAAAATGGGAAAGACATGAAGATTTAAGTGAAGTAGGTGCTATTGTACCTTATCAAGCTTCTAAAGGAGATATTTCACTTTTAGGTGTTACTCCTTCAAATTTATTGCAATATGCTCTTCAAGCTGTCAAGGTATGTTAAAATTTAAATTGGTATGAAAACAAAAATAAGAAAGCTCAATTAGGTTGATGATCATATAGGAAAGTTTGGCAGACTTTTTGGATATGAAGATAGTTAGATCTAATTCAGTTTCAAAAACAAATTCTGAAAGGGTTTGGTTTATTGGTACTTCAACTGGAAGGCTTTTTGCAATTAAAGATGGAGCTGATCAAATTGGAAAGATTTTATGGAAAAAAACTATACTTGGATCTGGTTCTGAAAGTGTTCAGTGGAAGAAATTAGGAGTTGTTCATCATGAATTGGAGGGTTCTAAATTTGTTTTGGATACTGCTTTGTCTTGTGATGGGGTGAGTTGTTCTTACAACTCGGATTTTTCTTCATTTGGCATATATTGATGGGCTTTGACATAATGCGGTTTAGGAGGAATCATTGGCAGTCAAGGCTCGCGTTGACTTGCTTGAAGGTCGTATACTTGAAAACAAACGAGAAGTGAGTTAGGGATAAGTTATTGTTGTCGGTGTGATTTTGATGTGATATGACTATGGTTTAGGATGTGTTGACAGCGCAAGAGAATCCGAAACTACCTGTTGGTAGGAGGGTCTTGGCAGTACATGACAAAGGTTAGAATTTTCCTTACACGAACTGCATTTTGAGTTGAGAGCGATCGCTAACAAGACTTGGTATTGCTTACGACTGTGCACTGCAGACCTTGGCGGCTCACCTGCTCGGTTCCTTGGGGACAGAGGGGCTTTGTTCAAATACCATAATCCGAACCTGGTTGTTGAACTTAATGAAGAAAGTGGATCCAGGACAATAGAAGTATCCGATCAGCACACAGGTTCATTGGTATGGTCGTTTGAGATGGAAAGTGGGGTCGATACATCTTCGATCTTAGGATCGTTAACAGAAAATTGGCTAGTACTTGCAGCCCAAGATGACTCGATGGATGGGATGACACGATTGTATTCGATTGAATGGTATATGAGCTCAAAAGCTGATATTAGAGTAGATGGGTAAGCTTCCTTTTACACCAGTTGAATGGAAGTATGATTCCTAGATTCTTGAATTCGATATGCCAGGTCGAGTGTGAATTTGACGAGTTGCTCAAGAACATATATGGTACCATATGATATCAAGGCTCTTCATTTTAGTAAAAGTCGACTTGGAGTTACCTCGAGAGCTTTACTTGGTTGAGTAGATCACTTATTTGACTTTTCTTGATTGGAAAAATCAGGAAACTCTTATTTGAAAGAGCTAACACAGTTTCTCTTCACTTACGATTATCATTCTTTAGTGGTGAATGAATTAGACCAGATTGTGAGCTTGTCAAGAAGGTTACTCGATTGTCGAAGACCAATGGGTAAACCTTCAAAAGAAGATATAGAAGAACAATTGATAATGTATAGTCCTGTTATCGACTTGGACCCAAAGAGTGTGATCACTGGTTCTCGATCAGTAAGTTTTGCTTGAATTTAAATGATCTTTTACATGAGAAAGACTTCAAACCAATCACGATTTCTTTGGGTTCTTCATAGACGATCGGATTGAAAAAGATCTTTAGTTTTCCAACTGAATTTGAATCTACATCAACGGTGATTGGAATCGGATTAGATTTATTTAGTTCTGTAGTTTCACCTTCAAGAAGATTTGATCAATTAGGAATCGAATTTAATAAACTTCAATTGATTCTAACTACCATTGGACTTTTGATTGGTGTATTAGGGCTAAAACCTATTGTGAGTTGTCTTCTTTTTTTTGAGTTTTTTTTTGATGAAGTCTTTGATTGATTATTCTTTTTTTGGGGGGGTTTTGTGTATATGTGGAAATAGGTTAAAAATAAACATTTAAAAAGACAATGGTATAATTGAAGTAATGAAGATAGATAGATAGGATTTGATGAATCTTTTGTTGTTGTAAGATTGAGTTAGTTGGATATCATCAATATATATATATTTGATTGGATTCTTTCTTTTTGGTATTTGAGTAGGATAGAATTCTTTTAAAACAAGTTGACTATATGTTTTTAAAGGGATATGGCATCCTCTTGTGTGTGTTTTTGGGGAAGGCTAGTGGGTATGGGTTTTTGAGTTTGAAGGAAACAGCAAACTTGATGTATAATCTCAATTTTGGATCTTTGGTGAACTCAGATTGATAGGGAGATATTCATTTGATTGGTGCTGACATTCTGACTGTGGCTTGTATTTTGATCTCTTCTAATGATAGCCTTGATAAACATGAATTGGGGTCAAAGTGAATGGGCTCTAAATGGGGAACTCTGCATAATTCATCAAGATTCTCCTAGAGTGATATGATAATGATCCTTGATATTTGATCATATTTGGTTTGATTTAGGATCAAATTGTTGTTTGATGGGTTGTCCACTTATTTCTGAGATTAAAAATAAAGTGTGAGGTCCAGGTTGAGCTTGGTATAATTTGTTTGGAGAAGAAATCAATCAGCTTCTTCACAATGCAGTTGAGAGTTGGTGAGTTGTATTTGTGATGGGCTCATCAAGATATCAGTGGATAGGCTCACAGTTAAGATCCATCACATTTCTTTTGGCAGGCTTTAAACTTCAAGTTGAACAAGAAATCAGAAACCCCCCTGTTCAGTTATCATATGTTTTCTTCCCAGATTGGATCAGGACACATTTGATCATCAATTTTTGATGGGTAAAGGCCGACCTGTAAACTTCACCAAAGTTCAAAAGAGTCTATCAGATCACAAAGGAGCATTTGAGTCTCTTATGCACCGATAACAGTACGATGAAGTCCCTCCAGTTGAATGAAGCCTTTAGAAATTGATCATCTTGACCATGCTGCGTTTCACATTGAGTTTTTCCTACTCTTTGGTTGCAATTTGTCCTACTTTTATTTCAAGTCTATCAGTCTGTCTTGATTTGTTCTTTCTTCATTTATCATTTAATCATACACTACAAGGATGTAGATAAGTGTAGAGAACAAAGAGAAAGAAAAGATACAGTTCAGTTATAAAGATCCCAAATTTTTGTCTATTTGCCACACCAATTTGGCAATGTGGTAAACTGTAACAGCTCCTATGAGATCATTAGCTTTTGTTCAGTATATCTGACTTGATCAAGTCATCATAGCACAAGAAACATGACACACAACTTTAAGGGACAAATGTTCTCCTCATAGAAATCCGGCCTAACAGATGATTTACAATTATTACCGAATTTAATTCAACTTCAGTAATAATTGGAGTTGGATTAGATTTATTTGATCCAGTGCTTCCTTCTTTTTGATTTATGGTATACAAATATTGTTCTGGAAATTTCCAGAAGATTTTTCCCAGATCATCAGAAAGAAAAATTATAATGGTATCTGGCATTCTGGTGTTCTGGAAGTTTGAACGCCCCAGCAGTCCAGAATACCAGAATCCTGAGTACATGACTGTGACACAAAGTGGAACCTTATTCACAGAAATATAGTTTTCCAGAACACCAGAAGGGTTCTGGCGTTCTGGCAAAAACCTTCTGGAAATCTCCAGAACAATATTTGTATACCATATTTGAAGGTGCTTTTGGTAAGGATCACTCTCACACTAATAACACACAAGAATTACTTTGGTCTCACTTGGAAGCAAATAAAATCAAAATTGAAACAAAGAAAGTTGATCAATTGAATAACAATTCTACATCTGAAGCGGACAGTGTTGATGTGGATCAGGGAGTACCATCAGGTGCATTTTCATTTGGAGCCGGTATCCAGTCACAAATAGTTGACAAGATGAATAGCTACCTCAAGAATGTGGACTACGCTGATCCCAAGAAGATGGCAGATCCAAAAGAGGTGCTACTCTGGTGGAAGGTATGTACAGTCTCTTAGTTTCTTTACGGGTATTTTGATGTGAAGATCATGCATTGATCAAACTTTGGGATACAGGTACATGGTTACAAATACCCGGTCCTTTCTTCCCTAGCGTTGTAGTATTTGAAGCTCAACAAGAGCTTTACGACACCTAAGAAGGGATAATCTACTATGTGTAATATAGTAGAAGTTGCCTAAAGACTGCCTTCTTCAAAGAAACCAGCACAAGGGCACTTGCTGACCACTTTGTGATACCAGAGAAATAGATAAAGGCAGCAGAGAAATATCTCAATATAAGTATTAGTGGCTCTCAAACCTGACCCAGTTTCAAAAAACCCGGTTGCTCCAGTTGAATTTTGGGCTGGGAGCTGTCAACAAATGTCAACTTGATACACAAAGTTACTGCCAAAAAACAACTGGGTCAACTGGGTTTTTTTAAAACCGGGGCAGGTTTGAGAGCCACTATTATTCCCAGATTTTAAGCACAAAAAGTCCACAAACTATGTTTATTAGTAGCAATACTGTTGTAAGTATTATTTGCAAAGAGACTTATAGTCTTTAACACACGTAAATAAATTTCTCCTTGCTTTGAAGGGACAGATTCAAGTGATCTTAGTACAAATATAGTAAATAAATGATGATTTATAGCACTACAACAAAGGTATAAGATGCAGAAAGGGGAACAACAATCCCAAAATCATCAAGGAGTACTTATATCCACATGTAACAACCTGTACAATAGTCAACAGCCTCAAAAACCAGCCAAATCTGCCTAAAGAACCCTAAAAACCATATGATGACACAATGTAATGATCTTGTTACTAATGTATGATGTAGTTTTCACAGCCAAAAGTGATTAATGACGCAATGATTCAATGTACAGCACTTCTTATGATGAATACAGGTGATCTTTTCCTTGTAAACTAGCTGCAAACCAATTTTTGAGATTACAAATTTTTTCTGATGGGGTCCAATTTTAGATTACTATAGTGCATCTTGTAGCCCTCGTGATACTAATCATTTATCACACCCATATGACCTACTTCTGATGAGTGATGAGTAAGATATTGAGTTGTGAAGTTAAGGTTTTTGGTGTTACATGTTGACTTGTGACTGTAAATTCAAGATTCACACCAATTTCTTATTTCCCTTATAACGTTGTTCATACACCTCCGCTACTAGTGATTTAAGGTTTTTACATTATGTAATCTACTCTTCTGCGGTGAATGAGCTATCTAGCATCACAATCTGACATCATTTGACATATGTAATTAGCTGAAAGCCTTCATTTTGACAAAATTCACCCATTTTTACCACTTTTCACAGCTGCCACTCTGTTTTTCTTGCCCATGTAATATGACATCGTCTTCTATAACCTTAAAAATCCCAGAAAATTTTCTTGGCAACCTTAAATTCCATTATTACCACCATTACATATGTAAACTACACGTATAACCCTTGTTTACCATCCTTGAAAAAGTACCTTTCTGCTAATAACTTCTGTTTCCCCTTATCAACCTTCAAGATTAAAAGTGCTACAGTATCATATAATGTTGTTATTTCATATTCCAACCTCATAAAACCCAAAACTCTATTCTTAATACCCTAAAAACCATTTTCCAACCTTTATACCTATATTTTCGAATTTTTCTTATCTTTTCTTTTTCTGTCTTTTTGTAATAATTTGTAAGTAAACTATAATGATCTTAAGAGTTTATTTGAAATGTGATGACATAATCTTGAGCCAATAACTACACATAAGCCTATAAGAACTTCAATTGATCTGAAACCCCCATTTTGAATTTTCTGCTACACTGAAATTTTCTAATAACTTGGTAAAGTAATAATGATTAATTTCCTTGATAGATCCCCTATATATTTCACCACAGTGTGAAATTACCTCAGTGTTGTTGGCACTTCAAGTGCAGTAGAGTGGCTTTTCTCAGCCGCTGCGGATGTTGCAAGTGCTGACCGAGGCAGTTTGGTACCACAAACAATTGAGACATCTGTAGGTAGTCGGATGTGGATGAGGCAGGGTGTCCCTAGGGGTAATTCAATGGAGGCAGTAGTTGGGGCAGTTGGTGATTTAATTAACACTTGACATAGGTGACTTAATCAATTACATATTTAGAATTTAGAGCTACAAGAATACCTGAATGTAATGAAATCAAATAGTGTAGTGCGCTGCAGCGCTACACAACAAACAATGAAAAATTTCTGCTGCACCAGTGAATCGCCGTTGCCATTTTTGCAGCCAGAAATCTGGTGTTGCGCTGCATTTTCTGCAACAGAGATTTCTGGTGCACTGCAATTGCTAAAATCTGAGAATCCTATTTCTCGACTGCAACACGGCACAATGGGCTGCAATGCTTTGCAGCACAACAGTCCGGTGTTGCTCAAAGCTTCTTATTATTGAACTCACTCCAGTGAGGACTTCACAAATTAAAAAAACAATGAAGCAGTATGAGTTTGAATTACCTGGTTTCATTCTGCAGAAGATCCTGTCACTTGGCCAATTTCTATGATGAGAATTTACCATCAAATGCAATTTGACCCAAAAACCACACAAGTCAAATGAGTCATCAAAGGAAACACCATACAATTCAAAAAAGTCATACCTCATCATAGTTGTTTGTTGACCTTAAATTAATTATGTTGCAACTCTTTGTTTGAGTAGTTGCAGTTTCTGAAAACTATAGATGTGTTTTCATATCATCATGATTTACAAAATTCTACAAAAACTCATTCTATACAGACTTGATGATATTTCACCTCATTTTTTCAGATAGAAAGTCTTTGGTGGAAAATGTCACCAAGGTTTTGTGGGTTTTCCCCATGTTAACATATTGTAGATGAGGCTGTTTGTTACTTTGTTGAATGAAACATTTGTCCTTATACACTAAGAGATCTTGTCAGACAGTTTCTTTTATTACCAGGTGAGAATTTTTTTCAATATCTTTTGAGCGCATTTTCTTTTTGATCTTTGCCATAGAGATTTTTTTGCAACGGGATATGACTCTGAGAGCCCAGAAGTCAAGCCCATCCCTCAAATCAACACTGCTTGGAGTAGGCTGACCAAAACAAGGCCTGAGAGCATCCACAGCCGTGTGGCGTAAACCGTTTCGTACGGAAATTTAAGGCAAAAACATCCACAGCCAATGCCCTGAATTGTCACATAGCTAAGGGAATTTCCTCTGTGCAAGCCAAAATAGAAGAAATTTGTTCTATTTTGGCTTGCTCCCTAAATTCATCCGTACCTCGCTCTTCCCATAAAACTCCCACTTCCTTGCCGACACTCCCTGCAAATCATCCCCCTTGATGATCAATAACCCATAACTCACCTTGCCAAATATGCTTCAAGCCATCACACTGTCATTTTACTACTCACTGGCAGGCCAGTGAGTACGTCCAGCTCAATCCAATCTCAATCCAATCTCAAATCCATGTCAGTTCAATATCAATCCAATCTCAATGTTTGGCCCAGAGTAGCAGACAAACAACCTTCCAGAATGAACTGGAATAAAGTTTGGTTGCATGTCCACACATGAAGGTGTCAGAATGTCTGGAAGGTTTGTGTGATTATGCAGCCCATGCATATCCCCCACTCAAACATAATTGGAGGTCAAACTGATATTGAACTGACATTGGATTGACATTGGATTGAGGTGAATGGAACTCACTGGCCTGCCAGTGACTAGTAAAATGACACTGTGCATACTGTACAAACCACGGCTGTGCATCAGTTAAAAATCATGCCTCAAACACTTCCCTAAACAATCCGTGCGACCCTCCGTACGATACTAATTTACGGCACGGCTGTGGATGCTCTGAGTGAATGGATAGAGCTGCTCTTATTGAAGAAATGCCTATCAGAGCTTTTATGAAGACTTGTCCATTTTGAGCTCATTGATTTAAGGTCTTCATCCAATGAGGAATGAAAATCTTGATGATATCCAAGAGTTGAAGTTTTTGCCAGTGTTTTACTTAGTCCCTATGGACTTCGATCGAGTAAGTAAACTTAACCACGCAATGGAATTTGAATCAAGATGCAGGGAAGCAGGCAGGAAGCAGGTTTTTTTTAAGTTTTTTGGGCCTTGAGTGGCAAATGCTGTGACTCTGAGACAGGCTGTGGCAACAGGCGGTAACACAGCAAATATGTTGTAGGATTGAGTCCCATCTTGTGTGGTATTCTCACGTATTCACAAAGCTCCTGATTGCTGAATAATGGTTACAAAGGTTAGGGTTAGGGGTGACTCTCGGTCCCTCGGATTCAATTGAAAGACAGGATAATCATCCAATTTCACTACACTTAGGGGTTAGGGGTTTGGGGGTTCGGGTTGAATTTCAAAAAATTCCGGAGCTCAGCAAAAAGTATCTCTATGTTCTTCACTATTCGCATATCTACATATATCTCGCGCAACATATACTGTTCCTACAGTCCATCACAGCATCATATCGCGAGCACGGATCAGCGTGTTAGAAGTCTTGACAAGGGACTGATCAGATTTCATTGCCTTCAATTGCCTGCGAAGATGTTGAAAGCCTGAGTTCCCTTTGACTTCTAAATCTAGATCTTCTCGTATTCAATAGTACTTCTCAATCATCTAAGGGAGACTTGGTGAAAGATGTTGATATTAAATGTTCAACTGGGTACTGGGGATCATCTATTACATTCTCAGCTTGAATCAGATTATCAACTAAATCATCGAATTCACCCCTGGTATCTTGGTCTACAATCCCTTCAATCCAGTTGGTTACTACTATCTGTTCATTCTCCGAAAAGCCATGTGCTAATCCAGAGAGGGTTTTGAATTTGGCTCGACCAAAAGCTTCTTGAGAGATCCTTCGTAATAAGTTGAATCCCAACTTCGCAGCGTTGTAAGTTAATACTTCATCTGTGGTTCCATGAATCCAGTAGAAAGCAGTCGATTGATAAAACCCAGGAACCGTTGAAAGAAGTAATGGTAATCTAAAGGGTAGAGGTAGATAGCCCGACTTTGAAAAGAGAAATAGTCAGAACCTACATGAAATTTAAAATTTGCGTTCAACAAGAGAAAAGGACATACCAGCATCAATGTTGCAGCGGGGGGCTCTGGCAGTGTCAAGCTAGTAAGGAGGGTCATAACGGCACCTATTCGATTTTTGATTTTTCGAAAAGCATCCACATCAGTATTTATCCACTTACAAATAAAGAGTCAAAAAGAGGGTGGGATGAAATCATAAAGTCTACATACCTTGGCTGAAGCCTGCGATGATAGTCTTGTTCATCTGCATCTTTGATTCTATGACTTGCTCAGCAATAATGGTAGAGATCTGAACACAGCTTCGTCTCAATCCATCCTCATCTTCAAGATAGTTCAAGTCCCTCCAGTCATTAATGTTGAACCATCCAGGTCGCGCTCCTCCATTTGGTTGATCTGAATAGACAGTGATTGGAATGATGGGAGCTTTAGGGAGTATGAACCTAAGACCCGTCAAGTTTCCGATGCTTTGAGAGTCGAGTGGTCGTCGAAGAGTAGATAAGAGTGTTTCTCGCCATTGGTGTCCGTGAGATGAATCGGGAGAGCCAAGACCATGAATGAATACAACCGTCCAACCACTTCCTTTGCCGTCATTGGCATCGAGAGGTTCAAGGACATCGAATTCAATGGGAGTAATATCGGCCTCTGCGTTTGACCAACTTGCTCGGTAGATGTATGGAACAAGATGCTCTGGTCGAGGAGCTGGACCTTGAATGCTTCCAGGAGATGGGGTTGACAAAGTTGGCGTCGGCGAGGAAGTTTTATGATGTAAAAGTCGAGGTCCAAATTTTAGACCGAGCAGAAAAGAAGCGACGATGACTAGAGTTGATATGATGACTGGGTAGTGCCTAACGACCCATCTTATAAGCCTTTGACCGACGACTTTCAAGTTAATCGAGGACGAAGCCATCTTCCTTGCCAAGATGTCTAAGTTGTTAAGATCTACTGCTAAGCTTTGTCTTCGCGTTTGAGAATGATCAGGACTATTGATGGTTATTAGAGCGATGAAGGTTTCTGTGTATATTTTATATATGCGATAATAAGATAAGGAGCGATTCTATATACCAGCTGTCGAATACGGCCTTATTTATAGGCGAACGTATTCGTGAGTATGACCACGATTCCTCTTCTCATGGACGTTCATGACTATTCCTCCATTAGTCTTACTATGAACTTTTCTCCGTTGACTTATACCATAAGTCCTTTCTCTCTTTCTCTTAGTGGAAACTATTCCCAGATAGTCCTCTTGGTGTGCTATATCCATTAGCACATCTTCATTCTCGAAAGCGTTACATGTGCTTTCTCGAATCGTTTCTCCAACACGCCCCCTCGATTCGTACTGAGCACATGCAATGTTTGCGGTGTGGTTTTCTTCTTCCATCATACCCATTGCCTTCTGGAAGCCGTGGTGTTTGACTCGATCTAATGCTTTAGTTGTAATGTCTGCAACCATCTTTGTTGTAGATATGTATCTTAAATCCACTTCACCGTTGTTTACTAAATCTTTTACATAGTTGTAATGTACATCTATATGTTTTGTTCGTGAGTGATATACTGGATTCTTTGATCTTTTGATAGCGCTTTCGTTGTCACTGTACACTGTGACTGTCTTTTGTTCGTGCCTCTCAATCTCGTTGTTCAAAAGACATAACCATTGTGATTCCCTGATTAGGCTATTACCTTTGTTCCAGACTTACGCGCGTTTCGCGCTTTTCTTTTCTTAGTGCTTTTAATGAGCAAGAGTTCAACCTGTACTATCATTTTAAGTTTCGATAAGACTCATGAAGCAAGTAGGACTTCTGTTGCCCAGATGCTGTTTGCTCTCCCCCTAAAACAGAAGGCAATGACTATTGTTCATACCATGTGATAATTCAGTAGAGCTGCATGAATAGTTAGCTAAAGGATTTAGCAATCCCGACCGAGCATACTAGGCTTCATCGACTCCTATGGAGTAAGATCTTAGAATGAATTTCCGAGTGCAAGTATGCATCATGAAGTGCGAGATGAAACCTGGCCTGGATAAATTTTTCACATGTTTGGCTCATGGTGCAAGGTCAAGGGGATATTCGATTACATAAAAGTCTGGCATACGTGTCAGCGGGGTGGTATTTGACTTAAAACAATCCTCGGAATAATTGTTTCTGGCTTGTACTGTCGTTCTCGAAAATCATTTCGACAAAGTGAGACGTGCAGTGCGAAGCCATGTGTGGTACGTACACGCATTTTTGATGGTAAATGGATGTCGTTCAAGCAGTCGAGTACATAATCATTAAATCCGAGCGACAATACGACGATATATTAAAGGGAATCTACACTTAAAAGACTATGAATGAAGCAACGCAAAATAGAAAGGATATCCAACAGCAATTATTTATCATCGAACGCACTCCAAAAGCTGATTCCAATCTCGTAAATCTCAAACTTAAAGTGCATAATATTCAGAATATGTATGTATATTTATTCGTCATCTTATCTTTGGACGTCTTCAAGTTAGTTGAAGCTAGTCTAGCAAAAAACATTTTTCAAACTCCTCAAAAGTTCGGAAGTTTTAAGATGGGACAAGGTATTCAGACAATATCAGCTCAGCCATTAAAGCTTTCTACACCAAAAGGTATACTCGGAGGACCATTAAGGTTAAGGCCGGCTAAACAAAACCCAACAGCAAATCCCATAGGAAGTATGTCTTTCCAGTGATCCTTTCTGATCTTCTCAAGTAATAGGAAGTGATTGATTTTGAAAAATCTCTTTGATAACTTAACAGAGGGTCGAAAGAAACTTTTGCAAGCTGGTTGGCCTGGCTATATGCCGCAAGCAGAGTATCGTCCTCAAGGTGTTACAGGAATATCACCAGGAATATCATCAGGAATGGATGATCAAATACCAAGTTTAGGAATGATGAAGAAACTCACATCTGGAAGACCTCAAGAGGATTATATTAGCTCACTTGAAAACGGATTTAGTGGATTTAGTAGAAATTCAGAATTTGATGACATTCCAACTCTTTCTAGAACTTCATCCGGTTCCAGTCAAGAATTTTACACACCTACTCTAAAACTTACACCTGAAGGTTACAAGAATTTCCCTGGTATGTGATTTGAATGTAACTACAAAGTTGAAGATTTTCAAAATCTGATTGGGTAATTGCAATTGATTTTTAAAGCAGAAGTTATAGATAAAGTTAAAATTAGCAAAAGTCTTAATTTTTATCAAAGGGCTGTGAGTTGGTTGAAGTCAATGAAAAACAAAGCAAAGACAAGACAAGGGTAGATAGAACTACTTGAATTGAAAATTTTATGAAAGCTTTTCTTTTGTATTGTTGAAAATATATGTAGATGTGAAGTTTTTCAGTAGTGCAGATTGATTTTATTGAAACAATGACAAAGAATTACATGTAGCTGACCGATGTTTTACAAGCTTGTGCACTTTTCATTTTTCACAAAGCTTTGAATTTATTAATCTTGGCATTCATTCTTATTTGAACTGTCCTGGAAGCTCAAAGTACAAAAAAGTGATCTGAGAGAAGAGGATTGATGATGTAGACATCCAACTCTCAAACCTTGAATCTATCCACAAACCCAGAAGCAACACATTCTTACCTTCACCCACATATGGTTAATTAAAGCTTGGGTCAAGAACAAAGACCCCAAAGCCAGGACTCTTCCAATACAACATAAAACTGCCAACAAATCATGAATCCCATTGCAAGGTATCCAAACTGGGTAAACACAGTCATATCACCTCAAACTGGGAACAATGACATATGATTAAATGTCAAAATGTGTATTGTCTATCATGTGATATGGGACATGTAATGAAAGAACATACAAGACTCTACAAGACTACATCACAGACTTGTAGTTGCAAAATTCCTTACACCATATTATGATCCTTATGAAAAATGTAACTGTTGATGAAATGCTGGACAGTAGATGTCACAAACACAAGATTAGTATAGGTTGTCCACACCACTGTTATCTTTTCTCTTTCTTCTTCATCCGCCAATCTGAATAGCACATTTGACACCAGACCTTGATCCCCGCCGATAACCCCACACTGTGACCTTAACACACCAGGTCTATGAAGTGTGAGCAGACCTTTGATGACAGTCAACTCTTGATATAAGCAAGCCCCATGTATGCATATTGTGATTTAAGCAAGGGTTGTTGTGCATTTTTTTTGGTATACCTGAGTGCCCAGCTAAAATCAGATTGCTTGAAGCATAATGACTAAGGCCCTGTTTGGTATGGCTTACAAAAGCGGGGCAAAATGCATTATATTTTGAAAATAATCTATTTTTCACATTTACAAAAAATCATGTTTGTTACCACATTTGCCCCTTTTCACAAAATGCATTAGACCACCAATAATCTATTGTTTCAATAAAAACGTGGCATTTTGAAAGCTGCCCTCAAGTAGCTTTCAGAATCCAATAACACATCTCAAACCCAGTGCAAGCCTTCAAACTTGACCCTTGGCAGGATCAAGCCAACTTTTTTTTTGAATTTTGCAAAGTACAAACTATTCTCTACCTCAAGTCCCACTCCCACTTCAACCTCACAGCTCCCCTATTGATTTCTCTGATCCACTGTTTTCCTCATCTCCTTTTCCTCATTTTTGATTCCTAGACTTTGGGCTCAGTATTCAATAGACGACAAGTACTTGATTAATGAATTGATTGATTGTGAGTTGTCGGAATTGGACAGATTGGACATCATGATGATTTTGAATTTTGAAAGATGGCAAATGGCCAGTACCAAACACCATTGATCAATTTCAACTTTGAAAAGCCACTTCTTGCAGTTGACAAATTTTGAAACACAAATTCAGAAAATAATAGGTTTTGCAGTTGCATTATCTATTGATTGATAATGTATATGTAAAAGCTGAAAGCCATACCAAACAGGGCCTTTCTGTCAGCCCTTGAGCTTTTGCAGAGCAAAAGCCAAAAGGACTTCAACTAAAAAATATCAATAAGAAAATTATAAAACTAAAAAATAATAATTACACCTTGAAAGTCTAGTCTCAAAGACAAAAAGAACAGCCCTACAATTTTACACAGCATGAGGAAAACTGTAGGAACATTTACACCTTACCGTCTAGTTTCAAAGACAAACCAATAACCCCTTATCACCAGTTTCAAAGAAGAAAATTAACTGCTTCATTTGTAAATAAGCCAAACAGAACGAATTCGAAATACATTTCTAAAAACAACATCCTGATACGGAAGACTACTAAAATACATAAACCACCTTCCCAAAACGGACGAGTCCTCCGAATGCGTAAAAGAGTATACTCCACCAAAGCAACCAACGAAGCCTTACTACGAATAGACCTTTCTAGAACAGGTACAACCACGAGCAGGCCTCCTAAAAGTTTCAGTAAGAAGAAGTAACCACGAGTCAGCCGCAGCAACAAAATAGTATAAATAGGAGAGGTTTCTCAATCAGAATACCTCTCCTCACCTTCAGACAACAAGTTTTATTCGATCCTAAAAGATTAAGAAGGCATAGCTTTTTACTACATGATTCCTAATAAGCTTTTCCCATTAGCAAGAAAATCCAAAAGTACTATTCGATAAGTAAGTCAACAACTTCTTATTATTCAAAGTTCTTTTCTCTTTCTTTTCAATCTAAAGCAATCTAGGCTAGCCCCATAAAAGCCTATCATACTCCTACTCTTAGGAGCGTACAATCTTGGTCATGTACCACTGGTTCTGCAACGTAAAGTTGACAGGATCCCTGTGTCTAGTAACACAGGCTATTCATGGAAGCCACTTCCTCGAAATTTACCCGGCTTAGAAGTTGACCTCTTCACTCCTGTAAATCCTTACAGTAAGCCGTGGTAAATTTGAAACCGTCTCTTAGTGTTCTTAATTTTAGATACTAATATTCAGCATATTATCTTCCTTCTATTGTAGAAAGAAGTTAGCGAAGATCTTACGTACACAGCAAGATCACTTGTCAGGCTTCTAAAGTGAGTAAAGGTTAAATTATTCACCTTAGATTAATAGCCACCCTGACAATTGGGGGCCTCACCGCGTGTTACTAAAAGAAACCCGGAACCAATCAAAGAAAAAGAAAACGTTTAGTTTTCGCATATAATTTCATCTTTCTTTTTTTTATTCAAAAGTTTTCCTTTAGAGAAAAAAATATCAAATAAACAAAAGAAAATATTCCTTTTCATTCTCGTGATTCACTATCTTTCCACGATTCAGTCTTCAACTTCAGAGCATTCATCGTTAGATCTCCTTAAAGAACTACCGTATTTCGGAGAAAAAGAAGAACGGGTTCTCACTTATACCATAGTCAGAACTCATTTCGGATATCATAACCTAAGACCTAATCATCCATTTTTGCAGATACTGCAAAGAATAAATCAATTAGAACCTTGAAATCTTTTCAAAAATTTCTCAATCACAGGAATTATCGACCTTGAAAAACGATCTCTTAGATCTCTCCCTACAAATCGAGAAACTTATTGAAAAAGTCATCCAACTAGAGATTGCTGAAAGGAAACAAAAGTAAGCACAGAACTTTTTCATAAAAAGTACCCTGAAGACGCTTAGTGTATTTAACAAATACATACCACCCTTTGCAGTGAACCCACCGGATCCAAGCAATCAACCTCCGGGAGCACAGCCCATCCAGCCCCTGAACCAAGTGTTAGGAAAGGTTCGAGAACCAATCCTATCAACCTTACCAAGGATTCAGCTGAAGACACCATCAACCACTCCGTTGAATAATCAGTCTACGCCTCCTACGACCACCACCTTGACTACCGAGACAACGATTACTGGGTTGGCGAGCACTGGTACCACCAATCGCCCTGGTAACTTGTCTTTTGCTTCTATACTTTTGTTGCACGCAAAGCAAACTGACAAGCAAACCACAATGCCTCCTAGAAAATCTGATCGAGTTCGAGCAATCGAGGACAGGGTCGGCAGACCTTTGTACTCCGACACAGCCAGAAGAGCCAGTTCAGTCGGTGCAGCACCAGCAAGATCTAATGCAAGAAGATCAAGCGTTAGATCAGCAACAACCGAGCATGACGGCAGAGGACGAGAGACTGATGATGTCCCTCCACAACAGCAACTTTTGCAACTGGAAGAAAGCTTACGAATCAAATCCGAACAACACGAGGGCTATAGAGATCTATCTGTCCTTGTGGAAGAACTCTCACAACTCGTTACACTCCTCCTGGGCGAGGAGGAAGTCTGAAGCGATCACTAGGTTGGAATCCATACGTCCAAGAAGCGAATTTCCTAGCAAGATTGAACAAGAACTCATCAAGCGACCCTCAACCAATGTCACATCAAACGCAGTCAATGTCCCTAGCAGGTCTGTCCCGGAACTCCGGAAAGAAAGTAGCTCAGCAACCTTACAAGAAGCCCGATCATGTCCAACAGGAGTCAGACAACATGCAGTCGATGCTGTCGTTCAGCAGAGCTTACTACAGAGCCATCAAAGGGATCAACAAGACCAACAAACCAAAAGGCAAGCAGTCGTCCCAACAATCTCAGGAGAAGCAAGACAAACGTCCAAATCAATGAATACACATTTCGACTCAACTCCCAGTCCTTTTTTATCCTCTCAGCGAGTATTGTGTGAAGGAATCGATCAAGCTACATTACAAAGACCAGCTATCCCCACTAGAGACAAAGAACCAGAGTTGTATGATGTCCATTCTATATCAACAATTGTACCGACTCCTTTTACTTCCACTCTTTTAAGTCAAAAGAATAATGTCGAAAACATTGTGTTATCTTCCGTTACTACAGCTCCATTGAGTAATCCAAATGCTATCAAAACAATTGTACCGTTGTAGAACTCCTACGCAGTGTAGGGTAGGCTGAGCCGGAGAAGGTAAGAATCACCGCCTAGAAGAACGGATGAAACTACGGTGCTGCGAAGCTGCCTTCAACCTAAGAAATTCTACGAAAAAATTACGTAGGACAATTCTTAACACTTCCGCCTTTACAAGTTTCCCGTAACCCTAATTTACCCCGTACAAGGATATTCACACTTTATAAACCCTATTTATCCCGCCCACAACTGAGCCACACACACAAAGTTAAAAAAAAACAACTTAAAAAAACACAACTTGTCCTGGAATTGAACCCAGGTTCAGTCCTTGTTCCCCGGCCCTGATCTGGCCCTGTACTCGAGTAGATAGAACACAAAATAAAAAAATTAAAATTAAAATAGCACAACCCTCCTTCCACTCGACTTCAACTTCAACAACTTCCTTAACACACAACGAATCAATCCTTTAATGTAAGTCTTTCTTTTCTTCCTTTTACTTGACTTTTAAACTAATAGCTAACTAATCTAGAAAACTTGCTCTTTCTTCTTTATCCTTTATGAATAGGATAATCGAGTTGAACACAACACAACTACACTAACGATCAAAACACAAAAAAAACACTTCGATCGACTTCCTTCGATCCTCTACTCGATGCCACGATGAACCCCTCAATTCCCTCCTCAAAAGAGCCCCTTATATATCTTCCAGCTTCCCAACTCCGACCGATTCTTACCTTTTTCACCCGACCGATTCCTTCCTCCTTATCTCCTTCCACCGACCGATTCCTTGGCTTTTCCCACACTAAACAGTTGATTTACTCCCATACTCGACTTTTGAATTCACAGTAAGTCATCTGTCAAAAAGGTAGAAATTTGGAAAAATTAGTGGCAAGCTATCTGACCAAAAACGTAGCAATCATGGGTCATGAGTTTTAGGTATCTCACCTAAAACGTAGCAATTGATTGCCGATTGCCATTTTTAGGTAACCCCCTTGAAAGCCTTGAGTGCGCCTATTCTAGCCTGTTCTCCTCTGTTTCATAAGTCGAGTCCCGGCTAGTCCCAGCCTCTCTTGGCCTGGTCTTGACAGATCTAGACAGATATTGATTCTGCGCTGTCAAGCTTTCTATAGCTTGACAGCGCCACAGGAGATGGGACTTCTGCCCTGAATATTGCCTGGGTCCACTCGTCCCATTCACCCTCCTTCATTTCATAGCTTATTATCTTTCCCTAAATCACCACTAATCAACTTTCCTGATCATAATCGCAAATGAGTCCTACCTGTTACACAGCACCTTCCAAAGACTGCATTGTCATTGATAGCAGTTCCGATAATGAAGACTCTCACCAAAAAAAAAAACCTTCCAATTCTGATGTAGACAGTGACATCAGCTTGGAATACCTACCAATCAGCGATGATGAGTCCTCCAGTGAGGAGGAAAAGGATGATATCAAGATCATTAAGAGCTG